TTTCAGCTGCATTTTCCTGATTCTTAATATGTCTTCTTTATCTTGTCATTTTCTTTAAAACTTTCCTGTCCATAAAATTTTCAGTATCCCTCTGCAGAAACCCCATTTATGTTGCCTCTACGATTGTCCTTCATAAGATGGGAGATATCACATTGGCAGTAATTGGTCTTATAATAAATTTCATATATCTTTGAACCTAAGCAGCAGAATATTTTGAGAAGCTCTTTATGTGAGCCGTGGTATCACACACAAGAACAATCAAACACTTTCATTGATCATCAAAATTAATAACACGTTTCATTAAAAAGTAGTAATTTGGATGGGTTATAATTAAATTTTGAAACGGTAAATGGAATGAAAATGAATAGTGTGATACATTTCCTCATGGTAAAATGGTTTGAAAATTATTTTCAGGTATCCTCTTGAAAGTTTCTGGATTGAACCTTCATCACAATAGCTAGGGAGGATTAGATGCGATAGGCAACAATAAGCTACAGAAGAACTGAAAATTGATCGCTGCATTTAGGTATTGCATTAATATTTAAGCTTACCTTTTAAAAGTTCAAATGTAATTTTTCTTCCGCCACTCAACTTAAAAACAATTTGATGTACGTAGGTCTTTACTTTTCGTGAAACCAATTATTTTTATTTCATGGTGACTTTCGCTGGACTTCGCAATTAATTTCGATTATTGCCAAATTTATTTCCAAGTTATAAAAATTGCTATAGAATAAAAACAAAAATCGCAAAAATTTCTTGCAAAAAATCGCCGAAATCAGTTGCAGTAATGAAAAGTTGAGAATCCAAAATGACAGGTGACACACTCTATTGAAAGTTAGAGAGTTGTGTCCCTTTAATTGTTGTTATCAATAAAAGCTAATATGGCGGAATCTGAAAACAGTCGCAGTAATGAAAAGTTGGGAATCCAAAATTTCAGGATTGCTGGTCCGGATCAGGCTCGGAATGTTTTTAATTTGCTCACAGAGTCCGTCTGATTCCAAAATGGTATGATATGGTGATCTCCGGCCTCAAGGAATTAAGTTGAAAAAGTGTGACACACTGACATTCGCATTTATTATATAGAAGAACAGAATCAAGGCAACAAAACTTTTACTGAGTACACAATTATTAGAACGGTTAAAACATTGTAGTTTAAACTATGAAAATATGTATCGAGGTTAAGTGCATTATCATACGACTTCTAGATTTTTCTGTTCTATGCAAAGTGCTATTGACTTGCAAGAACAAAAATCCTGCCGCTATTGCATATTTGTCCTTCATGCTTGTAACTAATTACATCATATACGAAATACCACCAAATAACTAGGAACTGACATTAAATACTAACAATTCGTGTAAGATTTGCGGAAAAGGATGGAAATCAGCTGGTGGTTTAAACAAAACGCATGCATTCGTGCCTAATATAAAAGAAAAAGATATGTATTTCATGTTTACCAAATTTGTGCCAGTGGCTTTAAAATATCGTTCGGGTTTAAAAGCCATAAAGATTTGTCCAGATTAAAATGTCATATTCTTTTAAAAAACGCAAACATTCATATGCCTAATATCAACAAACGATATGTCTGTTAGGAATAATCAAGAGTGGTCTCCCCTTGTTTCGTTACTATCCTCTTTGAGAGAGCTATTTCTATGTACTGGGACTATAAAAGGACACTATACGTGAACCTTGTATTTTCAATTAAATAATGCTTTTTTAAATCCTACACCAGCGTAATTTCTTCATATCAATGTCTACCGACTTTATACTAGTGGTTTTAAAATACAATACATTAAATATTCGTAATATAATAATGTAATAATTCATGAAGGCAGAAAGATGTTCCAAGAACATCCAAAGAATCAGGCAAATGTGAAGCGTGCAAAAAGTGGAAATAATAGACCCAGAAATCTTGCAGTTTACAAGTGATGAATGCGGTAGAGTATGTATTACCAATTGCAAGCTAAAGTAGAGTCATATTATTAAAGCTTTGACGAATTGCAATCTGTAAGACGCAAGGAAGTATCCTGCAGGTAATGTCAAAAGACCCGTAGAGACCGCTACGATCTCACACCTCCCATGAAAACGCACGAGCATCATGAACCGAATCTACAAAGAATCCTATGTCCTTTACAGAACTGCATAATATGCCGCGTTTTTTAATAAGCATTACGAGTCACATGCTGGCTTCAAGTGTCATTGTCGTTCTCACGTGAAATAAAACAATAGATCGGCGATGGACATGCTCGTTCAACGAGTTGAAAGACAATATGTATACATCCTGCATGATTGGAATATCGGCGACTAAAACTTTTCATCCGACACGCTTTTCTGGGGAGAATATAAACTATACATCCAGCAAGATTAAAAAAAAAAAGACCTGTTAAAATGGCCGACAAATACTTTTAGAGACTCAACGGCCATCTCACGCATGCGCGGCAATGCAGAATTGTCTGAGTAGATATCGAAGTGCCTGGTAAGCCCACTGGAAATGTTGGACACCTTAGCCTTCGTTAATGTATCCAACTGGGAGAAAGAAAACACTGAGGTCACATGAGCTCTTTGACACCATCCAATGATATTGAAGGGTTCTTCTTTTTGGAAACTGTTATGGTCCAAGTTCCTTGTACCACGGTGATGGTGCAAGGTTAGAACCAATGAAAAAACAACACAAACACAGGTATGGAATTCAAAGATATATTACAATAGAAATATAATACAAGGAAGTAGAAGTATTAGTAATGGCTATCAGATTTGGTTAGAGTGAACTATGTTGTCTCGACAAGTATCACTATTCCAATGTCCTTACAATATGCTCTCAATTATCTCTCCTCGTCTTACAACATCCTTATACCTCTTGAGAGGCGCATTAATTATAATGTCAGGAATAGTCTATTATTATTATGGGTAAGTTCCCATAACAGAAACCCACTGTCCTTGTTCCGACATTGAGATTACCTCAGTGCACCGTCTTTCCCCACTTAAAAGAGGTACTGACTGGGATGTTGTATAATATTTACACACTCAATAGCTGGCTATAACCGGAACAGTCAATCATAACCACTTATACACCATAACACCTTCATGTCACAAGTGATCTCAGAAAACATTCTTGTTGAAACTTGACTAATGCATGGAATAATAATACAACACAAAATGTACTTAGAACAAAATGTATTGAAACAAGAAAGTGTACACGATATTTACATATAGTCTTTTGTATATTCTTGGGAAGACCGTTCCTGGAATGTGTTAACTTAGTCGCAGTCGAGCAGAGTCTCTGGATTGAATTGTGGAAAAGGATGCAAATCAGCTGGTGGTTTAAACAAAACGCAAACAGAATTGTTGTGGTAGGTGGATCCTACCACAACAATTCTGTTCCGGATATTGTTTATATTGATCTGCCATGTTTGGACAAAGTGTTCTTGAAATACACACAAAAATAGGATAGTATATTCTTTTCTTTCAGGAATTGATATTTTCATCTATCGTCCGGTTCACACACCTTCCTAGTGTTTTGAACAGGAGTTGAGGTTTATCCCTTCTTACTTGTTTACGATGGGGTTTCCGGTTCCCTCGAAATAATTTTATTCTTCCGGTAGTCTCTTGTGTCTTAGTGGCATTATCGACTTTTTTGGGATTAAATGAAAAAAAAAAAATCCGACATCCTCATCTTTTATTTGCTGTGTCTCTTCAGGATCTGCCTAATCATGACGAAGTTCTATCCTTTGTAGATCTAAGAAATGTTTCTTCCCTCTATCATCGATCCAAATCCATGTTCAGTCATCTGATGACTTTTGTACGTCTTGAGAGTATTGAATTCTCCAAGCCTTATATCCTGATTATTTGACACACAAATTTCAACTCTCTCTTTCTGTTTCTAAAGAGCAATATTCGTTTAAATTGAGAGTTAGAGATTTGTTTTCTTCGGCTCATCAATCTTTTGGAAGTTACTTAAAGCCATTTTTTAGAATGCAGATGTTTTGGGATAATAAGTGCTACTAATTAACCCATAGCTGGGGATACAAGAGATTAATACAAGATTCACTCGATATCAGAAAGTAGTGTTCCTAGGAAATATTTCGTAATCCTAATTTTTCTAAAACAAAGAACTATCATTGATTTTTTTATGGAAAAAAAGATTTAATCGTTTCCTGACCCCCACGCCACCCACAAAAATATCTATGTAACATTGCGTCATATAGGTATAAAGTGTCGTTGCCCACACTGGGGTTTGAACGCAGATCACCAGAGAGCAAACACAGGCGATCCTATTTTCAATAAGTAGATCACGTGATAATAAAGGAAATGTTTATATGGGAATTAGCGCGGCGTCTAATTGATCACTATTTCTACACTATCCTCTATCTCTATACTATTCAATATACTATTTCTCTATACTGAGCAATATACGGATTACTATTCTGTGGTTACTACTTGAGCGAGCATTATCAAGCAAGTACTATTAATGCGAGTGTTATTCGAAGGCGTCTGGCACCAGTATTGTTCAACAGCGTTACTATAGTTGTATCTGCGATTACAAAGTCTCGACTACACCGAGCATTACGAAAGTGACAACGAGTATTCTTTGACATTACAAAAGTGGCAACGAGTTTTCGTTGACATCACAAAGCATTATCACTGAATATGCAACTCATACTACTGCAGAAATTCAGTCACTATGCGTTTACATGGGCCAATGCTTCTACGGGAGTGGCCCAGGCTTGCTGGGACATTTTATCGAATCACCGTCGAGAATGATTGCCAACCTCGGCTATGAAACACAGTTTATACATTCTATTTAACCCATAGTAGGGAGGGAAATAGGTGGATTTATACATTTCCCAGTGGTCTCCGAGCGTAAGGGATTATAACAAACCTGACTGCAATTGGAACTCGGATTTCCAATTCCGAGCCGTTATCCATTTCACCACCAGAACATCCAAGCTTACAGATCCTGAAAATTCCCAAGCGATCAGCCACCTAGGTGCTGACCATGGGCTTACGGCCATATCATGTTAAAAAAACTGGTTCCCGTACGATTACCATGTTAAGCAACGTCGAGACTGGTCAGTACCTTGATCGGTGACCGCTTGGGAATACCAGGTGCTGTAACGTTGGATGTGTGGTTGGCATACTGGATAATGGCTCGGAATTGTTAATCGGAGAGCCGTGTTCCAATTCCAGTTGGGTTGGTTCGTTATATTCACTTATGTGCAAATACCCTTGAGAAAAGTATGAATCCCTCTCTTCTCCCCAGTTATGGGTTAATTAGTAATACTTGTATCAGTAAACCCATTACTATCTAAAAAATTATTGCCTACGAAATATTTAGATTCCGGAATTAAATAACCCTTAGAGGTGTTAATATGCCGTGGAATAAAAACAACCAACCAACTGACCAGGTTAACTATCCCTAGCTATGGGTTGCTTAACTTTGATGATTGCACGAGAACCTGTGCTTCAACGTGATATAGACTTAGGTCTATATCCGTTTAAAACGCGGCAATGCAATTTAGTATTTAATGATAGTCGTATAAGGCATTGAGGTGGCAGTCTGTATGTAGGTATTTTTTCATATGTTCGAACGAGAATCGTTTGTTTTCCTGTGTGAGTTGACCGACATATAGCTCTGCCAAGACTGATCAGTATTTAGATGCAGGGCTTCCTGGGAATACCGAGACAGTGGATTTCACATATTCATGATAGGATTCAGATCATTAACAGCCGCGTCAGTGACTTGCCAAGAGACTACTCGAATCGTACGAACTGCAGGGAGTCTCCCAATTATATTGGCGAGTTTTTGTCATTTGATTAATTCTGTTTATGCTAAGAGTCTACATGATGACGCACAAACTAGAATTAATTGCATAGGTACCATCAGACTTCCTGAAATTGGAAAATGAACCACCTGATCCGACTATAACCCAACTGTAATCGTTGTCTTAAGACGAATGAACAGATATGCATTTTGCATCGAGCTATTTACCTCTTAAATTTGTCGACATTTTATATTTCAATAGTTTACTCCATATAAATTCGTTGGCTGACAACAATATCAGTTTGCTTTGATTTTTTCGCATTTAAATCGATATTTTATGAAAATAAATTAAGAGTTAGATGTCAGAGCTTAGATAGATAAACTGACATAAATATAAGATGAGAACTTTCTGTTTTATATATGAATGGCCAGACAGGAGTTCTGACTTAACACCCTGTGACTTTTTTCTTTGGGGGTTGGTTAAAAGAGCAAGTTTATTATATCAAACCAGGACTTTGGAAGATCATGAAAACCCCAAGAGTTGCTGGTGAAATCAGTTATCACGATTCCTGGGCGGTTTGAGAAGCTGATAGCAAAATCTTGTGCCCGTATCGATTTTTAAATAAAACCTCATGTTAAACGTTTTTCCACTCTTATCCATTTGTTGTAAAAATCATAGGTAATAAATAAATCATAATTATTTTAAAATGGGGAGTTACATTTCAATCACACTGTACATAAAAAAAATCATTTCGAAAATATTGTTGCTTGAAAAGATGATGTACTAAGATTATCTCTATCTATAAAAGGCAGGATGTGCGTGTGTGTGCGCCCGCGTGTGTGTGTGTGTGTGCGCGCGCGCGTGTGTGTGTGTGTGTGTGTGTAACGAATGCTCGGCCGCAATTTTCGACGGATTTGCACCAAAATTTACATGCACATGCTCCAACTTAGCGGGAAGGAGAAAACCGACATTGCATTTCCCAACTCCCATCGATAGTGGAAATAATCGATTTTTCATGCTTCTACGGCAGTTTTCATGAAGTTTGCGGCCATTTTCTACTGGCCAGAGTGAGAGCCAATAGCTGGATGCCACGAATACGCAGGAAGATTCTATTGGCCAGCGTGAGAGCCAACAGCTGACTGACACGAATTTTAACTAGCATGCAAAAAAAAAAAAAAATAGATTACTGCATTCGTCACAAGTGGGAAAAAATTAAATCTGCATGCCACTTTACTCCAATTGGCTCATTCGCTTGATTAAACTCAACGTTTATTCTGATTCCGAAGAAATGGGTTGGGTGTGAAAAAGTATTTGTTGTTAACATTCTTTTTTCATTCGGTTTTTCCAGTTACGAGTCCTTTTTTAAAGCTGATCGTTTTGTGTTCATTTTGTTTAGTTCTTTTTTCGTAACAGATTTAATGTTTAGTATAGAGCTTAGAAAAAAATCGCAGTTTGAGATAGGCAAGAAGTAAGGCATGTAACAACATCAGCACGGCAAAGGGTACTCCTTTAAAGGCAAGGAAGGGAAGTCAAGTGATAGCGATTGCTGTATGAGTCGTACGATTTTTGAATTGAGCACGGGCAACGCCGGGTCATGCTGCTATTATAAGATAAAGAAGTGCCAGTTTCCGAAGAGAAGCAGCACGCGAAGTAAAGGCTGAAAAGTGGTGGAGGGGATCTCTCTAAATAACGAATTTTCTAATATGGGTTCAAATACATCATTGACTTGATGTCCGAAAGTATTGTTCGTACGGAATATTTCGTTATCCAAAATAGCGTAAAGCAAAGAAGTATTTATCGTTAATTTATATGGGGAATAGTTTTGATCGTTCCCAAACCGAAAAGATAAATTTTCGCTGAATGTGCAACTCACACGACTGAAAACATGATTAATTTGATGTCCGAAAGTGGTGTTCGTACAGAATATTTCGTTATCCAAAATAGCGTAAAGCAAATAAGTATTTATCCTTAATTTATATGGGGGAATCGATTTAACCGTTCCAAGAGAGAAAGGATAAACTTTTGCTGAATGTGCAACTCACACGACTGAAAACATTTAGTCACTTTCATGTGCCAATGCATTCCCACGTGTGGTTCAGGCTTTCTGAAAGATTTTATCGAGTTAGCGTCTCTTGAATGACTGCCAAGCAACGCTGTAGATCCCAATCTGTCCCGCTAAATATTTAACCCACTTCTGGGGGGGGGCTTAGAGAAGAGATGGATTTATACACTTTCGAAAGGTATTTGCACGTAAATGAATATAATGAACTTTACTTCTGAACTGTAATACATTATTCCACATGCACATCCTTCAACAGTGATACAATAATTATAGTATAGTTTAAAATTTTGAAAGATGCGTAGGTTTAGAACAGATTCTAAAGGTGGCTTGCGTGACTACAAATAAGTGTTTAGGGTTAATCATTTAAGCCTACTGTCAGATTTCTATTCTTGCACATCAGACGTGGACGAACAATCCAAGGAGTAAATTCCGTCAGAAATTGCCTGAAGATCATTTCGGAAGATAAGTACAAGTAATAAGATCCGAACTTCCGACTATCTTAAGCCATCATCAGCGTAACTAAAGACACTTGGTGATTTTCGTAGAACTAGTCAGTGCTGTGACGTCGTCGGCCCACGCTAGCATCCGAGCATCGGGATCGCCATCCTTTCCATCTTGTTCCTGGTGGAGATGGCTGTAAAGGCTCAGCCGACTCTTGAAGAGTCGTGATTAGGAGGTACAGTGCACCATGTGTGGTGGATGCCGCTAGGCGAGTCGGGCCTTCCTCGCAACACGTGGCAGATCCTCTTCATATTGACGGTTGGACTCGATCGTCTTGCGTTGTAACGTAAGTGAGGTGTGGCGTGTATTCATCCAGAATCTTACAACATTTCACCATACTTGGCAGATTAACAGTTATCATCTATGGGATATTTAATAACAAAGATGATGGAAACAAAAAGAAAAAAAGAATGAATTTGGCTAGATTATCTAACCAAAACACATTGTGTATATATATATATATATATAAAAGGCAGGATGTGTGTGTGTAACGAATGCACGGCCGCAATTTTCGACGGATTTACACCAAAATGTACATGCACATGCTACAAGTTAGCGGTAAAGCCAAGACCGACATTGCATTTTCTAACTCCTATGGATAGTGGAAATAATCGATATTTTCATGCTTCTACGGCAGTTTTAATGTAATTTGCGGCCATTTTCTACTGGCCAGCGTGAGAGCCTATAGCTGGCTGCCACGAATAGGCAGGAATAGTCTATTGGCCAGCGTGAGAACCAGCAGCTGACTGACACGAATGTTAACTAGCATGCTAGCATGCAAAAAAATTCGATAGCGGCATTCGTCACTAGTGGGAAAAATTTAAATCTGCATGGCACTTTAATCCAATTGGTTCATTCGCTTGCTTAAACTCAACGTTGATTCTGATTCCGCAGAACGGGGTTGGATGTGAAAAAGTATTTGTTGTTAACATTCTTTTTTCATTCGGTTTTTCCAGTTACGAGTCCTTTTTTTAAAGCTGAACGTTTTGTGTTCATTTTGTTTAGTTCTTTTTTCGTAACAGATTTAATGTTTAGTATAGATTTTAGAAAAAAATTCGCAGTGTGTGATAGGCAAGAAGTAAGGCATGTAGCAACATCAGCACGGCAAAGGGCACTCCTTTAAAGGCAAAGAAGGGCAAAAATATTTTAAGTCAAGTGATACCGATTGCTGCGTGAGTCGTACGATTTTTGAATCAAAACACGGCAACGCCATGCCCATGCTATATATATATATATATATATATATATATATATATATATATATATATATATATATATATATATATATGTATGTATTGTTAAACATAACAGACAACGAATGTCTATTATGTTTGATCATGTACCGTCTAAACTTCGTATAGGTGCTTTAATTTCGAGTGAAAATAAAGACAAAATCTGTCCGATATTTAGATATTTTTATTATGCTGTTCCTCGATGAAGCTTTCTGCTCGCAAGAGACATCTTCAGAGTGGTTATATGGATATTTCAGCAAAGACATTCATCATCAAATAGGATTTCCTGTTATGTTTACATAGAAGTTTTCTATGCAACGATGATGGGCATTAATGTTTTTGTCTTTATTTTCTTCCGAAATTAAAGTAACTATACTAAGGTTAGAACGGCTCCTGATGACACAATAGACATTCGTTGTCTGTTATATTCAACCATATACGTTTGAATAATGATCTGCTGCCCCAATGAAATATATATATATATATATATATATATATATATATATATATATATATATATATATAATTTATTTGTTTAAACGCTATTTTTTAAATGGATATTGATATTGGATATTTGAGTAGATGCTGACTTATTTACATCTAGCGGCCTGAATATTCGAGAAATCTTGTTAAAAATCTTTTTAAAAAATTAAAAAATAACAAATAAATTAAAAATCTGTCGGATTTAATCTATTTCCTAATACATACGCACGCATGCACATTATTATATATATATATATATATATATATATATATATATATAAGGAAAATGTGTGTCTTTTAAAAATCGAAATATTTTTACTTAAAAATAAAAAGCTTTTAGCGAGTCTTAACCATTTGCCAGCAACGTCTATTTGATAGATAGGCATGAAATACTTGAGATAGATAGATAGATAGATAGATAGATATGACCTGCTTGACATAGGATGAATATTTTTTATGAAATCACGTACGAAAATCAGTCAAATGTTTTCTATTATCGAGTATAATGGAGTCTTTCTATCGATAACTTTCACAAAAATAAGTCGGTTCTGATGTAATTCAATTATAAAGGCCACTAGACTTCAAAATTGCAAAACTTGACTTCTTTAGAACGACTGTTTATTTTGCTTCCTCTCTTTTATTCTTTTATGTTTTCTTATTAAATATTTCCATTACTGAAACTGGATACTAACAGAATCAACCGGATGAAGTAATCGCATTCTGTTCGTCTGGTCTTTGTCGTTGTGTTGTCGTTACTGACAATGCACATGGCAGCTTGTAAACAATGATGAACACACGTGGTTTACCACAGATTCATTTAAAACTTACCATCATTTACTAAATACTGAATACGGGGCATGGATCAGTTATGATAAATTTGTGTCGGCATGATAGGAATACTCCCCGAAAAATAGCAGAATGTAGACAAAAGAATGTTGTTAACCAGATAGATATCACATTAATGGTTCTTGAAAAGGACAGAGAAGTCGTAAGTATTAGAACAAAACTATAACGCTACATTAACTTCGTGCAGTTTATCCAGAATTTCGAAGGCCATACTTCACACATTACTGAAGAATACATTGAAAAATGAACGACACATTGTCGTGCTTTATTTAATAGAGTATATGTATAATATTTTTTTGTTTAAAAATATGATTCCTTCGCTTCATAAGAGTTCTCATGTTTCAAAAACGAGAGCCGAAACTATCCAAATAATTATTAAAATTAAGTTGAATTGATGTGTTTAATCACGTTTCATCTTCAAGCGAAATTTTAGGAATAAGCTATCTTTTAGTTTACGTGTGTTTTTAGGCATGGTCCGTTATAACATTCGTTATTTTGGGAGTGGCTAGGCTAGTCTTCTTCGTTAAGTGGTCAGAAAGTTAACTCTTATCTATAGATTCATCATCTTCTGAGAGGTTTTGCTAAGGTTGGGTAGGGTCTCTATTTCAAGGCTAATGTTGGCGGTCATCCTCTAGTTAGGTCCCAGTGAGGGATATTTTTATGGCGCGCCTACAAGTCGTTATGTGTCGGGAGGATTTTGTTTTATTATTGTCTATCTGATTATCTATTTATTTATTTGCTTATTCAAGTGGGTGTTTAATATATACAAACCGTATTGCACAAAATTTCAATTTGCTTTTTTTGTTTTTTTGACGACTTCAGAAAGGTTTTTTCCTATATGAAAGAAGGATTGCTGCCCAAATACACACACACACACACACACACACACACACACACACATATATATATATATATATATATATATATTACAATGAATCATTCATACAAAAAGTAAATTAGTAAAGTCAATGATATAAAATGGCGAAATCTCTTCGCTACAAAAATTAAAGATGCATTAACCTACCAATCACTCGATGAATCTTATGATCCTTGTTTTTTTTTAAAGTGTAAGCTGTATAAGAACTTTCTTAAATGCACAAGTACTTTCCACTGTACATTCAGTCATCTTCAGGCACGGAAATTATTTTGTTTTTGCTGAATGTACACTCAGTTGACTAACATGAAGAATAAGGATAAAGCGATATTCATTAAGTTTGATATAATTGACTTCTATTCCTCTATCAGTAAGTACCTCCTGGTCAATAGTATCAACTTTGTGAAGAACTATATAAAAATAACGAATGATGAAAACGGCGAGAAAGTCACTGCTCCTACTGAATAACTCCATCTGGATTAAGTGTCACAATAACTAATTCGATATCCCCATGGGAGCGTATGACTCAAGTTGCAGAGCTAGTAAGTTTTTACATTTTAAATGTGCTTAGTAGAATCGTAAAACCGTAACTAATAGGACTGTATAGGGATGATAGACTCATCCTCATCCTTAATAGCAATGGTCCACTCGAAGCCAAATTAAAAAGAAAAATATCAGGACCTTCAAATTCCTAGGGTTTAAAATTGAGATTTTCTCTGACCTTTAAATATTTGACTACCTAGATATCACCCTTAACCTTAATGATGAAACCTTTAAAGCTTACCATAAAGAGAACGAAACCCCCAACTATATTAATATCGGTTCAAACACCCCAGTGCAATCCTAAGTCTTATGCGATCTTACCCATAATAATAATAATGGACTATTCCATACTTAAAAAATACTGCGCCTCAGGAGTAGTTCAAGGGGAGTCAGTAGTTCAAGTCGAGTCAAGAGACGAGTCAAGAGTCGAGTCAGAGGCAGTCCGAAAGTTCAGACAATTACTGCAAGACATTGGAAGAGTGATACTGGTCGAGACTACATTGTTCTCTTTACTAAACCTGATTGTTCATACCATGACTTCTACTTCTCTGTATATATTCCTGTTTGTAATATATCTGTGTTATCCCATACCTGTGTTCGCGTTCTTCTTTATTGGTTCTACCTTGGACTATCACCGTGGTACAAGGAACCGGACCATAACACTAAGACAAATAGCCACTACCGTTTGCACAAGGATCAGTAAACTATCATCCAATGAAAAAATCTTGAATAAAATTAAAGAACTATACGAAAAGGCCTGCTAATAAGTGGCTTTAAAAGTAAACTGTCTTACGCGATCACCATTAGTAATACCGATACAGGAAAAGTGGAATGTTGGTGCAAAAATAGAAAAATCACTTAGTCACCCCCCGCTTTTGCAAACTGCCAAGTATCAAAATCGGACAATACTTCTTAAACGTAATTACTAAACACTTAAAAAAAACAAAAAAGCAAAAAAAAAGAACGCTAAATAAGATATTCAACAGGAAATCAGTCAAAATCATCTACTCCTGCACTGATAATATGTACTAAATTATTAATTCTCATAAAAATTACATTTTAAGTAAAATTCCATGGGAATAAAAACGAACTCTAACATGGAAACCCCCTGTAATTGTAGAATTAAGGAAAACTGCCCAGTAGAGGGCAAGTGCAGAACCACTAGGGTAGTATACCAGGCCATCATCACCCCTTAAGAAAATACGACAAACCATAATATTAACATCGGCATTTCTGCAGAAGAATTTAAAAAAAAGATTCAATACACATACACATTCATTCACCAATCCAAAATTAAAACAACAAACAGCCCTTTCGAAAAAAATTTGAGAATTGAAGGAAAAGGGGTTTGAATCCATAAATAAATTGGAAAATTCTAGGTTTCGCGAACACACATCAATAGTTTTTGGGATAGGTTCAAGTTTAGAAGGAAAAAAATAAAAGAAAACAGGATGATAAAATATAAAGGTCCATGCAAACTATTAAATCAACGGAGAGAAATAATCACGAAATATAGACATAGGAACGGATTCCAAATTACATAAGAATACAGGTGCATATATGTGGGGGTGTACGTATAGTGGCATATATGTATGAACATGTAGAGTTACACACACACACACACACACACACACACACATATATATATATGTATATGTACGTATGAAGATACGTACACATATAAGTGAGTTCGACAGCATAGTTATTACATTGGGTGCTCTTGTATTAGCTACACTCTAAAAATCTATAATTCAACTAATTTACATTAATTTTAACGGACTTAAGTTTATAGACCCCTCCCCGCATTGCTTAGTAGTACAAAAACTATTTACTGTGAATCCCAGAAAAACACACACCGGGGTCTTTATAAGAAAAACTACATAGTAGGAACTGCTATTAAACTACAAGAAAAAATTCTACCCATAAATAAACTTCAAACACAGAACGCTTCCACCCGGGATAAGATAACTTACGCCCCCACCAATCGCTAACATAAACCCACTCTCATTAACAAAGCGCCTACTTGAGGAGGACTGACTTTGAAAATAAATTTAAAACAATACTCCGAGATAATTTTTGTTTTTTGCTGCAATATATATATATATATATATGAAAATTGGAAAAAACTTCTCGTGGGACGCTTAGGATTTCATCGGACTACATACGTTCGCGAACGAGAGACGATGCGAACTTTTAATTTAGAAATTTTATGTGTTTTTATGTGTAATAATCAAACCAATTTCATTCAGATTGTCTTTCTTTCTACAGGTGAGAAAAGAAACTGATGGGGGAGAAGTGGTCGCTGCATTTAGCTATTTCAAGTGTGGGACCGAGATGCCAATCTAGTATCACGCCTAAATTCATGTATTCGGAGTACCAGGGAAGAAAAAAAGCTCATCCCCTGATAAATGAAATCTCTGAATAGTTTAAATGCAACATCAATCGCCATCTTCTCTCTTCTTAAATCTTGTTCATCTTTTGTCATTTCCCCAATCTTTCCTATTCTCAGTCTTCACTTTCACTCCCTTTAACTCCCTGCGTAGTGGAATTCCCGCTTTGCGTAGAGTGATATGAATGAAAAAAGACAAAAGGAACAGTGGATATCAGAGGATCGTCCACTTGATGAGTTTGAGCAAATGAATGGAGGAACAAGGGATATCAGAGGGTCGTCTTCTTGGTGAGTTTGAGCAAATGAATGGAGGAACAAGGGATATCAGAGGGTTGTCTACTTGGTGAGTTTGAGCAAATGAATGGAGGAACAAGGGATATCAAATGAATGGAGGAACAAGGGATCTCAGAGGGTTGTCTACTTGGTGAGTTTGAGCAAATGAATGGAGGAACAAGGGATATCAGAGGGTTGTCTACTTGGTGAGTTTGAGCAAATGAATGGAGGAACAAGGGATATCAGAGGGTCGTCTACTTGGTGAGTTTGAGCAAATGAATGGAGGAACAAGGGATATCAGAGGGTTGTCTACTTGGTGAGTTTGAGCAAATGAATGGAACAAGGAACAAGGGATATCAGAGGTGAATGGAGGAACAAGTCTACTTTGGTGAGTTTGAGCAAATGAATGGAGGAACAAGGGATATATCAGAGGGTGAATGTCTTCTTGGTGAGTTTGGTGAGCAAATGAATGGAGGAACAAGGGATATCAGAGGGTTGTCTACTTGGTGAGTTTGAGCAAATGAATGGAGGAACAAGGGATATCAGAGGGTCGTCTACTTGGTGAGTTTGAGCAAATGAATGGAGGAACAAGGGATATCAGAGGGTCGTCTACTTGGTGAGTTTGAGCAAATGAATGGAGGAACAAGGGATATCAGAGGGTCGTCTACTTGGTGAGTTTGAGCAAATGAATGGAGGAACAAATGAATGGAGTTTGAACAAATGAATGGAGGAACAAGGGATATCAGAGGGTCGTCTACTTGGTGAGTTTGAGCAAATGAATGGAGGAACAAGGAATCAAGGGTCGTCTATTTGGTGATTTGAGCAAATGAATGAGGAACAAGGGATATCGTCTATTTGGTGAGTTTGAGCAAATGAATGGAGGAACAAGGGATATTTGAGCAAATGAATGGTCGAGGGTCTCTACTTGGTGAGTTTTGAGCAAATGAATGGAGGAACAAATGAATGGAGGATATCAGAGGGTCGTCTACTTGGTGAGTTTGAGCAAATGAATGGAGGAACAAGGATATCAGAGGGTCGTCTACAAATTGGTGAAACAAGTTTCAGAGGGTCGTCAAATGAATGGAGGAACAAGGGATATCAGAGGGTCGTCTACTTGGTGAGTTTGAGCAAATGAATGGAGGAACAAGGGATATCAGAGGGTCGTCTACTTGGTGAGTTTGAGCAAATGAATGGAGGAACAAGGGATATCAGAGGGTCGTCTATTTGGTGAGTTTGAGCAAATGAATGGAGGAACAAGGGATATCAGAGGGTTGTCTACTTGGTGAGTTTGAGCAAATGAATGGAGGAACAAGGGATATCAGAGGGTTGTCTATTTGGGAGGAACAAGGGATGAGTTTGAGCAAATGAATGGAGGAACAAGGATATCAGAGGGTGGAGGAACAAGTCCATTTGGTGAGTTTGAGCAAAATGAATGGAGGAACAAGGGATATCGTCTAGGTGAGGGTTGAATGGAGGAACAAGGGATATCAGAGGGTCGTCTATTTGGTGAGTTTGAGCAAATGAATGGAGGAACAAGGGATATCAGAGGGTCGTCTATTTGGTGAGTTTGAGCAAATGAATGGAGGAACAAGAGGTTGTCTACTTGGTGAGTTTGAGCAAATGAATGGAGGAACAAGGGATATCAGTCGTCCACTTGGTGAGTTTGAGCAAATGAATGGAGGAACAAGGGATAGTTTGAGCAAATGAATGGAGGAACAAGGGATATCAGAGGGTCTCTACTTGGTGAGTTTGAGCAAATGAATGGAGGAACAAGGAACAAGGGGGTCGTCTATATCAAATGAGGGTCGTCTACTTGGTGAGTTTGAGCAAATGAATGAAAATGAATGGAGGAACAAGGGATATCAGAGGGTTGTCTACTTGGTGAGTTTGAGCAAATGAATGGAATGGAGGAACAAGGGATATCAGAGGGTCGTCTATTTGGTGAGTTTGAGCAAATGAATGGAGGAACAAGGGATATCAGGGTCGTCTACTTGGTGAGTTTGAGCAAATGAATGGAGGAACAAGGGATATCAGAGGGTCGTCTACTTGGTGAGTTTGAGCAAATGAATGGAGGAACAAGGGATATCAGAGGGTCGTCTACTTGGTGAGTTTGAGCAAATGAATGGAGGAACAATGGAGGGGATATCAGAGGGTCGTCTACTTGGTGAGTTTGAATGCAAATGAATGGAGGAACAAGGGATATCAGAGGGTCGTCTACTTGGTGAGTTTGAGCAAATGAATGGAGGAACAAGGGATATCAGAGGGTCGTCTATTTGGTGAGTTTGAGCAAATGAATGGAGGAACAAGGATATCAGAGGGTCGTCCATTTGGTGAGTTTGAGCAAATGAATGGAGGAACAAGGGATATCAGAGGTCGTCTATTTGGTGAGTTTGAGCAAATGAATGGAGGAACAAGGGATATCAGAGGGTCGTCTATTTGGTGAGTTTGAGCAAATGAATGGAGGAACAAGGATATATCAGTCTAGGTGAGTTTGAGCAAATGAATGGAGGAACAAGGGATATCAGTCTACTTGGTGAGTTTGAGCAAATGAATGGAGGAACAAGGGATATCAGAGGGTCGTCTACTTGGTGAGTTTGAGCAAATGAATGGAGGAACAAGGATATCAGAGGGTCGTCTATTTGGTGAGTTTGAGCAAATGAATGGAGGAACAAGGGATATCAGAGGGTCGTCTATTTGGTGAGTTTGAGCAAATGAATGGAGGAACAAGGGATATCAGAGGGTCGTCTATTGGTGAGTTTGAGCAAATGAATGGAGGAACAAGGGGATATCAGAGGGTCGTTATTTGGTGAGTTTGAGCAAATGAATGGAGGAACAAGGATATCAGAGGGTCGTCTACTTGGTGAGTTTGAGAATGGAGGAACAAATATCAGGGTCGTCTATTTGGAAAGTTTGAGCAAATGAATGGAGGAACAAGGGATATCAGAGGGTCGTCTATTTGGTGAGTTTGAGCAAATGAATGGAGGAACAAGGGATATCAGAGGTCGTCTATTTGGTGAGTTTGAGCAAATGAATGAGGAACAAGGATATCAGAGGGTCGTCTATTTGGTGAGTTTGAGCAAATGAATGGAGGAACAAGGGATATCAGAGGGTCGTCTAATTTGGTGAGTTTGAGCAAATGAATGGAGGAACAAGGATATCAGAGGGTCAGAGGTGAGTTTGAGCAAATGAATGGAGGAACAAGGGATATCAGAGGGTCGTCCACTTGGTGAGTTTGAGCAAATGAATGGAGGAACAAGGGATATCAGAGGGTCGTCTATTTGGTGAGTTTGAGCAAATGAATGGAGGAACAAGGGATATCAGAGGTGAGTTTGAGCAAATGAATGGAGGAACAAGGGATATCAGAGGGTCAAGTATCAGAGGGTATTTGGTGAGTTTGAGCAAATGAATGGAGGAACAAGGGATATCAGAGGGTCGTCTATTTGGAAAGTTTGAGCAAATGAATGGAGGAACAAGGGATATCGTCTAGAGGGTCGTCGTCTATTTGGAAAGTTTGAGCAAATGAATGGAGGAACAAGGGATATCAGAGGGTCGTCTACTTGGTGAGTTTGAGCAAATGAATGGAGGAACAAGGGATATCAGAGGGTCGTCTATTTGGTGAGTTTGAGCAAATGAATGGAGGAACAAGGGATATCAGAGGGTCGTCTACTTGGTGAGTTTGAGCAAATGAATGGAGGAACAAGGATATCAGAGGGTCGTCTATTTGGTGAGTTTGAGCAAATGAATGGAGGAACAAGGATATCAGAGGGTCGTCTATTTGGTGAGTTTGAGCAAATGAATGGAGGAACAAGGGATATCAGAGGGTCGTCTATTTGGTGAGTTTGAGCAAATGAATGGAGGAACAAGGGATATCAGAGGGTCGTCTACTTGGTGAGTTTGAGCAAATGAATGGAGGAACAAGGGATATCAGAGGGTCGTCTACTTGGTGAGTTTGAGCAAAATGAATGGAGGAACAAGGATATCAGAGGGTCGTCTACTTGGTGAGTTTGAGCAAATGAATGGAGGAACAAGGGATATCAGAGGGTCGTCTATTTGGTGAGTTTGAGCAAATGAATGGAGGAACAAGGGGATATCAGAGGGTCGTCTATTTGGTGAGTTTGAGCAAATGAATGGAGGAACAAGGGATATCAGAGGGTCGTCTATTTGGTGAGTTTGAGCAAATGAATGGAGGAACAAGGGGAATCAGAGGGTCGTCTATTTGGTGAGTTTGAGCAAATGAATGGAGGAACAAGGGATATCAGAAGGTCGTCCACTTGGTGAGTTTGAGCAAATGAATGGAGGAACAAGGATATCAGAGGGTCGTCCACTTGGTGAGTTTGAGCAAATGAATGGAGGAACAAGGGAATCAGAGGGTCGTCTATTTGGTGAGTTTGAGCAAATGAATGGAGGAACAAGGGATATCAGTCGTACTTTGGTGAGTTTGAGCAAATGAATGGAGGAACAAGGGATATCAGAGGGTCGTCTACTTGGTGAGTTTGAGCAAATGAATGGAGGAACAGTGGATATCAGAGGATCGTCCACTTGGTGAGTTTGAGCAAATGAATGGAGGAACAAGGGATATCAGAGGGTCGTCTATTTGGTGAGTTTGAGCAAATGAATGGAGGAACAAGGGATATCAGAGGGTCGGCTACTTGGTGAGTTTGAGCAAATGAATGGAGGAACAAGGATATCAGAGGGTCGTCTATTTGGTGAGTTTGAATGGAGGAACAAATGAATGGAGGAACAAGGGATATCAGAGGGTCGTCTATTTGGTGAGTTTGAGCAAATGAATGGAGGAACAAGGGATATCAGAGGGTCGTCCACTTGGTGAGTTTGAGCAAAATGAATGGAGGAACAAGGGATATCAGAGACTTGGTGAGTTTGAGCAAATGAATGGAGGAACAAGGGATATCAGAGGGTCGTCCACTTGGTGAGTTTGAGCAAATGAATGGAGGAACAAGGGATATCAGAGGGTCGTCTACTTGGTGAGTTTGAGCAAATGAATGGAGGAACAAGGGATATCAGAGGGTCGTCTATTTGGAAAGTTTGAACAAATGAATGGGAACAAGGGATATCAGAGGGTCGTCCACTTGGTGAGTTTGAGCAAAATGAATGGAGGAACAAGGATTCAGAGGGTCGTCCATTTGGAAAGTTTGAGCAAATGAATGGAGGAACAAGGATATCAGAGGTCGTCTATTGGGTGAGTTTGAGCAAATGAATGGAGGAACAAGGGATATCAGAGGGTCGTCTATTTGGAAAGTTTGAGCAAATGAATGGAGGAACAAGGGATATCAGAGGGTCGTCCACTTGGTGAGTTTGAGCAAATGAATGGAGGAACAAGGGATATCAGAGGGTCGTCTATTTGGTGAGTTTGGAGCAAATGAATGGAGGAACAAGGATATCAGAGGGTCGTCCAAAAAATTGAGCAAATGAATGGAGGAACAAGGGATATCAGAGGGTCGTCTACTTGGTGAGTTTGAGCAAAATGAATGGAGGAACAAGGATATCAGAGGGTTGTCTACTTGGTGAGTTTGAGCAAATGAATGGAGGAACAAGGGATATCAGAGGGTCGTCCATTTGGTGAGTTTGAGCAAATGAATGGAGGAACAAGGAACAAGGGTTGTCTATAGTTTGAGCAAATGAATGAGGAACAAGGATATCAGGGGTCCACTTGGTGAGTTTGAGCAAATGAATGGAGGAAAAAGGGATATCAGAGGGTCGTCTATTTGAGTTTGAGCAAATGAATGGAGGAACAAGGGATATCAGAGGGTCGTCTACTTGGTGAGTTTGAGCAAATGAATGGAGGAACAAGGGATATCAGGAAAGGGTGAATGGAGGAACGTCCAGAGGGTTTGGTGAGTTTGAGCAAATGAATGGAATGGAGGAAGTTTGACAAATGGGATATCAGGGGTCGTATTTGGTGAGTTTGAGCAAATGAATGGAGGAACAAGATATCAGGGTTGTCTACTTGGTGAGTTTGAGCAAATGAATGGAGGAACAAGGGATATCAGAGGTCGTCTATTTGGTGAGTTTGAGCAAATGAATGGAGGAACAAGGGATATCAGAGGTCGTCTACTTGGTGAGTTTGAGCAAATGAATGGAGGAACAAGGGATATCAGAGGGTCGTCTACTTGGTGAGTTTGAGCAAATGAATGGAGGAACAAGGATATCAGAGGGTCGTCTATTTGGAAAGTTTGAGCAAATGAATGGAGGAACAAGGGATATCAGAGGGTCTACTTGGTGAGTTTGAGCAAATGAATGGAGGAACAAGGGATATCAGAAGTCGTCTACTTTGAGTTTGAGCAAATGAATGGAGGAACAAAGGGATATCAGAGGGTCGTCTATTTGGTGAGTTTGAGCAAATGAATGGAGGAACAAGGATATCAGAGGGTCGTCTACTTGGTGAGTTTGAGCAAATGAATGGAGGAACAAGGGATATCAGAGGGTCGTCTATTTGAAAGTTTGAGCAAATGAATGGAGGAACAAGGGATATCAGAGGGTTGTCTACTTGGTGAGTTTGAGCAAATGAATGGAGGAACAAGGGATATCAGAGGGTCGTCTGTGAGTTTGAGCAAATGAATGGAGGAACAAGGATATCAGAGGGTCGTCCACTTGGTGAGTTTGAATGGAGGAAATGAATCAGAATCACTGGAGTTTGAGCAAAATGAATGGAGGAAACAAGGGATATCAGAGGTCGTCTACTTGGTGAGTTTGAGCAAATGAATGGAGGAACAAGGGATAGTTTGAGAAATGAATGGTTGTCCAGAGGGTTGTCCACTTGGTGAGTTTGAGCAAATGAATGGAGGAACAAGGATATCAGAGGGTCGTCTACTTGGTGAGTTTGAGCAAATGAATGGAGGAACAAGGATATCAGAGGGTCGTCTACTTGGTGAGTTTGAGCAAATGAATGGAGGAACAAGGGATATCAGAGGGGTCGTCTACTTGGTGAGTTTGAGCAAATGAATGGAGGAACAAGGGATATCAGAGGTTGTCCACTTGGTGAGTTTGAGCAAATGAATGAGGAACAAGGGATATCAGAGGGTCGTCCACTTGGTGAGTTTGAGCAAATGAATGGAGGAACAAGGATATCAGAGGGTCGTCTACTTGGTGAGTTTGAGCAAATGAATGGAGGAACAAGGGATATCAGAGGGTCGTCCACTTGGTGAGTTTGAGCAAATGAATGGAGGAACAAGGGATATCAGAGGGTCGTCTATTTGGTGAGTTTGAGCAAATGAATGGAGGAACAAGGGATATCAGGATATCAGAAATGAATGGAGGAACAAGGATATCCACTTGGTGAGTTTGAGCAAATGAATGGAGGAACAAGGGATATCAGAGGGTCGTCTCCACTTGGTGAGTTTGAGCAAATGAATGGAGGAACAAGGGATATCAGAGGGTTGTCTACTTGGTGAGTTTGAGCAAATGAATGAGGAACAAGGATATGGAGGAAGCAAATGAATGGAGGAACAAGGGATATCAGAGGGGTCGTCTACTTGGTGAGTTTGAGCAAATGAATGGAGGAACAAGGGATATCAGAGGGTTGTCTATTTGGTGAGTTTGAGCAATGAATGGAGGAACAAGGATCAAGGGTCGTCTAATGGTGAGTTTGAACAAATGAATGGAGGAACAGTGGATATCAGAAGGTCGTCCACTTGGTGAGTTTGAGCAAATGAATGGAGGAACAAGGGATATCAGAGGGTTGTCTACTTGGTGAGTTTGAGCAAATGAATGGAGGAACAAGGGATATCAGAGGGTCGTCTACTTGGTGAGTTTGAGCAAATGAATGGAGGAACAAGGGATATCAGAGGGTCGTCTATTTGGTGAGTTTGAGCAAATGAATGGAGGAAACAAGGGATATCAGAGGTTGTCTACTTGGTGAGTTTGAGCAAATGAATGGAGGAACAAGGGATACAGTGAGAATGGAGGAACAAGGACACAGTCGTCCACTTGGTGAGTTTGAGCAAATGAATGGAGGAACAAGGGATATCAGAGGGTCGTGTCTATTTGGTGAGTTTGAGCAAATGAATGGAGGAACAAGGGATATCAGGGATATCAGAGGGTCGTCTAGAGGGTTGTCTTGGTGAGTTTGAGCAAATGAATGGAGGAACAAGGGATATCAGAGGGTTGTCTACTTGGTGAGTTTGAGCAAATGAATGGAGGAACAAGGGATATCAGAGGGTCGTCCATTTGGTGAGTTTGAGCAAATGAATGGAGGAACAACAAGGATATCAGAGGGTCGTCTACTTGGTGAGTTTGAGCAAATGAATGGAGGAACAAGGATATCAGAGGGTCGTCCACTTGGTGAGTTTGAGCAAATGAATGGAGGAACAAGGATATCAGAGGGTCTATTTGGTGAGTTTGAGAATGGAGGAACAAATGAATGGAGTTTGGAGCAAATGAATGGAGGAACAAGGATATCAGAGGGTCGTCTATTTGGTGAGTTTGAGCAAATGAATGGAGGAACAAGGGATATCAGAGGGTCCACTTGGTGAGTTTGAGCAAATGAATGGAGAACAAGGAACAAGAGTTTGATGAATGGAGAACAAGGGATATGTCTCTTATTTGAAAAGTTTGAGCAAATGAATGGAGGAACAAGGGATATCAGAGGGTTGTCTACAAATGAATGGAGGAACAAGGGATATCAGAGGGTCGTCTACTTGGTGAGTTTGAGCAAATGAATGGAGGAACAAGGGATATCAGAGGGTCGTCTTTGGAGCAAATTGGTGAGTTTGAGCAAATGAATGGAGGAACAAGGGATATCAGAGGGTCGTCCAATTTGGTGAGTTTGAGCAAATGAATGGAGGAACAAGGATATCAGAGGTTGTCCACTTGTGAGTTTGAGCAAATGAATGGAGGAACAAGGATATCAGGGTCGTCTACTTGGTGAGTTTGAGCAAATGAATGGAGGAACAAAAGGGATATCAGAGGGTTGTCTACTTGGTGAGTTTTGAGCAAATGAATGGAGGAACAAGGGATATCAGAGGGTCGTCTACTTGGTGAGTTTGAGCAAATGAATGGAGGAACAAGGGATATCAGAGGGTTGTCTACTTGGTGAGTTTGAGCAAATGAATGGAGGAACAAGGGATATCAGAGGGTCGTCCACTTGGTGAGTTTGAGCAAATGAATGGAGGAACAAGGGATATCAGAGGGTCGTCCACTTGGTGAGTTTGAGCAAAATGAATGGAGGAACAAGGATATCAGAGGGTCGTCTATTTGGTGAGTTTGAGCAAATGAATGGAGGAACAAGGATATCAGAGGGTTGTCCATAGTTTGAGCAAATGAATGGGAACAAGGATATCAGAGGGTCTATTTGGTGAGTTTGAGCAAATGAATGGAGGAACAAGGATATCAGAGGGTCGTCTATTTGGTGAGTTTGAGCAAATGAATGGAGGAACAAGGGATATCAGAGGGTCGTCTAAATGAATGGAGGAACAAGGATATCAGAGGGTCAGACTATTTGGGAGTTTGAGCAAATGAATGGAGGAACAAGGGATATCAGAGGGTCGTCCACTTGGTGAGTTTGAGCAAATGAATGGAGGAACAAGGATATCAGAGGGTTGTCTACTTGGTGAGTTTGAGCAAATGAATGGAGGAACAAGGGATATCAGAGGGTCGTCTACTTGGTGAGTTTGAGCAAATGAATGGAGGAACAAGGGATATCAGAGGGTTGTCCATTTGGTGAGTTTGAGCAAATGAATGGAGGAACAAGGATATCAGAGGGTCGTCTACTTGGTGAGTTTGAGTTTGAGCAAAATGAATGAGGGTTATTTGGTGAGTATCAGAGGGTCATCAGAGTTGTCTACTTGGTGAAGTTTGAGCAAATGAATGGAGGAACAAGGGATATCAGAGGTTGTCTACTTGGTGAGTTTGAGCAAATGAATGGAGGAACAAAAGGATATCAGAACAAGGGTCGTCTACTTGGTGAGTTTGAGCAAATGAATGGAGGAACAAGGGATATCAGAGGGTCGTCTACTTGGTGAGTTTGAGCAAATGAATGGAGGAACAAGGATATCAGAGGGTCAGGGTGAGTTTGAGCAAATGAATGGAGGAACAAGGATTTGAAGGTCGAGTTTTGAGCAAATGAATGGAGGAACAAGGGATATCAGAGGGTCGTCTACTTGGTGAGTTTGAGCAAATGAGAATGGAGGATGGAGGAACAAAGGGATATCAGAGGGTCGTCCACTTGGTGAGTTTGAGCAAATGAATGGAGGAACAAGGGATATCAGAGGGTTGTCTACTTGGTGAGTTTGAGCAAATGAATGGAGGAACAAGGATATCAGAGGGTCGTCTACTTGGTGAGTTTGAGCAAATGAATGGAGGAACAAAAGGATATCAGAAGGTCGTCTATTTGGTGAGTTTGAGCAAATGAATGGAGGAACAAGGATATCAGAGGGTCGTCTACTTGGTGAGTTTGAGCAAATGAATGGAGGAACAAGGGATATCAGAGGGTCGTCTACTTGGTGAGTTTGAGCAAATGAATGGAGGAACAAGGATATCAGAGGTCGTCTATTTGGAAAGTTTGGAGCAAATGAATGGAGGAACAAGGGATATCAGAGGGTCGTCCACTTGGTGAGTTTGAGCAAATGAATGGAGGAACAAGGGATATCAGAGGGTCGTCTACTTGGTGAGTTTGAGCAAATGAATGGAGGAACAAGGATATCAGAGGGTCGTCTACTTGGGTGAGTTTGAGCAAATGAATGGAGGAACAAGGATATCAGAGGGTCGTCTATTTGGTGAGTTTGAGCAAATGAATGGAGGAACAAGGGATATCAGAGGGTCGTCTATTTGGTAGTTTGAGCAAATGAATGGAGGAACAAGGATATCAGAGGGTTGTCTACTTGGTGAGTTTGAGCAAATGAATGGAGGAACAAGGGATATCAGACGGTCGTCCACTTGGTGAGTTTGAGCAAATGAATGGAGGAACAAGGGATATCAGAGGGTCGTCTACTTGGTGAGTTTGAGCAAATGAATGGAGGAACAAGGGATATCAGAGGGTCGTCTACTTGGTGAGTTTGAGCAAATGAATGGAGGAACAAGGGATATCAGAGGGTCGTCTATTTGGAAAGTTTGAGCAAATGAATGGAGGAACAAGGGATATCAGAGGGTTGTCTACTTGGTGAGTTTGAGCAAATGAATGGAAGAAGGTTCTACTTGGTGAGTTTGAGAATGGAGGAACAAGGGATATCAGAGGGTCGTCTACTTGGTGAGTTTGAGCAAATGAATGGAGGAAACAAGGGATATCAGAGGGTCGTCTATTTGGTGAGTTTGAGCAAATGAATGGAGGAACAAGGATATCAGAGGGTCGTCTATTTGGTGAGTTTGAGCAAATGAATGAGGAACAAGGGATATCAGAGGGTCTGTCTATTTGGTGAGTTTGAGCAAATGAATGGAGGAACAAGGATATCAGAGGGTCGTCTATTTGGTGAAGTTTGAGCAAATGAATGGAGGAACAAGGGATATCAGAGGGTCGTCTATTTGGTGAGTTTGAGCAAATGAATGGAGGAACAAGGATATCAGAGGGTCGTCTACTTGGTGAGTTTGAGCAAATGAATGGAGGAACAAGGGATATCAGAGGGTCGTCTATTTGGTGAGTTTGAGCAAATGAATGGAGGAACAAGGGATATCAGAGGGGTCGTCTATTTGGTGAGTTTGAGCAAATGAATGGAGGAACAAGGGATATCAGAGGGTCGTCTACTTGGTGAGTTTGAGCAAATGAATGGAGGAACAAGGATATCAGAAGGTCGTCTATCAAATGAATGGAGGAACAAGGGATATCAGAGGGTCGTCCACTTGGTGAGTTTGAGCAAATGAATGGAGGAACAAGGGATATCAGAGGGTCGTCTATTTGGTGAGTTTGAGCAAATGAATGGAGGAACAAGGGATATCAGAGGGTCGTCTACTTGGTGAGTTTGAGCAAATGAATGGAGGAACAAGGGATATCAGAGGGTCGTCTATTTGGAAAGTTTGAGCAAATGAATGGAGGAACAAGGGATATCAGAGGGTCGTCTACTTGGTGAGTTTGAGCAAATGAATGGAGGAACAAGGGATATCAGAAGGTCGTCTACTTGGTGAGTTTGAGCAAATGAATGGAGGAACAAGGGATATCAAGCAAATAGCAGAGGGAGGGATCTCAGAAGGTCTTGGTGAGTTTGAGCAAATGAATGGAGGAACAAGGGATATCAGAGGTCGTCTATTTGGTGAGTTTGAGCAAATGAATGGAGGAACAAGGATATCAGAGGGTCGTCTATTTGGTGAGTTTGAGCAAATGAATGGAGGAACAAGGGATATCAGAGGTCGTCTACTTGGTGAGTTTGAGCAAATGAATGGAGGAACAAGGGATATCAGAGGGTCGTCGGAAAGTTTGAGCAAATGAATGGAGGAACAAGGGATATCAGAGGGTCAGTTCTATTTGGTGAGTTTGAGCAAATGAATGGAGGAACAAGGATATCAGAGGTCGTCTACTTGGAGGAACAAGGATGAGTTTGAGTTTGAGCAAATGAATGGAGGAACAAGGGATATCAGAGGGTCGTCTACTTGGTGAGTTTGAGCAAATGAATGGAGGAACAAGGGATATCAGAGGGTCGTCTATTTGGTGAGTTTGAGCAAAATGAATGGAGGAACAAGGAAGAGGTCGTCTAGGAGTTTGAGCAAAATGAATGGGATATCAGAGGGTCAGATGAATGGAGGAACAAGGATATCAGAGGGTTCTCTTTGTGAGTTTGAGCAAATGAATGGAGGAACAAGGGATATCAGAGGGTCGTCTATTTGGTGAGTTTGAGCAAATGAATGGAGGAACAAGGGATATCAGAGGGTCGTCTACTTGGTGAGTTTGAGCAAATGAATGGAGGAAACAAGGATATCAGAGGGTCGTCTACTTGGTGAGTTTGAGCAAATGAATGGAGGAACAAGGATATCAGAGGGTCTATTTGGTGAGTTTGAGCAAATGAATGGAGGAACAAGGGATATCAGAGGGTCTGCTTGGTGAGTTTGAGCAAATGAATGGAGGAACAAGGGATATCAGAGGGTTGTCTACTTGGTGAGTTTGAGCAAATGAATGGAGGAACAAGGGATATCAGAGGGTCGTCTATTTGGTGAAAGTTTGAGGAAGTTTGAGCAAATGAATGGAGGAACAAGGGATATCAGAGGGTTGTCTACTTGGTGAGTTTGAGCAAATGAATGGAGGAACAAGGGATATCAGAGGGTCGTCCACTTGGTGAGTTTGAGCAAATGATCAAGGGATATCAGAGGGTCGTCTACTTGGTGAGTTTGAGCAAATGAATGGAGGAACAAGGGATATCAGAGGGTCGTCTATTTATCAGGTTTGAGTTTGAGCAAAATGGAGGATGGAGGAACAAGGTGATTGGATCAATGAATGGGTCAAGGGATATCAGAGGGTTGTCTACTTGGTGAGTTTGAGCAAATGAATGGAGGAACAAGGGATATCAGAGGGTCGTCTATTTGGTGAGTTTGAGCAAATGAATGGATATCAGAGGAACAACTTGGATATGAATGGAGAAATAAGGGATATCAGAGGGTCGTCTACTTGGTGAGTTTGAGCAAATGAATGGAGGAACAAGGGATATCAGAGGGTCGTCTATTTGGTGAGTTTGAGCAAAATGAATGAGGAACAAGGGATATCAGAGGGTCGTCCACTTGGTGAGTTTGAGCAAATGAATGGAGGAACAAGGGATATCAGAGGGTCGTCTATTTGGTGAGTTTGAGCAAATGAATGGAGGAACAAGGGATATCGATCGTCAGAGGGTTGAGCAAATCTGGAGGAACAAGGATTCAGAGGGTGATTTGGAAAGTTTGAAAATGAATGGAGGAACAAGGGATATCAGAGGGATAGTTTGAGCAAATGAATAGAGGAACAGTGATATCGTCGTCCATTTGGTGAGTTTGAGCAAATGAATGGAGGAACAAGGGATATCAGAGGGTCGTCTACTTGGTGAGTTTGAGCAAATGAATGGAGGAACAAGGATATCAGAGGGTCGTCTATTTGGTGAGTTTGAGCAAATGAATGGAGGAACAAGGGATATCAGAGGGTTGTCTACTTGGTGAGTTTGAGCAAATGAATGGAGGAACAAAGTTTGGATATCAGGAACAAGTCGTCCACTTGGTGAGTTTGAGCAAATGAATGGAGGAACAAGGGATATCAGAAGGTCGTCCACTTGGTGAGTTTGAGCAAATGAATGGAGGAACAAGGGATATCAGAGGGTCGTCTACTTGGTGAGTTTGAGCAAATGAATGGAGGAACAAGGGATATCAGAGGGTCGTCTACTTGGTGAGTTTGAGCAAATGAATGGAGGAACAAGGGATATCAGAGGGTCGTCCACTTGGTGAGTTTGAGCAAATGAATGGAGGAACAAGGGATATCAGAGGGTCGTCTACTTGGTGAGTTTGAGCAAATGAATGGAGGAACAAGGGATATCAGAGGGTTGTCTATTTGGAAAGTTTGAGCAAATGAATGGAGGAACAAGGGATATCAGAGGGTCGTCTACTTGGTGAGTTTGAGCAAATGAATGGAGGAACAAAGTGATATCAGAATGTCGTCTATTTGGAAAGTTTGAGCAAATGAATGGAGGAACAAGGATATCAGAGGTTGTCTACTTGGTGAGTTTGAGCAAATGAATGGAGGAACAAGGATATCAAGGTCGTCTAATTTTGAGCAAAAATGGAGGAACAAGGATATCAGAGGGTGGAGGAACGTCTACTTGGTGAGTTTGAGCAAATGAATGGAGGAACAAGGATATCAGAGGGTCGTCTACTTGGTGAGTTTGAGCAAATGAATGGAGGAACAAGGGATATCAGAGGATCGTCTACTTGGTGAGTTTGAGCAAATGAATGGAGGAACAAGGATATATCCAGAGGTGAATGGAGGAACAAGGATATCAGAGGGTTGTCTATTTGGTGAGTTTGAGCAAATGAATGGAGGAACAAGGGATATCAGAGGGTCGTCTACTTGGTGAGTTTGAGCAAATGAATGGAGGAACAAGGGATATCAGAGGGTCGTCTACTTGGTGAGTTTGAGCAAATGAATGGAGGAACAAAAAGGGATATCAGAGGTCGTCTACTTGAAGCAAATGAATGGAGGAACAAGGGATATCAGAGGGTTGTCCACTTGGTGAGTTTGAGCAAATGAATGGAGGAACAAGGGATATCAAATGAATGGAGAAACAAGGATATCAGAGGGTCGTCTACTTGGTGAGTTTGAGCAAATGAATGGAGGAACAAAGGGATATCAGAGGGTCTCTACTTGGTGAGTTTGAGCAAATGAATGGAGGAACAAGGGATATCAGAGGGCTCGTCTACTTGGTGAGTTTGAGCAAATGAATGGAACAAAGGGATATCAGAGGGTTGTCTAGGTGAGTTTGAGCAAATGAATGGAGGAACAAAAGGATATCAGAGGGTCGTCTACTTGGTGAGTTTGAGCAAATGAATGGAGGAACAACAAGGATATCAGAAGGTCGTCCACTTGGTGAGTTTGAGCAAATGAATGGAGGAACAAGGGATATCAGAGGGTCGTCTATTTGGTGAGTTTGAGCAAATGAATGGAGGAAACAAGGGATATCAGAGGGTCGTCTATTTGGTGAGTTTGAGCAAATGAATGGAGGAACAAGGATATCAGAGGGTTGTCTACTTGGTGAGTTTGAGCAAATGAATGGAGGAACAAGGGATATCAGAGGTCGTCCACTTGGTGAGTTTGAGCAAATGAATGGAGGAAACAAGGATATCAGAGGTTGTCCACTTTGTGAGTTTGAGCAAATGAATGGAGGAACAAAAGGATATCAGAGGGTCGTCTACTTGGTGAGTTTGAGCAAATGAATGGAGGAACAAGGGATATCAGAGGGTCGTCTATTTGGTGAGTTTGAGCAAATGAATGGAGGAACAAGGGATATCAGAGGGTCGTCTACTTGGTGAGTTTGAGCAAATGAATGGGAACAAGGAACAAGGTGATATCAGGGAGGGTCGTCTAATGAGTTTGAGCAAATGAATGGAGGAACAAGGGATATCAGAGGGTCAGTCTACTTGGTGAGTTTGAGAATGGAGGAACAAAAGGGAAATGAATGGAGGAACAAGGGATATCAGAGGGTCGTCTATTTGGAAAGTTTGAGCAAATGAATGGAGGAACAAGGGATATCAGAGGGTTGTCTACTTGGTGAGTTTGAGCAAATGAATAGAGGAACAGTGGATATCAGAAGGTCGTCCACTTGGTGAGTTTGAGCAAATGAATGGAGGAACAAGGGATATCAGAGGGTCGTCTACTTGGTGAGTTTGAGCAAATGAATGGAACAAAGGGATATCAGAGGGTCGTCTACAAATGAATGGAGGAAACAAGGATATCAGAGGTCGTCTACTTGGTGAGTTTGAGCAAATGAATGGAGGAACAAGGGATATCAGAGGGTTGTCTATTTGGTGAGTTTGAGCAAATGAATGGAGGAACAAGGATATCAGAGGTCGTCTACTTGGTGAGTTTGAGCAAATGAATGGAGGAACAAGGGATATCAGAGGGTCGTCTACTTGGTGAGTTTGAGCAAATGAATGGAGGAACAAGGGATATCAGAGGGTCGTCTACTTGGTGAGTTTGAGCAAATGAATGGAGGAACAAGGGATATCAGAGGATATTTGAGCAAATGAATGGTTATCAGAGGGTTGTCTACTTGGTGAGTTTGAGCAAATGAATGGAGGAACAAGGGATATCAGAGGGTTGTCCACTTGGTGAGTTTGAGCAAATGAATGGAGGAAACAAGGGATATCAGAGGGTTGTCTACTTGGTGAGTTTGAGCAAATGAATGGAGGAAATGGGATATCAGAGGGTTGTCTACTTGAGTTTGAGCAAATGAATGGATATCAGAGGGTCGTCTACTTGGTGAGTTTGAGCAAATGAATGGAGGAACAAGGATATCAGAGGGTCGTCCATTTGGTGAGTTTGAGCAAATGAATGGAGGAACAAGGGGATATCAGAGGGTCTCCTTTGGTGAGTTTGAGCAAATGAATGGAGGAACAAGGGATATCAGAGGGTCGTCTACTTGGTGAGTTTGAGCAAATGAATGGAGGAACAAGGGATATCAGAGGGTTGTCTACTTGGTGAGTTTGAGCAAATGAATGGAGGAACAAGGGATATCAGAAGGTCGTCTACTTGGTGAGTTTGAGCAAATGAATGGAGGAACAAGGGATATCAGAGGGTCGTCTACTTGGTGAGTTTGAGCAAATGAATGGAGGAACAAGGGATATCAGAGGGTTGTCTATTTGGTGAGTTTGAGCAAATGAATGGAGGAACAAGGGATATCAGAGGGTCGTCCACTTGGTGAGTTTGAGCAAATGAATGGAGGAACAAAGGATATCAGAGGTCGTCCACTTGGTGAGTTTGAGCAAATGAATGGAGGAAAAAGGGATATCAGAGGGTCGTCTATTTGGTGAGTTTGGAGCAAATGAATGGAGGAACAAGGGATATCAGAGGGTTGTCTACTTGGTGAGTTTGAGCAAATGAATGGAGGAACAAGGGATATCAGAGGGTTGTCTACTTGGTGAGTTTGAGCAAATGAATGGAGGAACAAGGGATATCAGAGGGTTGTCTACTTGGTGAGTTTGAGCAAATGAATGGAGGAACAAGGGATATCAGAAGGTCGTCCACTTGGTGAGTTTGAGCAAATGAATGGAGGAACAAGGGATATCAGAGGGTCGTCTACTTGGTGAGTTTGAGCAAATGAATGGAGGAACAAGGGATATCAGAGGGTCGTCTACTTGGTGAGTTTGAGCAAATGAATGGAGTGAACAAGGATACTGGTGGGTCGTCCATTTGGTTTTGAGCAAATGAATGGAGGAACAAGGGATATCAGAGGGTCGTCCACTTGGTGAGTTTGAGCAAATGAATGGAGGAACAAGGGATATCAGAGGGTTGTCTACTTGGTGAGTTTGAGCAAATGAATGGAGGAAACAGGATATCAGAGGGTCGTCCATTTGGTGAAGTTTGAGCAAATGAATGGAGGAACAAGGGATATCAGAATGGGAACAAGGGATATCAGAGGGTACTTGGTGAGTTTGAGCAAATGAATGGAGGAACAAGGATATATCAGGGTCGTCTACTTGGTGAGTTTGAGCAAATGAATGGAGGAACAAGGATATCAGAGGGTTGTCTACTTGGTGAGTTTGAGCAAATGAATGGAGGAACAAGGGATATCAGAGGGTCTACTTGGTGAGTTTGAGCAAATGAATGGAGGAACAAGGGGTATCAGAGGAGCAAATGAATGGAGGAACAAGGATCTAGAGGGTTTGGTGAGTTTGAGCAAATGAATGGAGGAAACAAGGGATATCAGAGGGTCATCTACTTGGAAAGTTTGGGTTAGCAAATGAATGGAGGAACAAGGATATCAGAGGTCGTCTACTTGGTGAGTTTGAGCAAATGAATGGAGGAACAAGGGGGTCGTCTACTAGTTTGAGCAAATGAATGGAGGAACAAGGGATATCAGAGGGTCGTCTACTTGGTGAGTTTGAGCAAATGAATGGAGGAACAAGGGATATCAGAGGTCGTCTACTTGGTGAGTTTGAGCAAATGAATGGAGGAACAAGGGATATCAGAGGGTTGTCTAGTTTGGTGAATGGATATGAATGGAGGAACTATTTGGTTTGAGCAAATGAATGGAGGAACAAGGATATCAGAGGGAGGAACAGTGGATCGTCTACTTGGTGAGTTTGAGCAAATGAATGGAGGAACAAGGGATATCAGAGGGTCGTCTACTTGGTGAGTTTGAGCAAATGAATGGAGGAACAAGGGATATCAGAGGGTTGTCTACTTGGTGAGTTTGAGCAAATGAATGGAGGAACAAGGGATATCAGAGGGTCGTCTATTTGGTGAGTTTGAGCAAATGAATGGAGGAACAGTGGATATCAGAGGGTCGTCTATTTGGTGAGTTTGAGCAAATGAATGGAGGAACAAGGGATATCAGGGTTGTCTACTTGGTGAGTTTGAGCAAATGAATGAAACAAGGGATATCAGAAGAGGTGAGTTTGAGCACAAGGGATATCAGAGGGTCGTCTACTTGGTGAGTTTGAGCAAATGAATGGAGGAACAAGGGATATCAGAGGGAACGTCTATTTGGTGAGTTTGAGCAAATGAATGGAGGAACAAGGGGATATCAGAGGGTCGTCTACTTGGTGAGTTTGAGCAAATGAATGGAGGAACAAGGATATCAGAGGGTCGTCTATTTGGAAAGTCAGCAAATGAATGGAGGAACAAGGGATATCAGAGGGTCGTCCACTTGGTGAGTTTGAGCAAATGAATGGAGGAACAAGGATATCAGAGGGTTGTCTATTTGGTGAGTTTGGAGCAAATGAATGGAGGAACAAGGGATATCAGAGGGTCGTCTACTTGGTGAGTTTGAGCAAATGAATGGAGGAACAAGGATATCAGAGGGTTGTCTAGAGTTTGAGCAAATGAATGGAGGAACAAGGGATATCAGAGGGTTGTCCACTTTGGTGAGTTTGAGCAAATGAATGGAGGAACAAGGGATATCAGGGGTCGTCTACTTGGTGAGTTTGAGCAATGAATGGAGGAACAAGGGATATCAGAGGGTTGTCCATTTGGTGAGTTTGAGCAAATGAATGGGAGGAACAAGGGATATCAGAGGGTCGTCTATTTGGTGAGTTTGAGCAAATGAATGGAGGAACAAGGGATATCAGAGGGTCGTCTACTTGGTGAGTTTGAGCAAATGAATGAAGGAACAAGGAAACAGTTTGGAATGGATATCAGAGGGTCGTCTAGTTTTGAGCTTGGTGGATATCAGAAGGTTTGAGCAAATGAATGGAGGAACAAGGGATATTTGAGTAAATGAATGGAGGAACAGAGGGTCGTCTACTTGGTGAGTTTGAGCAAATGAATGGAGGAACAAGGGATATCAGAGGGTCGTCTACTTGGTGAGTTTGAGCAAATGAATAGAGGAACAGTGGATATCAGAAGGTCGTCCACTTGGTGAGTTTGAGCAAATGAATGGAGGAACAAGGGATATCAGAGGGTCGTCTATTTGGTGAGTTTGAGCAAATGAATGGAGGAACAAGGGATATCAGAGGGTCGTCTACTTGGTGAGTTTGAGCAAATGAATGGAGGAACAAGGGATATCAGAGGGTTGTCTACTTGGTGAGTTTGAGCAAATGAATGGAGGAACAAGGGGTCGTTCATTTGGTGAGTTTGAGCAAATGAATGGGAGGAACAAAGGGAATCAGAGGTCGTCTACACTTGGTGAGTTTGAGCAAATGAATGGAGGAAAACAAAGGGTTGTCTATTTGGAAAGTTTGAGCAAAATGAATGGAGGAACAAGGATATCAGAGGGTTGTCTACTTGGTGAGTTTGAGCAAATGAATGGAGGAACAACATCAGAGGGGATATTTGAGCAAATGAATGGAGGGTCGTCTATTTGGAAAGTTTGAGCAAATGAATGGAGGAACAAGGGATATCAGAGGGTTGTCTACTTGGTGAGTTTGAATGGAGGAACAAGGATGAATGGAGAGTTTGAACAAATGAATATCAGAGGGTCGTCTACTTGGTGAGTTTGAGCAAATGAATGGAGGAACAAGGGATATCAGAGGTCGTCTATTTGGTGAGTTTGAGCAAATGAATGGAGGAACAAGGGATATCAGAGGGTCGTCTACTTGGTGAGTTTGAATGGAGCAAATGAATGGAGGAACAAGGGAACAAGGATATCAGAGGGTCGTCTATTTGGAAAGTTTGAGCAAATGAATGGAACAAGGAACAAGGGATATCAGAGGGTTGAGGGTCCATTTGGTGAGTTTGAGCAAATGAATGGAGGAACAAGGATATCAGAGGTCGTCTACTTGGTGAGTTTGAGCAAATGAATGGAGGAACAAGGGATATCAGAGGGTCGTCTACTTGGAGGAAGTTTGAGCAAATGAATGGAGGAACAAGGGATATCAGAGGGTCGTCTATTTGGTGAGTTTGAGCAAATGAATGGAGGAACAAGGGATATCAGAGGGTCGTCTACTTGGTGAGTTTGAGCAAATGAATGGAGGAACAAGGGATATCAGAGGGTCGTCTATTTGAGTTTGAGCAAATGAATGGAGGAACAAAGGGATATCAGAGGGTTGTCTACTTGGTGAGTTTGAGCAAATGAATGGAACAAGGAACAAAGGGTTGTCTACTTGGGAGTTTGATCAATGAATGGAGGAACAAGGATATCAGACGGTTGTCTACTTGGTGAGTTTGAGCAAATGAATGGAGGAACAAGGGATATCAGAGGTCGTCTATTTGGAAAGTTTGAGCAAATGAATGGAGGAACAAGGGATATCAGAGGGTTGTCTACTTGGTGAGTTTGAGCAAATGAATGAGAACAGGAACAAACTGGGATATCAGAGGGTTGTCTACTTGGTGAGTTTGAGCAAATGAATGGAGGAACAAATATCAGGGATATCAAATGAATGAGGAACAAGGGATATCAGTCGTCTATTTGGTGAGTTTGAGCAAATGAATGGAGGAACAAGGATATCAGAGGGTTGTCTACTTGGTGAGTTTGAGCAAATGAATAGAGGAACACAGGGATATCAGAAGGTCGTCCACTTGGAGCAAATGAATGGAGGAACAAGGGATATCAGAGGGTCGTCCACTTGGTGAGTTTGAGCAAATGAATGGAGGAACAAAGGGATATCAGAGGGTCGTCTATTTGGTGAGTTTGAGCAAATGAATGGAGGAACAAAGGGATATCAGAGGTCGTCTACTTGTGAGTTTGAGTGGAGTTTGAAGCAAATGAATGGAGGAACAAGGGATATCAGAGGGTCGTCTATTTGGTGAGTTTGAGCAAATGAATGGAGGAACAAAGGATATCAGAGGGTCGTCTAGTTTGAGCAAATGAATGGAGGAACAAGGGGGTCAGAGGGTTGGTGAGTTTGAGCAAATGAATGGAGGAACAAGGGATATCAGAGGGTCGTCTACTTGGTGAGTTTGAGCAAATGAATGGAGGAACAAGGAACAAGGGATATCAAATGAGGGTATCGAGGGTCTATTTGGTGAGTTTGAGCAAATGAATGGAGGAACAAGGGATATCAGAGGGTCGTCTATTTGGTGAGTTTGAGCAAATGAATGGAGGAACAAGGGATATCAGGAGGGTCGTCTACTTGGTGAGTTTGAGCAAATGAATGGAGGAACAAATGAATGGTGAGTTTGAACAAATGAATGGAGGGGATATCAGAGTTTGAGGAATCGGATCTACTTGGTGAGTTTGAGCAAATGAATGGAGGAACAAGGGATATCAGAGGGTCGTCTACTTGGTGAGTTTGAGCAAATGAATGGAGGAACAAGGGATATCAGAGGGAGTCGTCTATCTTGTCCACTTGGTGAGTTTGAGCAAATGAATGAGGAACAAATGAACGTGGATATCAGAGGGTCGTCTACTTGGTGAGTTTGAGCAAATGAATGGAGGAACAAGGGATATCAGAGGGTTGTCTACTTGGTGAGTTTGAGCAAATGAATGGAGGAACAAGGGATATCAGAGGTCGTCTACTTGGTGAGTTTGAGCAATGAATGGAGGAACAAGGGATATCAGAAGGTCGTCCACACTGGAGGAACAAAAGGATATCAGAGGAGGTCGTCTATTTGGTGAGTTTGAGCAAATGAATGGAGGAACAAGGATATCAGAGGGTTGTCTACTTGGTGAGTTTGGAGCAAATGAATGGAGGAACAAGGGATATCAGAGGGTCGTCTACTTGGTGAGTTTGAGCAAATGAATGGAGGAACAAAGGATATCAGAGGGTCGTCTATTTGGTGAGTTTGAGCAAATGAATGGAGGAACAAGGGATATCAGAGGGTTGTCCACTTGGTGAGTTTGAGCAAATGAATGGAGGAACAAGGGATATCAGAATGGAGGAACAAGGATCGTCGTCTATTTGGAAAGTTTGAGCAAATGAATGGAGGAACAAGGGATATCAGAGGTCGTCTGCTTTTGGTGAGTTTGAGCAAATGAATGGAGGAACAAGGGATATCAGAAGGTCGTCCACTTGGTGAGTTTGAGCAAATGAATGGAGGAACAAAGGGATATCAGAGGGTCGTCTATTTGGTGAGTTTGAGCAAATGAATGGAGGAACAAGGGATATCAGAGGGTCGTCTACTTGGTGAGTTTGAGCAAATGAATGGAGGAACAAGGGATATCAGAGGGTCGTCCATTTGGTGAGTTTGAGCAAATGAATGGAGGAAACAAAAGGATATCAGAGGGTTGTCTGAATGGAGGAAACAAGGGGATTGGTGAGTTTGAGCAAATGAATGGAGGAACAAGGGATATCAGAGGTCGTCTTTGAGCAAATGAATGGTGAGTTTGAGTTTGAGCAAATGAATGGAGGAACAAGGGATATCAGAGGGTCGTCTATTTGGAAGTTTGAGCAAATGAATGGAGGAACAAGGGATATCAGAGGGTCGTCTACTTGGTGAGTTTGAGCAAATGAATGGAGGAACAAGGGATATCAGAGGGTCGTCCACTTGGTGTTTGGTGAATGGAGGAACAAAAGGGATATCAGAGGGTCAAATGAATGGGAGGAACAAGGGATATCAGAGGGTTGTTCACTTGGTGAGTTTGAGCAAATGAATGGAGGAATCAGTGGATATCAGAAGAGTTTGAGCAAATGAATGGAGGAACAAGGGATATCAGAGGTTGTCGGTGAGTTTGAGCAAATTGGAGGAACAAAGGATATCAGTTTGAATGGAGGAACAAAGTTTGGCAAATGAATGGAGGAACAAGGGATATCAGAGGGTCGTCTATTTGGAAAGTTTGAGCAAATGAATGGAGGAACAAGGGATATCAGAGGGTTGTCTACTTGGTGAGTTTGAGCAAATGAATGGAGGAACAAGGGATATCAGAGGGTCGTCTACTTGGTGAGTTTGAGCAAATGAATGGAGGAACAAGGGATATCAGAGGGTCGTCTACTTGGTGAGTTTGAGCAAATGAATGGAGGAACAAGGGATATCAGAGGGTCGTCTATCTGAGCAAATGAATGGAGGAACAAGGATATCAGAGGGTCGTTGAGTTTGAGCAAATGAATGAGGGTTGTCTAGGAACAAATGGGATATCAGAGGGTCGTCTACTTGGTGAGTTTGAGCAAATGAATGGAGGAACAAGGGATATCAGAGGGTCGTCTATTTGGTGAGTTTGAGCAAATGAATGGAGGAACAAGGGATATCAGAGGGTCGTCCATTTGGTGAGTTTGAGCAAATGAATGAGGAACAAGGGATATCAGAAATGAATGGTATCAGTCTACTTGGTGAGTTTGAGCAAATGAATGGAGGAACAAGGGATATCAGAGGGTCGTCTATTTGGTGAGTTTGAGCAAATGAATGGAGGAACAAGGGATATCAGAGGGTTATCAGAATGAATGGAGGAACAAGGGATATCGTCGTCCATTTGGTGAGTTTGAGCAAATGAATGGAGGAACAAGGGATATCAGAGGGGAACGTCTATTTGGTGAAAGTTTGAGCAAATGAATGGAGGAACAAAAAGGGATATCAGAGGGTCAAGTCTACTTGGTGAGTTTGAGCAAAATGAATGGAGGAACAAGGAATCAGAGGGTATCAGAGGTCAAGGGATATCTACTTGGTGAGTTTGAGCAAATGAATGGAGGAACAAGGGATATCAGAGGGTCGTCCACTTGGTGAGTTTGAGCAAATGAATGGAGGAAACAAGGGATATCAGAGGGTTCTACTTGGTGAGTTTGAGCAAATGAATGGAGGAACAAGGGATATCAGAGGGTTGTCTATTTGAGTGAGTTTGAGCAAATGAATGGAGGAACAAAAGGGATATCAGAGGGTCGTCTACTTGGTGAGTTTGAGCAAATGAATGGAGGAACAAGGATATCAGAGGGTCGTCTATTGGTGAGTTTGAGCAAATGAATGGAGGAACAAGGGATATCAGAGGTCGTCTACTTGGTGAGTTTGAGCAAATGAATGGAGGAACAAGGGGTTGTCTATATCAGAGGGAACAAGGATATCGTCTCCATTTGGTGAGTTTGAGCAAATGAATGGAGGAACAAGGGATATCAGAGGGTCGTCTACTTGGTGAGTTTGAGCAAATGAATGGAGGAACAAGGGATATCAGAGGGTCGTCTATTTGGTGAGTTTGAGCAAATGAATGGAGGAACAAGGATATCAGAGGGTCGTCTACTTGGTGAGTTTGAGCAAATGAATGGAGGAACAAATAGGATATCAGAGGGTCGTCCATTTGGTGAGTTTGAGCAAATGAATGGAGGGGATATCAGGGTCGTCTAACAAATGGGATATCAGAGGGTTGTCTACTTGGTGAGTTTGAGCAAATGAATGGAGGAACAAGGGATATCAGAGGGTCGTCTATTTTGGTGAGTTTGAGCAAATGAATGGAGGAACAAGGGATATCAGACAGTTGTCCATTGGTGAGTTTGAGCAAATGAATGGAGGAACAAGGATATCAGAGGGTGTCTATTTGGTGAGTTTGAGCAAATGAATAGAGGAACAAGGATATCAGAGGTTGTCCACTTGGTGAGTTTGAGCAAATGAATGGAGGAACAAGGATATCAGAGGGTCGTCTATTGGAGTTTGAGCAAATGAATGGAGGAACAAGGGATATCAGAGGGTCGTCCACTTGGTGAGTTTGAGCAAATGAATGGAGGAACAAGGGATATCAGAGGGTCGTCTATTTGGTGAGTTTGAGCAAATGAATGGAGGAACAAGGGATATCAGAGGGTTGTCTACTTGGTGAGTTTGAGCAAATGAATGGAGGAACAAGGGATATCAGAGGGTCGTCTACTTGGTGAGTTTGAGCAAATTGGAGCAAATATCAGAATGGAGTTTGAAAATGAATGGAAACAAGGGATATCAGAGGGTCGTCTATTTGGTGAGTTTGAGCAAATGAATGGAGGAACAAGGGATATCAGAGGGTCGTCTACTTGGTGAGTTTGAGCAAATGAATAGGGAACAATATCAAGGGATAGTTTGAGCAAATGAATGGGGAACAAGTATCAGACGGTATTTGGTGAGTTTGAGCAAATGAATGGAGGAACAAGGGATATCAGAGGGTCGTCTACTTGGTGAGTTTGAGCAAATGAATGGAGGAACAAGGGATATCAGAGGGTCAGTCTACTTGGTGAGTTTGAGCAAATGAATGGAGGAACAAGGATATCAGGATATTTGGAGCAGATGAATGGAGGAAACAAGGATATCAGAGGGTTGTCTACTTGGTGAGTTTGAGCAAATGAATGGAGGAACAAGGATATCAGAAGGTCGTCTACTTGGTGAGTTTGAGCAAATGAATGGAGGAACAAGGGATATCAGAGGTTGTCTACTTGGTGAGTTTGAGCAAATGAATGGAGGAACAAATGAATGGGATATCAGAGGGTTGTCTACTTGGTGAGTTTGAGCAAATGAATGGAGGAACAAGGATATCAGAGGGTCGTCCACTGGTGAGTTTGAGCAAATGAATGGAGGAACAAGGATATCAGAGGGTTGTCTACTTGGTGAGTTTGAGCAAATGAATGGAGGAAACAAAGGGATATCAGAGGGTCGTCTACTTGGTGAGTTTGAGCAAATGAATGGTATCAGAGGTCGTCCATTTGGTGAGTTTGAAAATGAATGGAGGAACAAGGGATATCAGAGGTTGTCTACTTGGTGAGTTTGAGCAAATGAATGGAGGAACAAGGGGATATCAGAGGGTCGTCCACTTGGTGAGTTTGAGTTTGAGCAAATGAATGGGAGGAACAAGGGAATGGATCAGAGGGTTGTCTACTTGGTGAGTTTGAGCAAATGAATGGAGGAACAAGGGATATCAGAGGGTTGTCTACTTGGTGAGTTTGAGCAAATGAATGGAGGAACAAGGGATATCAGAGGATCGTCCACTTGGTGAGTTTGAGCAAATGAATGGAGGAACAAGGGATATCAGAGGGTCGTCTATTTGGTGAGTTTGAGCAAATGAATGGAGGAACAAGGGATATCAGAAATGGTTGTCTACTTGGTGAGTTTGAGCAAATGAATGGAGGAACAAGGGATATCAGAGGTTGTCCACTTGGTGAGTTTGAGCAAATGAATGGAGGAACAAGGGATATTGGAGGGTGTCTGAAGTTTGAGCAAATGAATGGAGGAACAAGGGATATCAGAGGGTCGTCCATTTGGTGAGTTTGAGCAAATGAATGAGGAACAAGGGGATATCAGAGGGTCGTCCACTGGTGAGTTTGAGCAAATGAATGGAGGAACAAGGGATATCAGAGGGTTGTCTACTTGGTGAGTTTGAGCAAATGAATGGAGGAACAAGGGATATCAGAGGGTCGTCTACTTGGTGAGTTTGAGTTTGGAGCAAATATCAATGGAGTTTGAACAAATGAATGGATATCAGAGGGTCGTCTATTTGGTGAGTTTGAGCAAATGAATGGAGGAACAAAAGGGATATCAGAGGGTCGTCTATTTGGTGAGTTTGAGCAAATGAATGGAGGAACAAGGGATATCAGAGGGTCGTCTACTTGGTGAGTTTGAGCAAATGAATGGAGGAACAAGGATATCAGAGGGTCGTCTACTTGGTGAGTTTGAGCAAATGAATGGAGGAAACAAGGGATATCAGAGGGTCGTCTCCATTTGGTGAGTTTGAGCAAATGAATGGAGGAAACAAGGGATATCAGAGGGTCGTCTATTTGGTGAGTTTGAGCAAATGAATGGAGGAACAAGGGATATCAGAGGGTCGTCTACTTGGTGAGTTTGGAGCAAATGAATGGAGGAAAAAATGGGGATATCAGAGGGTCGTCTATTTGGTGAGTTTGAGCAAATGAATGGAGGAACAAGGGATATCAGAGGGGAAACGTCTATTTGGTGAGTTTGAGCAAATGAATGGAGGAACAAGGGATATCAGAGGGTCGTCTATTTGGTGAGTTTGAGCAAATGAATGGAGGAACAAGGGATATCAGAAGGTCGTCCACTTGGTGAGTTTGAGCAAATGAATGGAGGAACAAGGGATATCAGAGGGTCGTCTATTGGTGAGTTTGAGCAAATGAATGGAGGAACAAGGGATATCAGGGGTCGTCTATATTTGAGCAAATGAATGGAGGAACAAGGATATCAGAGGGTCTCTATTTGGTGAGTTTGAGCAAATGAATGGAGGAACAAGGGATATCAGAGGGTCGTCTCTAGTTTGGTGAGTTTGAGCAAAAGTGAATGGAGGAACAAGGGATATCAGAGGGTTGTCTACTTGGTGAGTTTGAGCAAATGAATGGAGGAACAAGGGATATCAGAGGGTCGTCTACTTGGTGAGTTTGAGCAAATGAATGGAGGAACAAGGGATATCAGAGGGTCGTCCACTTGGTGAGTTTGAGCAAATGAATGGAGGAACAAGGGATATCAGAGGGTCGTCTATTTGGAAAGTTTGAGCAAATGAATGGAGGAACAAGGGATATCAGAGGGTCGTCTACTTGGTGAGTTTGAGCAAATGAATGGAGGAACAAGGGATATCAGAGGGTCGTCTATTTGGTGAGTTTGAGCAAATGAATGGAGGAACAAGGGATATCAGAGGGTCGTCCACTTGGTGAGTTTGAGCAAATGAATGGAGGAACAAGGGATATCAGAGGGTCGTCTATTTGGTGAGTTTGAGCAAATGAATGGAGGGGAACAAGGGTCGTCTACTTGGGTGATTTGATCAAATGAGGAACAAGTCAGAGGTATTTGTGAAGTTTGAGCAAATGAATGGAGGAACAAGGGATATCAGAGGGTCGTCTATTTGGTGAGTTTGAGCAAATGAATGGAGGAACAAGGGATATCAGAAGGTCGTCTACTTGGTGAGTTTGAGCAAATGAATGGAGGAACAAGGGATATCAGAGGGTCGTCTTGGTGAGTTTGGTGAGTTTGGAGCAAATGAATGGAGTTTGAACAAACAAGGGATATCAGAGGGTCGTCCACTTGGTGAGTTTGAGCAAATGAATGGAGGAACAAGGAACAGAGGGTCGTCTATTTGGTTTGATAAATGAATGGAGGAACAGAGGGTTGTCTACTTGGTGAGTTTGAGCAAAATGAATGGAGGAACAAGGGATATCAGAAGGTCGTCCACTTGGTGAGTTTGAGCAAATGAATGGAGGAACAAGGGATATCAGAGGGTCGTCTACTTGGTGAGTTTGAAAATGAATGGAGGAACAAGGGATATCAGAGGGTCGTCTATTTGGTGAGTTTGAGCAAATGAATGGAGGAACAAGGGATATCAGAGGGTCGTCCACTTGGTGAGTTTGAGCAAATGAATGGAGGAACAAGGGATATCAGAGGGTCGTCCATTTGGTGAGTTTGAGCAAATGAATGGAGGAACAAGGGATATCAGAGGGTCGTCTATTTGGTGAGTTTGAGCAAATGAATGGAGGAACAAGGGATATCAGAGGGTTGTCTACTTGGTGAGTTTGAGCAAATGAATGGAGGAAAAAAGGGATATCAGAGGGTCGTCCACTTGGTGAGTTTGAGCAAATGAATGGAGGAACAAGGGGATATCAGAGGGTCGTCTACTTGGTGAGTTTGAGCAAATGAATGGAGGAACAAAGGGATATCAGAGGTCGTCTATTTGGTGAGTTTGAGCAAATGAATGGAGGAACAAGGGATATCAGAGGTCGTCTATTTGGTGAGTTTGAGCAAATGAATGGAGGAACAAGGGATATCAGAGGGTTGTCTACTTGGTGAGTTTGGAGCAAATGAATGGAGGAACAAAGGGATATCAGAGGTCGTCTACTTGGTGAGTTTGAGCAAATGAATGGAGGAACAAGGGATATCAGAGGGTCGTCTACTTGGTGAGTTTGAGCAAATGAATGGAGGAACAAGGGATATCAGAGGGTCGTCTATTTGGTTTGAGTTTGGAGGAACAAATGAATGGAGGAACAAACAAGGGATATCAGAGGGTCGTCCATTTGGTGAGTTTGAGCAAATGAATGGAGGAACAAGGGATATCAGAGGGTCGTCTACTTGGTGAGTTTGAGCAAATGAATGGAGGAACAAAGGATATCAGAGGGTCGTCTATTTGGTGAATGAGGAACAAATAATGTTTGAGTTTTGAGCAAATGAATGGAGGAACAAGGGATATCAGAGGGTTGTCTACTTGGTGAGTTTGAGCAAATGAATGGAGGAACAATATCAGGAAGGGATCCATTTGGTGAGTTTGAACAAATGAATGGATATCAGAGGGTCGTCTATTTGGTGAGTTTGAGCAAATGAATGGAGGAACAAGTGGATATCAGAGGGTCAATCTACTTGGTGAGTTTGAGCAAATGAATGGAGGAACAAGGGATATCAGAGGGTCGTCTATTTGGTGAGTTTGAGCAAATGAATGGAGGAACAAGGGATATCAGAGGGTCGTCCACTTGGTGAGTTTGAGCAAATGAATGGAGGAACAAGGGATATCAGAGGGTCGTCTACTTGGTGAGTTTGGAGCAAATGAATGGAGGAACAAAAGGGATATCAGAAGGTCGTCTACTTGGTGAGTTTGAGCAAATGAATGGAGGAACAAGGGGATATCAGAGGGTCGTCTACTTGGTGAGTTTGAGCAAATGAATGGAGGAACAAGGATATCAGAGGGTCGTCTATTTGGTGAGTTTGAGCAAATGAATGGAGGAACAAGGGATATCAGAGGGTCGTCTACTTGGTGAGTTTGAGCAAATGAATGGAGGAACAAGGGATATCAGAGGGTCGTCTACTTGGTGAGTTTGAGCAAATGAATGGAGGAACAAGGGATATCAGAGGGTTGTCTACTTGGTGAGTTTGAGCAATGCAAATGAATGGAGGAACAAATGAATGGGATATCAGAGGGTCGTCTATTTGGTGAGTTTGAGCAAATGAATGGAGGAAACAAAAGGGATATCAGAGGGTCGTCTATTTGGTGAGTTTGAGCAAATGAATGGAGGAACAAGGGATATCAGAGGTCGTCTATCAGAGGGTTGGTGAGTTTGAGCAAATGAATGGAGGAACAAGGGATATCAGAGGTCGTCACTTGGTGAGTTTGAGCAAATGAATGGAGGAACAGAAGGATATCAGAGGTCGTCTATTTGGTGAGTTTGAGCAAATGAATGGAGGAACAAAAGGGATATCAGAGGTCGTCTATTTGGAAAGTTTGATAAATGAATGGAGGAACAAGGGATATCAGAGGGTGTCTATTTGGTTTTGAGCAAATGAATGGGAGGAACAAGGGATATCAGAGGGTCGTCTATTTGGTGAGTTTGAGCAAATGAATGGAGGAATCAGTGGGATATCAGAGGGTCGTCTATTTGGTGAGTTTGAGCAAATGAATGGAGGAACAGAATCAAGGACATGAGTTTGAGCAAACGAGGGTATCAGAGGTCTACCTTGGTGAGTTTGAGCAAATGAATGGAGGAACAAAAAAGGGATATCAGAGGTCGTCCATTTGGTGAGTTTGAGCAAATGAATGGAGGAACAAAGGGATATCAGAGGGTCGTCTATTTGGTGAGTTTGAGCAAATGAATGGAGGAACAGTGGATATCAGAGGGACGTCTATTTGGTGAGTTTGAGCAAATGAATGGAGGATATCAGAGGGGATATTTGAGCAAATGAATGGAGGAACAAGGGATATCGAGGTCGTCTATTTGGTGAGTTTGAGCAAATGAATGGAGGAACAAGGGATATCAGATGGTCGTCTATTTGGTGAGTTTGAGCAAATGAATGGAGGAACAAGGGATATCAGAGGGTCGTCTATTTGGTGAGTTTGAGCAAATGAATGGAGGAACAAGGACATCAGAGGTCGTCTATTGGTGAGTTTGAGCAAATGAATGGAGGAATGACAATGATATCGTCCAGAGAATGGAGGAACAAATGAATGGAGAGCAAAAGTGGATATCAGAAGGTCGTCCCATTTGGTGAGTTTGATAAATGAATGGAGGAACAAGGGATATCAGAGGGTCGTCTATTTGGTGAGTTTGAGCAAATGAATGGAGGAACAAGGATATCAGAGGGATCGTCTATTTGGTGAGTTTGAGCAAATGAATGGAGGAACAAAAGGGATATCAGAAGGTCGTCTACTTGGTGAGTTTGAGCAAATGAATGGAGGAACAGTGGATATCAGAGGGTCGTCCACTTGGTGAGTTTGAGCAAATGAATGGAGGAACAAAGGGATATCAGAAGGTCGTCTATTTGGTGAGTTTTGAATGAGCAAATGAATGGAGGAACAAGGATATCAGAGGGTCGTCTACTTGGTGAGTTTGAGCAAATGAATGGAGGAACAAGGGATATCAGAGGGTCAGTCTACTTGGAAGAGTTTGAGCAAATGAATGGAGGAACAAGGATATCAGAGGGTCGTCTATTTGGGAAGTTTGAGCAAATGAATGGAGGAACAAAGGGATATCAGAGGTCGTCTATTTGGTGGAAAAGTTTGAGCAAATGAATGGAGGAACAAGGATGATCAGAGGTCATCTCTATTTGGTGAGTTTGAGCAAATGAATGGAGGAACAAGGGATATCAGAGGGTCGTCTATTTGGTGAGTTTGAGCAAATGAATGGAGGAACAAGGGATATCAGAGGGTCGTCCACTTGGTGAGTTTGAGCAAATGAATGGAGGAACAGTGGGATATCAGAGGGTCGTCTACTTGGTGAAGTTTGAGCAAATGAATGGAGGAACAAGGGATATCAGAGGGTCGTCTACTTGGTGAGTTTGAGCAAATGAATAGAGGAAACAGTGGATATCAGAAGGTCGTCTATTTTCAGAGGTCGAGTTTGAGCAAATGAATAGAGGAACAAGGGATATCAGAGGGTCGTCTATTTGGAAAGTTTGAGCAAATGAATAGAGGAACAAGGGATATCAGAAGGTCGTCTATTTGGTGAGTTTGAGCAAATGAATAGAGGAACAAGGGATATCGGAGGGTCGTCTACTTGGTGAGTTTGAGCAAATGAATAGAGGAACAAGGGATATCAGAGGTCGTCCTATTTGGAAAGTTTGAGCAAATGAATGGGAGGAACAAAGATATCAGAAGTCGTCCACTTGGTGAGTTTGAGCAAATGAATGGAGGAAACAAGGATATCAGAGGTTCGTCCATTTGGTGAGTTTGAGCAAATGAATGGAGGGAACAAAGGGATATCAGAGGTCGTCTATTTGGAAAGTTTGAGCAAATGAATGGAGGAAATATCAAGGGATATCAGAGGGAGGAACAAAGGATCGCCGTCTATTTGGTGAGTTTGAGCAAATGAATGGAGGAACAAAATCAGAAGGTCGTTCCACGGTGAGTTTGATATCAAGGGATATCAGAGGGCGTCTACTTGGTGAGTTTGAGCAAATGAATGGAGGAACAAAAGACATCAGAGGTCGTCTATTTGGTGAGTTTGAGCAAATGAATGGAGGAAACAAGGATATCAGAGGGTCGTCTATTTGGGTGAGTTTGAGCAAATGAATGGAGGAAACAGGATATCAGAGGGTCGTCTAATGAGTATGAGCAAATGAATGGAGGGGATATCAGAAGGTCGTCTATTTGGTGAGTTTGAGCAAATGAATGGAGGAACAAAGGGATATCAGAGGTCGTCCATTTGGAAGTTTGAGCAAATGAATGGAGGAAAAAAAGGATATCAGAAGGTCGTCTACTTGGTGAGTTTTGAGCAAATGAATGGAGGAACAAGGGGATATCGGAGGGTCAATGAGGGATCTATATCAGAGGTTCTGTTGTGAGTTTGAGCAAATGAATGGAGAACAAAGCGATATCAGAGGGTCGTCTATTTGGTGAGTTTGAGCAAATGAATGGAGGAACAAGGGATATCAGAAGGTCGTCTACTTGGTGAGTTTGAGCAAATGAATGGAGGAACAAAGGGGATATCAGAGGGTCGTCTACTTGAAGAGTTTGAGCAAATGGGAATAGAGGGAAAGAAGGTCGTCCACTTGGGATATCAGGGATATCAGGTCACGTCTATTTGGTGAGTTTGAGCAAATGAATGGAGGAACAAGGGATATCAGAGGGTCGTCTATTTGGTGGGTTTGAGCAAATGAATAGAGGAACAAGGGATATCAGAAAAGGTCGTCTATTTTGGTGAGTTGAAGCAAATGAATGGAAATGGAACAAAAGGGACTTGAATCAGGAACAAGGGATATCGTCTATTTGGTGAGAGTTTAGAAACAAATGAATGGAGGAACAAAGGGATATCAGAGGGTCGTCTACTTGGTGGGAGTTTGAGCAAATGAATGGGAGGAACAAAGGGATATCAGAGGGTCGTCTACTTGGTGAGTTTGAGCAAATGAATGGGAGGAAAAAAAGGGATATCAGGAGGGTCGTCTACTTGGAAAGTTTGAGCAAATGAATGGAGGAAACAAGGGATATCAGAGGGTCGTCTATTTGGGAAGGTTTGAGCAAATGAATGGAGGAACAAGGGATATCAGAGGTCGTCTATTTGGTGAGTTTGATTTAGAGGAAAACAAATGAATGGAAAAGAACAAATAGGGATATCAGAAGGTCTCGTCTATTTGAGTTTGAGTTTGAGCAAATTGAATAGAAGACAAATGGGATATCAGAGGTCGTCTACTTGGTGAGTTTGAGCAAAATGGAATGGAGGAACAAAAGGGATATCAGAGGGTCGTCTATTTGGAAAGTTTGAGCAAATGAATGGAGGAACAAAGGACACTTTTTGAGCAAATGAATGGAGGAACAAGGGATATCAGTCTACTTGGTGAGTTTGAGCAAATGAATAGAGGAAACAGTGGATATCAGAAGGTCGTCTACTTGGTGAGTTTGAGCAAAATGAATGGAGGAACAAGGATATCAGAGGGTCGTCTATTTGGAAAGTTTGAGCAAATGAATGGAGGAACAAGTGATATCAGAGGGTCGTCTATTTGGTGAGTTTGAGCAAATGAATAGAGGAACAAAGTGGATATCAGAAGGTCGTCTACTTGAGCAAATGAATGGAAGAAGACAAAAGGGATTTGTCTACTTGCAAAAATGAATGGAGGAACAAGGATATCAGAGGTCGTCTACTTGGTGAGTTTGAGCAAATGAATGGAGGAACAAAAGCGATATCAGAGGGTCGTCTATTTGGTGAGTTTGAGCAAATGAATGGAGGAACAAGGGATATCAGAGGGTCGTCTATTTGGTGAGTTTGAGCAAATGAATGGAGGAACAAAAGGATATCAGAGTGTCGTCTGTTGGGAAGTCGGAGCAAATGAATGAGGAACAAAGGGATATCAGAGGGTCGTCTATTTGGTGAGTTTGAGCAAATGAATGGAGGAACAAAAGGATATCAGAGGGTCGTCTATTTGGAAAGTTTGAGCAAATGAATGGAACAGTGGATACAAGGATTTGGAGTAGGTTTGGCAGAATAGGTATCGTCGTCTGCACTTCAGGAAGTTTGAGCAAATGAATGGAGGAACAAAAGGGATATCAGAGGGTCTACGTCTGCTTGGTGAGTTTGAGCAAATGAACAAAGGGATATCAGGAATGTCGTCCACTTGGGAAGTTTGAGCAAATGAATGGAGGAACAAGGGATATCAGAGGGTCATTTGGAACGTTTGAGCAAATGAATATAGAGGAACGTGGATATCAGAGTGGTTGTTGACTTGGTGAGTTTGAGCAAATGGAATGGAGAGAAACAAGGGATATCAGAAGGTCGTCCACTTGGTGAGTTGATAAATGAATGGAGGAACAAGGATATCAGAGGGTCGTCTATTTGGAAAGTTTGAGCAAATGAATAAGAGGAAACAAGGATATCAGAGGGTCGTCCACTTGGTGAGTTTGAGCAAATGAATGGAGGAACAAGGGATATCAGGAAGGTCGTCTACTTGGTGAGTTTGAGCAAATGAATGGAGGAACAAGGGATATCAGAGGGGTCGTCTACTTGGTGAGTTTGAGCAAAATGAATGGAGGAACAAGGGATATCAGAGGGGTCGTCTATTTGGAAAGGATTTGAGCAAATGAATGAGGAACAAAGGGATATCAGAGGTCGTCTACTTAGTGAGTTTGAGCAAATGAATGGAGGAACAAAAAGGGATATCAGAGGGTCGTCCTTTGAGAGGTTGAGCAAATGAATGGAGGAAACAAAGACATATCAGAGGTCGTCCACTTGTTTTGAGCAAATGAATGGAGGAAACAAGGATATCAGAGGGTCGTCTATTTGGTGAGTTTGAGCAAATGAATGGAGGAATCAAGGGATATCAGAATGGGACAGTTTTCTACTTGGTGAGTTTGAGCAAAATGAATGGAGGAAACAAAGGGATCAAGGTCGTCTATTTGTGAGTTTGGAAATAATGGAGGAACAAGGATATCAGAGGGTCTCATTTGGTGAGTTTGAGCAAATGAATGGAGGAACAGTGGATATCAGAGGGTCGTCTACTGGAGGACAAGGGATGGTGAGTTTGAGCAAATGAATGGAGAAACAAGGGATATCAGAGGGTCGTCTACTTGGTGAGTTTGAGCAAATGAATAGAGAACAAGGATACTCAGGAGGGTCGTCCACATTGGTGAGTTTGAACAAATGAATGGAGAACAAAGGGGATATGGAAGGGTCGTCTACTTGGTGAGTTTGAGCAAATGAATGGAGGAACAAGGGATATCAGAGGGTCGTCCATTTGGAAAGTTTGAGCAAATGAATGGAGGAACAAGGATATCAGAGGTCGTCTATTTGGGGGAAGTTTGAGCAAATGAATGGAGGAAACAAGGGATATCAGAGGTCGTCTATTTGGTGAGTTTGAGCAAAATGAATGGAGGATATCAGAGGTCGTCCACTTGGTGAGTTTGAGCAAAATGAATGGAGGAAAAAGGGATATCAGAGGGTCGTCTACTTGGTGAGTTTGAGCAAATGAATGGAGGAACAAGGGATATCAAGAGGGTTTCTACTTGTGAGTTTGAGCAAATGAATGGAGGAACAGTGGATATCAGAAGGTCGTCTACTTGGTGAGTTTGGAGCAAATGAATGGAGAACAAGGGATATCAGAAGGGCTGCCTATTTGGTGAGTTTGAGCAAAAATGAATGGAGGAACAAAGGGATATCAGAGGGTTATCCCACTTGGTGAGTTTGAGCAAATGAATGGAGGAACAAGGGATATCAGAGGGTCGTCTTTGATTGAATGGAAGAACAAAAGGATATCAGAGTTTGAGCAAATGAATGGAGGAACAAAGGATATCAGAGGGAGTCGTCTATTTGGTGAGTTTTGAGCAAATGAATGGAGGAACAAAAAGGATATCAGAGGGTTGTCTATTTGTGAGTTTGAGCAAATGAATGGAGGAACAAAGGGATATCAGAGGTCGTCTGTTTGGAGCAAAATGAATGGAGGAACAAGGATATCAGAGGTCGTCTACTTGGTTTTGAGCAAATGAATGGAGGAACAGTGGATATCAGAGGGTTGTCACTTGGTGAGTTTGAGCAATGAATGGAGGAACAAGGGATATCAGAGGGTCGTCTAGGAGTTTGACTGGAGGAACAAGTATCAGAGGTTGTCTATTGGTGAGAGTTTGGAGCAAATGAATGGAGGAACAAGGGATATCAGAGGGTCGTCTGCTTGGTGAAGTTTGAGCAAATGAATGGAGGAACAAGGGATATCAGAGGGGTCGTCTACTTGGTGAGTTTGAGCAAATGAATGGAGGAACAAAAGGATATCAGGGGTCGTCTACTTGGTGAGTTTGAGCAAATGAATGGAGGAAAAAGAAAAGGGATATCAGAGGTCGTCTATTTGGAAAGTTTGAGCAAAATGAATAGGAGGAACAAGGATATCAGAGGGTCGTCTACTTGGTGAGTTTGAGCAAATGAATGGAGGAACAAGGATATCAGAAGTCGTCTACTTGAGTGAGTTGAGCAAACAATGGAGGAACAAGGGATATCAGAGGGTCGTCCACTTGGTGAGTTTGAGCAATGAATGGAGGAACAAAGGGATATCAGAAGGTCGTCTATTTGGAAATTTGAGCAAATGAATGGAGGAACAAGGGATATCAATGTCTACTTGGAGAGTTTGAAATGAATAGGGATACAGTGGATATCAGGTCGTCCCACTTGGTGAGTTTGAGCAAATGAATGGGAGGAACAAGGGATATCAGAGGGTCGTCTATTTGGAACGTTTGAGCAAATGAATGGGAGGAACAAAGGGGATATCAGAGGGTTGTCTACTTGGTGAGTTTGAGCAAATGAATGGACAGTGGATATCAGAGGACATGAATGGAAGACAAAGGGATATCAGGGTCGTCTATTTGGGTGAGCCTGAGCAAATGAATGGAGGAACAAGGGATATCAGGAGGGTTCGTCTACTTGGTGAGTTTGAGCAAATGAATGGAGGAACAGTGGATATCAGAAGGTCGTCCCACTTATGAGTTTGAGCAAAAATGAATGGAGGAACAAAGGGATATCAGAGGGTCGTCTATTTGCGGGAGTTGAGCAAATGAATGGAGGAACAAGGGATATCAGAGGGTCGTCTATTTGGTGAGTTTAGCAAATGAATGGAGGAACAAGGGATCAGAGGTCGTCTACTTGGTGAGTTTGAGCAAATGAATGGGAGGAACAAAAGGGATATCAGAGGGTCGTCTATTTTGGTGAGTTTGAGCAAATGAATGGAGGAACAAAGGGATATCAGAGGGTCGTCCACTTGGTGAGTTTTGAGCAAATGAATGGAAACAAGGAACAAAGGATATCAGAATGGGTCGTCTACTTGGAGGATGCGAGTTTGAGCAAATGAATGGAGGAATGTAGGGATATCAGAGGGTTGTCTATTTGGTGAGAGTTTGAGCAAATGAATGGAGGAAACAGTGGATATCAGAAAGGTCGTCTACTTGGTGAGTTTTGAGCAAATGAATGAGGAACAAGGGATATCAGAGGTCGTCTATTTGCAGAGTTTGAGCAAATGTGAATGGAAGATAGTGGACATCAGAGGGTCGGCTACTAAGAAATTGAACAAATGAATGGAGGAACAAAGGGATATCAGGGGTCTCGTCAGTGGTAAGAGTTTGAGCAAAATGAATGGAGGAACAAAGGATATCAGAGGGTCAGTCCACTTGGTGAGAGTTTGAGCAAATGAATGGAGGAACAAAGGATATCAGAGGGTTGTCTACTTGGTGAGTTTGAGCCAAATGAATGGAGGAACAAGGGATCAGAAGGTTGTCCACTTGGTGAGTTTGAGCAAATGAATGGAGGAACAAGGGATATCAGAGGATCGTCCACTTGGTGAGTTTGAGCAAATGAATGGAGGAACAAAAGGGGATATCAGAGGGTCGTCTATTTGGTGAGTTTGAGCAAATGAATGGGAGGGAACAAGGGATATCAGAGGGTCTCGTCACTTGGTTAGTTTGAGCAAATGAATGGAGGAACAAGGATATCAGAGGATCGTCCATTTGGTGAGTTTGGAGCAAAATGAATGGGAGGAACAAGGGATATCAGAGGTCCGTCTATTTGGTGAGAGTTTGAGCAAATGAATGGAGGAACAAAAAGGGATATCCAGAGGGTCAGCTACTTGGTGAGTTTGAGCAAATGAATGGAGGAACAAGGGATATCAGAAGGTCATTTGTTGAGTTTGGAGCAAATGAATGGAGGAAAAAGGGATATCAGAAGGGTTGTCTACTTGGTGAGTTTGAGCAAATGAATGGAGAACAAGGATATCAGAAGGTCGGCCACTTGAGTGAGTTTGAGCAAATGAATGGAAGAAAAAGGGATATCAGGAAGGTCGTCCACTTGGTGAGTTTGAGCAAATGAATGGAGGAACAAAAAGGGATATCAGAGGGTTGTCTAATGGTGAGTTTGAGAAAGAATAGAGGAACAGTGGATAATGGTGAAGGTCGTCCACTTGGTGAGTTTGATAAATGAATGGAGGAACAAGGATACCAGAGGTCGCTCCACTTGGTGAGTTTGAGCAAATGAAGGAGGAACAGTGGAGGTCAGAGGGTCAGTCTACTTGGTGAGTTTGAGCAAATGAATGGAGGAAACAAGGATATCAGATGTATCGTCTACTTGTGAGTTTGGAGCAAATGAATGGAGGAAACAGTGGATATCAGAAGGTCGTCTACTAAGAGTTTGAGGCAAATGAATGGAGGAACAGTGGATATCAGAGGATCGTCTATTTAGTGAGTTTTGAGCAAATGAATGGAGAAACAAGGGATATCAGAGGTCGTCTATTTGGTGAGTTTTGATAAATGAACAAGGAACAGTTTTAGAAGGTTGCTCCACGGTGAGTTTGAGTAAATGAATGGAGGAACAGTGATATCAGAGGGTCGTCTATTTGGTGAGTTTGAGCAAATGAATGGAGGAACAGGGATATCAGAAGGTCGTCTATTTGGTGAGTTTGAACGTGAATGGAGGAAACAGTGATATCTAGGAGGGTCGTCTATTTGGTGAGTTTGAGCAAATGAATGGAAGAAGACAAGGATATCAGAGGGTCGTCTACTTGGTGAGTTTGAGCAATGAATGGAGGAACAAGGGATATCAGAGGGTCGTCTACTTGGTGAGTTTGAGCAAATGAATGGAGGAACAAGGGATATCAGAAGGTCGTCTATTTGGTGAGTTTGAGCAAATGAATGAGGAACGAAGGGATATCAGACGGTCGTCTGACAAATGAATGAGTTTGAGCAAATGAATGAAGAGCAATGAATGGAGGAACAAGGGATATCAGAGGGTCGTCTACTTGGTGAGTTTGACAAATGAATGGAGGAACAAGGGATATCAGAGGGTTGTCTACTTGGTGAGTTTGAGCAAATGAATGGAGGAACAAGGGATATCAGAGGGTTGTCTACTTGGTGAGTTTGAGCAAATGAATGGAGGAAACAAGGGATATCAGAGGGTCGTCGTCTATTTGGAAAGTTTGAGCAAATGAATGGAGGAAACAAGGGATATCAGAGGGTCGTCACTTGGTGAGTTTGAGCAAATGAATGGAGGAACAAGGATATCAGAGGGTCGTCTACTTGGTGAGTTTGAGCAAATGAATGGAGGAACAAGGGATATCAGAGGGTCGTCTATTTGGTGAGTTTGAGCAAATGAATGGAGAACAAGGATATCAGAGGGTCGTCTACTTGGTGAGTTTGAGCAAATGAATGGAGGAACAAGGGATATCAGAAGGTTCAGTTTGAGCAAATGAATGGAGGAACAAGGGATATCAGAGGGTCGTCTATTTGTGAGTTTGAGCAAATGAATGGAGGAACAAGGGATATCAGAGGGTCGTCTACTTGGTGAGTTTGAGCAAATGAATGGAGGAACAAGGGATATCAGAGGGTCGTCTACTTGGTGAGTTTGAGCAAATGAATGGAAGGAACAAGGATATCAGAGGGTTGTCTACTTGGTGAGTTTGAGCAAATGAATGGAGGAACAAGGATATCAGAGGGTCGTCTACTTGGTGAGTTTGAGCAAATGAATGGAGGAACAAGGGATATCAGAGGGTCGTCTATTGGTGAGTTTGAGCAAATGAATGGAGGAACAAGGGATATCAGAGGTTGTCTACTTGGTGAGTTTGAGCAAATGAATGGAGGAACAAGGGATATCAGAGGGTCGTCTATTTGGTGAAGTTTGAGCAAATGAATGGAGAGGAACAGTGGATATCAGAGGTCGTCTATTTGGTGAGTTTGAGCAAATGAATAGAGAACAAGGGATATCAGAGGTCGTCTATTTGGTGAGTTTGAGCAAATGAATGGAGGAACAAGGGATATCAGAGGGTTGTCTCACTTGGTGAGTTTGAGCAAATGAATGAGGAACAGTGGATATCAGAGGGTCGTCCACTTGGTGAGTTTGAGCAAATGAATGGAGGAACAAGGGATATCAGAGGGTCGTCACTTGGTGAGTTTGAGCAAATGAATAGAGGAACAAGGATATCAGAGGGTCGTCCACTTGGTGAGTTTGAGCAAATGAATGGAGGAACAAGGGATATCAGAGGGTTGGTCTATTTGGTGAGTTTGAGCAAATGAATGGAGGAAACAAGGGATATCAGAGGGTGTCTACTTGGTGAGTTTGAGCAAATGAATGGAGGAACAAGGACATCAGAGGGTCGTCCATTTGGTGAGTTTGAGCAAATGAATGGAGGAACAAGGGATATCAGAGGGTCGTCTACTTGGTGAGTTTGAGCAAATGAATGGAGGAACAAGGATATCAGAGGGTCGTCTACTTGGTGAGTTTGAGCAAATGAATGGAGGAACAAGGGATATCAGAGGGTCGTCTATTTGGAAAAGTTTGAGCAAATGAATGGAGGAAACAAGGATATCAGAGGGTGTCTACTTGGTGAGTTTGAGCAAATGAATGGAGGAACAGGGATATCAGAAGGTCGTCCACTTGGTGAGTTTGAGCAAATGAATGGAGGAACAAGGGATATCAGAGGGTCGTCCACTTGGTGAGTTTGAGCAAATGAATTATCAGAGGGTCGTCTACTTGGAAAGTTTGAGCAAATGAATGGAGGAACAAGGATATCAGAGGGTTGTCTACTTGGTGAGTTTGAGCAAATGAATGGAGGAAACAGTGATATCAGAGGATCGTCCACTCTGGTGAGTTTTGAGCAAAATGAATGGAGGAACAAGGGATAATGAGGTCGTTCTTGGTAGAGGTTGGAGCAAATGAATGGAGTGAACAGTGGATGAACAGAGGGTCGCCCAATGGTGAGTTTGGAGCAAATGAATGGAGGAACAAGGATGATTGAGGTCGTCTACTTGGTGAGTTTGAGCAAATGAATGGAGGAAACAGTGGATATCGTCAGAGGGTCGTCTACTTGGTATTTGAGCAAATGAATGTGGAGGAACAAGGATATCAGAGGGTCGTCTACTTGGTGAGTTTGAGCAAATGAATGGAGGAAACAGGATATCAGAAGGTCGTCTACTTGGTGGAGTTTACAAATGAATGGAGGAACAGGATACTGTGAAGGTCGTCTACTTGGTGAGTTTGAGCAAATGAATGGAGGAACAGTGGATATCAGAGGGTCGTCCATTTGGTGAGTTTGAGCAAAATGAATGGAGGAACAAGGATACTGAGGGTCGTCTACTTGGTGAGTTTGAGCAAAATGAATGGAGGAAACAAGGATATCAGAGGGTCGTTTACTTGGTGAGTTTGAGCAAATGAATAGAGAAACAGTGGATATCAGAAGGTCGTCTACTTGGTGTGTTTGGACAAAATGAATGGAGGAACAAGGGACATGAGGGGTCAGTCTATTTGGTGAGTTTGAGCAAATGAATGGAGGAACAAGGGATATCAGAGGGGTCGTCTATTTGTGAATGAAGGAACAAGTTTAAGAGGGTCGTGTCTAAAAGTTTGAAAAATGAATGAGAAACAAGGATATCAGAGGGTCGCCCATTTGGTGAGTTTGGATAAATGAATAGAGGAAACAGGATATCAGAGGTCGTCTACTTGGTGAGTTTGAGCAAATGAATGGAGGAAACAAGGGATATCAGAGGGTCGTCTACTTTGGTGAGTTTGAGCAATGAATGGAGGAAACAAGGATATCAGAGGGTCGTCTATTTGGTGAGTTTGAGCAAATGGAATGGAGGAACAAGGATATCAGAGGGTTGTCCACTTGGTGAGTTTGAGCAATGAATGGAGGAAACAGGGATATCAGAAGGTCGTCCATTGCGAGTTTGAGCAAATGAATGGAGGAAACAGGGATATCAGAGGGTCGTCTATTTGGAAAGTTTGAGCAAATGAATGGAGGAACAAGGATATCAGAGGGTCGTCTATTTGGTGAGTTTGAGCAAATGGAATGGAGGAACAAGGATACTGAGGGTCGTCTATTTGGTGAGTTTGAGCAAATGAATGGAGGAACAAGGGATATCAGAGGGTCGTCACTTGGTGAGTTTGGATAAATGAATGGAGGAACAAGGGGACATTGTAGAGGGTCGGCTACTTGGTGAGTTTGAGCAAACGAATGGAGGAACAAGGGATATCAGAAGGTCGTCTATTTGGAAGTTTGAGCAAATGGAATGGAGGAAACAAGGGATAATGGAGGGTTGTCTACTTGGTGAGTTTTGAGTAAATGAATAGAGGAAATGGATATCAGAAGGTCGTCCACTTGGTGAGTTTTAGCAAATGAATGGAGGAAACAAGGGATATCAGAGGTCGTCTATTTGGAGCCGGATTGGTGAGTCCACTTGGTGAGTTTACAAATGAATGGAGGAAACAAGTGGATTTGGAGATCAAGGATATCAGACGGTTGTCCACTTGGTGAGTTTGAGCAAATGAATGGAGGAACAAGGGATATCAGAGGGTCAGTTCACTTGGTGAGTTTGAGCAAATGAATGGAGGAACAAGGGATACTGAGGTTGTCCACTGGTGAGTTTGAGAAATACTGAGGAACAAGGATAATGAGGGTTGTCTACTTGGTGAGTTTTCTGAGCAAATGAATGGAGGAACAGTGATATCAGAAGATCGTCCACTTGGTGAGTTTGACAAATGAAATGGAGGAACAGTGGATATCAGAGGTCGTCCACTTGGTGAGTTTGAGCAAATGAATGGAGGAACAAGGGATATCAGAAGGTCGTCTACTTGGTGAGTTTGAGCAAATGAATGGGAGGAACAAGGGATATCAGAGGGTCGTCTACTTGGTGAGTTTGAGCAAATGAATGGAGGAACAGTGGATATCAGAGGGTTGTCTATTTGGTGAGTTTGAGCAAATGAATGGAGGAACAAGGATATCAGAAGGTCGTCCACTTGGTGAGTTTGAGCAAATGAATGGAGGAACAAGGATATCAGAGGGTCGTCTATTTGGTGAGTTTGAGCAAATGAATGGAGGAACAAGGGATATCAGAGGGTTGTCTATTTGGTGAGTTTGAGCAAATGAATGGAGGAAACAAGGGATATCAGAGGGTCGTTCCACTTGGTGAGTTTGAGCAAATGAATGGAGGAACAAGGGGATATCAGAGGGTCGTCTATTTGGTGAGTTTGAGCAAATGAATGGAGGAACAAGGGATATCAGAGGGTCGTCTACTTGGTGAGTTTGAACAAATGAATGGAGGAACAAGGGATATCAGAGGGTCGTCCCATTTGGTGAGTTTGAGCAAATGAATGGAGGAACAAGGGATATCAGAGGGTCGTCTACTTGGTGAGTTTGAGCAAATGAATGGAGGAACAAGGGATATCAGAGGGTCGTCTATTTGGAAAGTTTGAGCAAATGAATGGAGGAACAAGGGATATCAGAGGGTCGTCTACTTGGTGAGTTTGAGCAAATGAATGGAGGAACAAGGGATATCAGAGGGTCGTCTATTTGGTGAGTTTGAGCAAATGAATGGAGGAACAAGGGATATCAGAGGGTTGTCTACTTGGTGAGTTTGAGCAAATGAATAGAGGAACAGTGGATATCAGAAGGTCGTCTACTTGGTGAGTTTGAGCAAATGAATGGAGGAACAAGGGATATCAGAGGGTCGTCTATTTGGAAAGTTTGAGCAAATGAATGGAGGAACAAGGGATATCAGAAGGTCGTCTATTTGGTGAGTTTGAGCAAATGAATAGAGGAACAAGGGATATCAGAAGGTCGTCTATTTGGTGAGTTTGAGCAAATGAATGGAGGAACAAGGGATATCAGAGGGTCGTCTACTTGGTGAGTTTGAAAAATGAATGGAGGAACAAGGGGATATCAGAGGTCGTCTATTGGTGAGTTTGAGCAAATGAATGGAGGAACAAGGGATATCAGAGGGTCGTCTACTTGGTGAGTTTGAGCAAATGAATGGAGGAACAAGGGATATCAGAGGGTTGTCTACTTGGTGAGTTTGAGCAAAATGAATGGAGGAACAAGGGATATCAGAGGGTCGTCCACTTGGTGAGTTTGAGCAAATGAATGGAGGAACAAGGGATATCAGAGGGGTCTATTTGGTGAGTTTGAGCAAATGAATGGAGGAACAAGGGATATCAGAGGGTCGTCTATTTGGTGAGTTTGAGCAAATGAATGGAGGAACAAGGGATATCAGAGGGTCGTCTATTTGGTGAGTTTGAGCAAATGAATGGAGGAACAAGGGATATCAGAGGGTCGTCCATTTGGTGAGTTTGGAGCAAATGAATGGAGGAACAAGGATATCAGAGGGTCGTCTACTTGGTGAGTTTGAGCAAATGAATGGAGGAACAAGGGACATCAGAAGGTCGAAGTTTACAAAATGAATGGAGGAACAGTGGAATGAGGCTGTCTAGAGGTCAAATGAATGGAGGTATTTGGTGAGTTTGAGCAAATTAATGGAGGAACAGTGGATATCAGAGGTCAGTTCTACTTGGTGAGTTTGAGCAAATGAATGGAGGAACAAGGGACATCAGGGGGTTGGGTCCACTTGGTGAGTTTGAGCAAATGAATGGAGGAACAAGGACATCAGAGGGTCGTCTACTTGGTGAGTTTGAGCAAATGAATGGAGGAAACAGGACATCAGAGGTCGTCTCTTTGGTGAGTTTGAGCAAAATGAATGGGAGGAAACAAGGGACATCAGAGGTCGTCTATTTGGTGAGTTTGAGCAAATGAATGGAGGAACAAGGGATATCAGAGGGTCGTCTATTTGGAAAATGTTTGAGTTGAAAATGAATGGAGGAACAAGGGATATCAGAGGGTTGTCCACTTGGTGAGTTTGAGCAAATGAATGGGAGGAACAAGGGATATCAGAGGGTCGTCTATTTGGTGAGTTTGAGCAAATGAAATGGAGGAAACAAGGATATCAGAGGGTCGCTCATTTGGTGAGTTTGGAGCAAATGAATGGAGGAACAAGGGATATCAGAGTGTCAGTCTACTTGGTGATATTGGAGCAAATGAATGGAGGAAACAGGGATATCAGAGGGTCGTCTACTTGGTGAGTTTGAGCAAATGAATGGAGGAAACAAGGGATACAGAGGGTCGTCTACTTGGTGAGTTTGAGCAAAACAATGGAGGAAACAAGGGATATCAGAGGGTTGTCTATTTGGGTGAGTTTGATAAATGAATGGAGGAACAAGGATATCAGAGGGTCGTGAGTAGCTTGGTGAGTTTGGAGCAAAATGAATGAGGAACAGTGGATATCAAGGGTCAGTCACTATTTGAAAATGAATGAGGAACAAGGATATCAGAGGGGGATTGTCTATTTGGTGAGTTTGAGCAAATGAATGGAGGAACAGTGGATATCAGAGGGTCGTCTATTTGGTGAGTTTGAGCAAAATGAATGGAGGAAACATGGACATCAGAGGGTCGTCCATTTGGTGAGTTTGAGCAAATGAATGGAGGAACAGTGGATATCAGAGGGTCGTCTATTTGGTGAGTTTGAGCAAATGAATGGGAGGAAAACAAGGGATATCAGAGGGTCGTCTATTTGGTGAGTTTGAGTTTGCAAATGAATGGAGGAACAAGGATATCAGAGGGTCGTCCATTTGGTGAGTTTGAGCAAATGAATGGAGGAACAGGGGATACTGAAGGTCGTCCACTTGGTGGAGTTTGAGCAAATGAATGGAGGAACAAGGGATATCAGAGGGTCGTCTATTTGGAAAGTTTGAGCAAATGAATGGAGGAACAAGGATATAGGGTTGCAGAGTTTGGTTGGAGGAACACTGAGGGTGAGTTTGGAGCAAATGAATGGAGGAAACAAGGATATCAGAGGGTCGTCTACTTGGTGAGTTTGAGCAATGAATGGAGGAACAAGGATATCAGAGGGTCGTCTACTTGGTGAGTTTGAGCAAATGAATGGAGGAACAAGGATATCAAGAGGGTCGTCAAGGGATACTTGGTGAGTTTGAGCAAAATGAATGGAGGAACAAGGGATATCAGAGGGTCGTCTACTTGGGTGAGTTTGAGCAAATGAATGGAGGAACAAGGGATACAGAGGGTCGTCTACTTGGTGAGTTTGAGCAAATGAATGGAGGGAACAGTGGATATCAGAGGGTCGTCCACTTGGTGAGTTTGAGCAAAATGAATGGGAGGAACAAGGGATATCAGAGGGTTGCTCCATTTGGTGAGTTTGAGCAAATGAATGGAGGAACAGTGGATATCAGAGGGTCGTCTATTTGGTGAGTTTGAGCAAATGAATGAGGAACAGTGGATATCAGAGGGTCGTCCACTTGGTGAGTTTGAGCAAATGAATGGAGGAACAAGGGATATCAGAGGGTCGTCTATTTGGTGAGTTTGAGCAAATGAATGGAGGAACAAGGGGATATCAGAGGGTCGTCAAATACTTGGTGAGTTTGAGCAAATGAATGGAGGAACAAGGGATATCAGAGGGTCGTCTACTTGGTGAGTTTGAGCAAATGAATGGAGGAACAAGGATATCAGAGGGTCGTCTACTTGGTGAGTTTGAGAAAATGAATGGAGGAACAAGGGATATCAGAGGGTCGTCTATTTGGTGAGTTTGAGCAAATGAATGGAGGAAACAAGGATATCAGAGGGTTGTCCACTTGGTGAGTTTGAGCAAATGAATGGAGAACAGTGGATATCAGAGGGTCGTCCACTTGGTGAGTTTGAGCAAATGAATGAGGAAACAAGGGATATCAGAGGGTCGTCTACTTGGTGAGTTTGAGCAAATGAATGGAGGAACAAGGGATATCAGAGGGTCGTCATTTGGAAAGTTTGAGCAAATGAATGGAGAACAAGGGATATCAGAGGGTCGTCACTTGGTGAGTTTGAGCAAAATGAATGGAGGAAACAAGGGATATCAGAGGGTCGTCTATTTGGTGAGTTTGAGCAAATGAATGGAGGAACAAGGGATATCAGAGGGTTGTCCAGTTGGTGAGTTTGAGCAAATGAATGGAGGAACAAGGGATATCAGAGGGTCGTCTATTTGGTGAGTTTGAGCAAAATGAATGGAGGAAACAAGGGATATCAGAGGGTCGTCTACTTGGTGAGTTTGGAGCAATTGGAGGAACAAGGGATGAATTTGGTGAGTTTGAGCAAATGAATGGATAACAAGGATATCAGAGGGTCGTCTATTGGTGAGTTTGAGCAAATGAATGGAGGAACAAGGGATATCAGAGGGCTGTCTATTTGGAAAGTTTGAGCAAATGAATGGAGGAAACAGGGGATTGTGAGGTTGTCTACTTGGTGAGTTTGAGCAAATGAATGAGGAACAAGGGATATCAGAGGGTTGTCCATTTGGTGAGTTTGAGCAAATGAATGGAGGAAACAGGGATATCAGAGGGTCGTCTACTTGGTGAGTTTGAGCAAAATGAATGGAGGAACAAGGGATATCAGAGGGTCGTTCATTGGTGAGTTTGAGCAAATGAATGGAGGAACAAGGGATATCAGAGGTCGTCTATTTGGTGAGTTTGAGCAAATGAATGGAGGAACAAGGATATCAGAGGGTCGTTTTGGCAGATGAATTTGGTGAGTTTGAGCAAATGAATGGAGGAACAGTGATATCAGAAGGTCGTCCATCAGTGAGTTTGAGCAAATGAATGGAGGAACAAGGATATCAGAGGGTTGTCCATTTGGTGAGTTTGAGCAAATGAATGGAGGAACAAGGGATATCAGAGGGTCGTCCACTTGGTGAGTTTGAGCAAAATGAATGGAGGAACAAGGATATCAGAGGGTCGTCTTACTTGGGAGTTTGAGCAAATGAATGGAGGAACAAGGATATGGAAGGTTGTCCATTTGGTGAGTTTGAGCAAATGAATGGAGGAACAAGGGATATCAGAGGGTCGTTCATTTGGTGAGTTTGAGCAAATGAATGGAGGAACAAGGATATCAGAGTTTGGGTGGAGGAACAGTTTGAGTTTGGAGCAAATGAATGGAGGAACAAGGGATATCAGAGGGTCGTCTATTTGGTGAAAGTTTGAGCAAATGAATGGAGGAACAAGGGATATCAGAAGGTCGTCCATTTGGTGAGTTTGAGCAAATGAATGGAGGAACAAGGGATATCAGAGGGTCGTCTATTTGGTGAGTTTGAGCAAATGAATGGAGGGAACAAGGGATATCAGAGGGTCGTCTAGTTTTGACAAATTGGAAAGTTTGAGCAAAATGAATGGAGGAACAAGGATATCAGAGGGTCGTCTATTTGTGAGTTTTGAGCAAATGAATGGAGGAACAAGGATATCAGAGGGTCGTCTATTTGGAAAGTTTGAGCAAATGAATGGAGGAACAAGGATACTGGACTTGGTGAGTTTGAAATGGAGGAACAAGGGATATCAGAGGGTCGTCCACTTGGTGAGTTTGAGCAAAAGGAATGGAGGAACAAGGAGGTCAGAGGTCGTCTACTTGGTGAGTTTGAGCAAATGAATGGAGGAACAAGGATATCAGAGGTTGTCCATTTGGGAAAGTTTGAGCAAATGAATGGAGGAACAAATGGGATATCAGAGGGTCGTCTACTTGGTGAGTTTGAGCAAATGAATGGAGGAACAAGGGATATCAGAAGGTTGGGTCCACTTGGAGTTTGAGCAAATGAAATGGTATCAGGGGTCGTCTATTTGTGAGTTTGAGCAAATGAATGGAGGAACAAGGGATACTGAGGGTTGTCTATTTGGTGAGTTTGGAGCAATGAATGGAGGAACAAGGATATCAGAGGGTCGTCATTTGGGAGTTTGAGGGTTGAATGGAGGAACAAATGAATGATGATATCAGGAAGGTTCCATTTGGTGAGTTTGAGCAAATGAATGGAGGAAACAAGGATATCAGAGGGTCGCCTACTTGGTGAGTTTGAGTAAATGAATGGAGGAAACAGGATATCAGAGGGTCGTCTATTTGGAAAGTTTGAGTTTGGAGGAAAAGGATATCAATGGGTGAGTGGAGGAACAAGGATATCAGAAGGTCGTCCATTTGGTGAGTTTGAGCAAATGAATGGAGGAACAGTGGAAACAAGGACAGAGGGTTGTCTATTTGGTGAGTTTGAGCAAAATGAATGGAGGAACAAGGGATATCAGAGGGTCGTCTATTTGGTGAGTTTGAGCAAATGAATAGAGGAACAAGGGATATCAGGGTCGTCTATTTGGAAAAGTTTGAGGAACAAATGAATGGTTTGAGCAAACAACAGAGGAACAAGGATATCAGAGGTCGTCCACTGGTGAGTTTGAGCAAATGAATGGAGGAATCAGAGGTCGGATAGGGTCGTCCACTTGGTGAGTTTTGAGCAAATGAATGGAGGAACAAGGGATATCAGAGGGTCGTCTATTTGGAAAGTTTGAGCAAATGAATGGAGGAACAAGGGATATCAGAGGGTCGTCTATTTGGTGAGTTTGAGCAAATGAATGAGGAACAAGGGAACAAGGGTCAGTCTATAGTCAAATGAGGAGTATCGTCGTCTATTTGGTGAGTTTGAGCAAATGAATGGAGGAACAAGGGATATCAGAGGTCGTCCACTTGGTGAGTTTGAGCAAATGAATGGAGGAACAAAAAGGGATATCAGAGGTCGTCTATTTGGTGAGTTTGAGCAAAATGAATGGAGGAACAAGGGGATATCAGAGGGTTTGTCTATTTGGTGAGTTTGAGCAAATGAATGGAGGAACAAGGGATATCAAAGGTCGTCCACTTAGGAGAGTTTGAGCAAATGAATGGAGGAACAAAGGGATATCAGAAGAATCGTCTATTTGGAGTTTGAGCAAATGAATGAGGAACAAGGGATACTGAGGGTTGTCCACTTGGTGAGTTTGAGCAAAATGAATGGAGGAACAAGGATATTTGAGGGTCGTCTATTTGGTGAGTTTGGAGCAAATGAATGGAGGAAACAAGGGATATCAGAGGGTTGTCCATTTGGTGAGTTTGAGCAAATGAATGGAGGAACAAGGATATCAGGGATACTTGGGAGTTTTGAGCAAAATGAATGGAGGAACAAGGGATATCAGAGGGTCGTCCATAAAGTTTTGAGCAAATGAATGAGGAACAAGGATATCAGAGGGTCAGTCTACTTGGTGAGTTTGAGCAAATGAATGGAGGAACAAGGATATCAGAGGGTCGTTATTTGGTGAGTTTGGAGCAAATGAATGGAGGAACAAGGATATCAGAGGGTTGTCCATTTGGTGAGTTTGAGCAAATGAATGGAGGAACAAGGGATATCAGAAGGTCGTCTACTTGGTGAGTTTGAGCAAATGAATGGAGTGAACAAGGATATCAGAGGGTCGTCTAAGTTTGAGCAAAATGAATGGAGGAAACAAGGGAATCAGAGGGTCGTCTACTTGGTGAGTTTGAGCAAATGAATGGAGGAACAAGGGATATCAGAGGGTCGTTTTGGTGAGTTTGAGCAAATGAATGGAGGAACAAGGGATATCAGAGGGTCGTCCATTGGGAGTTTGAGCAAATGAATGGAGGAACAAGGGATATCAGAGGGTCGTCTACTTGGTGAGTTTGAGCAAAATGAATGGAGGAACAAGGGGATATCAGAGGGTCGTCTACTTGGTGAGTTTGAGCAAATGAATGATATCAGAGGAACAGTGGATATCAAGAGGTCAGTCTATTTGGTGAGTTTGAGCAAATGAATGGAGGAACAAGGGATATCAGAGGGTCGTCTATTTGGTGAGTTTGAGCAAATGAATGGAGGAACAGGATATCAGAGGGTCGTCTATTTGGTGAGTTTGAGCAAATGAATGGAGGAAAACAAGGGATATCAGAGGGTCGTCCACTTGGTGAGTTTGAGCAAATGAATGGAGGAACAAGGGATATCAGAGGGTCGTCCACTTGGTGAGTTTGAGCAAATGAATGGAGGAAAAGGAGGGTGATATCAGAGGTCGTCTACTTGGTGAGTTTGAGCAAATGAATGGAGGAACAAGGATATCAGAGGGTCGTCTACTTGGTGAGTTTGAGCAAATGAATGGAGGAACAAGGGATATCAGAGGGTCGTCCATTTGGTGAGTTTGAGCAAATGAATGGAGGAACAAGGGATATCAGAGGTCGTCTATTTTGTTTGAGCAAATGAATGGAGGAACAAATTGGAGTTTGAGCAAATGAATGGAGGAACAAGGGATATCAGAGGGTCGTCTATTTGGAAAGTTTGAGCAAAATGAATGGAGGAACAAGGATATCAGAGGGTCGTCTATTTGGTGAGTTTGAGCAAATGAATGGAGGAACAAGGGATATCAGAGGGTCGTCTACTTGGTGAGTTTGAGCAAATGAATGGAGGAACAAGGGATATCAGAGGGTCGTCTACTTGGTGAGTTTGAGCAAATGAATGGAGGAAACAAGGATATCAGAGGGTCGTCTACTTGGTGAGTTTGAGCAAATGAATGGAGGAACAAGGGATATCAGAGGGTTGTCTACTTGGTGAGTTTGAGCAAATGAATAGAGGAACAGTGGATATCAGAAGGTCGTCCACTTGGTGAGTTTGAGCAAATGAATGGAGGAACAAGGGATATCAGAGGGTCGTCCACTTGGTGAGTTTGAGCAAATGAATGGAGGAACAAGGGATATCAGAGGGTCGTCTATTTGGTGAGTTTGAGCAAATGAATGGAGGAACAAGGGATATCAGAGGGTCGTCCACTTGGTGAGTTTGAGCAAATGAATGGAGGAACAAGGGATATCAGAGGGTCGTCTATTTGGAAAGTTTGAGCAAATGAATGGAGGAACAAGGGATATCAGAGGGTTGTCTACTTGGTGAGTTTGAGCAAATGAATAGAGGAACAGTGGATATCAGAAGGTCGTCCACTTGGTGAGTTTGAGCAAATGAATGGAGGAACAAGGGATATCAGAGGGTCGTCTACTTGGTGAGTTTGAGCAAATGAATGGAGGAACAAGGGATATCAGAGGGTCGTCTATTTGGAAAGTTTGAGCAAATGAATGGAGGAACAAGGGATATCAGAGGGTCGTCTATTTGGTGAGTTTGAGCAAATGAATGGAGGAACAAGGGATATCAGACGGTTGTCCACTTGGTGAGTTTGAGCAAATGAATGGAGGAACAAGGGATATCAGAGGGTCGTCTACTTGGTGAGTTTGAGCAAATGAATAGGAGGAACAAGGATATCAGAGGGTCGTCCATTTGGTGAGTTTGAGCAAATGAATGGAGGAACAAGGGATATCAGAGGGTCGTCTACTTGGTGAGTTTGAGCAAATGAATGGAGGAACAAGGATATCAGAGGGTCGTCCACTTGGTGAGTTTGGAGCAAATGAATGGAGGAACAAGGGACATCAGAGGGTCGTCTATTTGGTGAGTTTGAGCAAATGAATGGAGGAACAAGGGATATCAGAGGTCGTCTACTTGGTGAGTTTGAGCAAATGAATGGAGGAACAAGGATATCAGAGGGTTCGTCCACTTGGTGAGTTTGAGCAAATGAATGGAGGAACAAGGGATACTAGAGGGGGTCGTCTACTTGGTGAGTTTGAGCAAATGAATGGAGGAACAAGGGATATCAGAGGGTCGTCTACTTGGTGAGTTTGAGCAAATGAATGGAGGAACAAGGATATCAGAGGGTTGTCCACTTGGTGAGTTTGAGCAAATGAATGGAGGAACAAGGGATAACAAGAGGTTGTCTATTGGTGAGTTTGAGCAAATGAATGGAGGAACAAGGGATATCAGAGGGTCGTCTACTTGGTGAGTTTGAGCAAATGAATGGAGGAACAAGGATATCAGAGGGTCGTCTATTGGTGAGTTTGAGCAAATGAATGGAGGAAAACAAGGGATATCAGAGGTTGTCTACTTGGTGAGTTTGAGCAAATGAATGGAGGAACAGGGATATCAGAAGGTCGTCTACTTGGTGAGTTTGAGCAAATGAATGGAGGAACAAGGGATATCAGAGGGTCGTTCACTTGGTGAGTTTGAGCAAATGAATGGAGGAACAAGGATATCAGAGGGTCGTCCACTTGGTGAGTTTGAGCAAATGAATGGAGGAACAAGGATATCAGAGGGTTGTCTATTTGGTGAGTTTGAGCAAATGAATGGAGGAACAAGGATATCAGAGGTCCACTTGGTGAGTTTGAGCAAATGAATGGAGGAACAAGGATATCAGAGGGTCTATTTGGAACGTTTGAGCAAATGAATGGAGGAACAAGGGATATCAGAGGGTTGTCTACTTGGTGAGTTTGAGCAAATGAATGGAGGAACAAGGGATATCAGAAGGTCGTCCACTTGGTGAGTTTGAGCAAATGAATGGAGGAACAAGGGATATCAGAGGTTGTCTATTTGGTGAGTTTGAGCAAATGAATGGAGGAAACAAGGGATATCAGAGGGTCGTCCACTTGGTGAGTTTGAGCAAATGAATGGAGGAACACAATATCAGAGGGTCGTCCACTTGGTGAGTTTGGAGCAAATGAATGGAGGAACAAAATATCAGAGGGTCGTCTATTTGGTGAGTTTGAGCAAATGAATGGAGAAACAAGGGATATCAGAGGGTCGTCTACTTGGTGAGTTTGAGCAAATGAATGGAGGAACAAGGATATCAGAGGGTCGTCTACTTGGTGAGTTTGAGCAAATGAATGGAGGAACAAGGGATATCAGAGGGTCGTCTATTTGGTGAGTTTGAGCAAATGAATGAGGAACAAGGATACTCAGAGGGTCGTCTATTTGGTGAGTTTGAGCAAATGAATGGAGGAACAAGGGATATCAGAGGGTCGTCCACTTGGTGAGTTTGAGCAAATGAATGGAGGAACAAGGGATATCAGAGGGTCGTCTACTTTGTGAGTTTGAGCAAATGAATGGAGGAACAAGGGATATCAGAGGGTCGTCTATTTGGTGAGTTTGAGCAAATGAATGGAGGAACAAGGGGATATCAGAGGGTCGTCTATTTGGTGAGTTTGGAACAAATGAATGGAGGAACAAGGGGATATCAGAGGGTTGTCTACTTGGTGAGTTTGAGCAAATGAATGGAGGAACAGGGGATATCAGAGGTCGTCTACTTGGTGAGTTTGAGCAAATGAATGGAGGAAATGCAGGGATATCAGAGGGTCGTCTATTTGGTGAGTTTGAGCAAATGAATGGAGTTTGAGCAAAGAGGAACAAGGGATATCAGAGGGTCGTCTATTTGGTGAGTTTGAGCAAATGAATGGAGGAACAAGGGATATCAGAGGGTCGTCTATTTGGTGAGTTTGAGCAAATGAATGGAGGAAACAGGGATATCAGAGGGTCGTCTACTTGGTGAGTTTGAGCAAATGAATGGAGGAACAGTGGATATCAGAGGTCGTCCAATTTGGTGAGTTTGAGCAAATGAATGGAGGAAACAAGGGATATCAGAGGGTCGTATTTGGTGAGTTTGAGCAAAATGAATGGAGGAACAGTGGATATCAGAGGGTCGTCCACTTGGTGAGTTTGAGCAAATGAATGGAGGAACAAGGGACATCAGAGGGTCGTCTACTTGGTGAGTTTGAGCAAATGAATGGAGGAACAAGGATATCAGAGGGTCGGCTACTTGGTGAGTTTGAGCAAAATGAATGGAGGAACAGTGGATAATAGAAGGTCGTCTACTTGGTGAGTTTGGAGCAAATGAATGGAGGAACAAGGGGGATATCAGAGGATCGTCCACTTGGTGAGTTTGAGCAAATGAATGGAGGAACAAGGGATATCAGAGGGTCGTCTATTTGGTGAGTTTGAGCAAATGAATGGAGGAACAGTGGATATCAGAAGGTCGTCTACTTGGTGAGTTTGAGCAAATGAATGGAGGAACAGTGGATATCAGAGGGTCGTCTACTTGGTGAGTTTGAGCAAATGAATGGAGGAACAGGATATCAGGTGGGTCGTGAACAGAGGAACTACTTGGTGAGTTTGAGCAAAATGAATGGAGAAACAAGGGATATCAGAGGGTCGTCTATTTGGTGAGTTTGAGCAAATGAATGGAGGAACAAGGGATATCAGAGATCGTCCACTTGGTGAGTTTGAGCAAAATGAATGGAGGAAAAGTTTGAGCAAGGGATATCAGAGGGTCGTCTATTTGGTGAGTTTGAGCAAATGAATGGGAGGAACAAGGGATATCAGAGGGTCGTCTATTTGGTGAGTTTGGAGCAAATGAATGGAGGAACAAGGGATATCAGAGGGTCGTCTACTTGGTGAGTTTGAGCAAATGAATGGAGGAACAAGGGGATATCAGAGGGTCGTCTGCTTGGTGAGTTTGAGCAAATGAATGGAGGAACAAGGATATCAGAGGGTCGTCTATTTGGTGAGTTTGAGCAAATGAATGGAGGAACAAGGGATATCAGAGGGTCGTCTATTTGGTGAGTTTGAGCAAATGAATGGAGGAACAAGGATATCAGAGGGTCGTCTACTTGGTGAGTTTGAGCAAATGAATGGAGGAACAAGGATATCAGAGGGTCGTCTACTTGGTGAGTTTGACAAATGAATGGAGGAAACAAGGGATATCAGAGGGTCGTCTACTTGGAGGAACAAGGACTGAGTTTGGAGCAAATGAATGGAGGAACAGTGGATATCAGAGGGTCGTCTATTTGGTGAGTTTGAGCAAATGAATGGAGGAACAAGGGATATCAGAGGGTCGTCTACTTGGTGAGTTTGAGCAAATGAATGGAGGAACAGTGGATATCAGAGGGTCGTCTACTTGGTGTGTTTGAGCAAATAATTGGAGGAACAGTGGATATCAGAGGGTCGTCTATTTGGTGAGTTTGAGCAAATGAATGGAGGAACAAGGGATATCAGAGGGTCGTCTCCATTTGGTGAGTTTGAGCAAATGAATGGAGGAAACAGTGGATATCAGATGGTCGTCCTATTTGGTGAGTTTGAGCAAATGAATGGAGGAACAAATGGATATCAGAGGGTCGTCTAATGGAGGAACAAGGACATTTTCATTTGGTGAGTTTGAGCAAATGAATGGAGGAACAAGGGATATCAGAGGTCGTCTATTTGGTGAGTTTGAGCAAATGAATGGAGGAACAAGGGATATCAGAGGTCGTCTACTTGGTGAGTTTGAGCAAATGAATGGAGGAACAAGGATATCAGAGGTCGTCTACTTGGTGAGTTTGAGCAAATGAATGGAGGAACAAGGGATATCAGAGGGTCGTCTATTTGGTGAGTTTGAGCAAATATGAATGGAGGAACAAATGTGGATATCAGAGGGTCGTCTATTTGGTGAGTTTGAGCAAAATGAATGGAGGAACAAGGGATATCAGAGGTCGTCTATTTGGTGAGTTTGAGCAAATGAATGGAGGAACAAGGGTCATATCAGAGGATCGTCCATTTGGTGAGTTTGAGCAAATGAATGGAGGAACAGTGATATCAGAAGGTCGTCTTTGAGCAACGAATTGGTGAGTTTGAAAGTTTGAGCAAATGAATGGAGGAACAAAGGGATATCAGAGGTCGTCTACTTGGTGAGTTTGGAGCAAATGAATGGAGGAACAAGGGATATCAGAGGGTCGTCTATTTGGTGAGTTTGAGCAAATGAATGGAGAACAAGGGATATCAGAAGATCGTCTACTTGGTGAGTTTGAGCAAATGAATGGAGGAACAGTGGATATCAGAGGTCGTCTACTTGGTGAGTTTGAGCAAAATGAATGGAGGGTCGCTCACAGATGAGCATATCAGAAGATCGTCTACTTGGTGAGTTTGAGCAAAATGAATGGAGGAACAAGTGGATATCAGAGGGTCGTCCACTTGGTGAGTTTGAGCAAATGAATGGAGGAACAGGATATCAGAGGGTCGTCTATTGGTGAGTTTGAGCAAATGAATGGAGGAACAGTGGATATCAGAGGGATCGTCCACTTGGTGTGAGTGAGTTTGAGGAACAAATATGAATGGAGGAACAAGGGATATCAGAGGGTCGTCTATTTGGTGAGTTTGAGCAAATGAATGGAGGAACAGTGGATATCAGAGGGTCGTCTATTTGGTGAGTTTGAACAAATGAATGGAGGAACAAGAGGGTCGGATATCAGAATAGGGAACAAGGATCTCGCCCATTTGGTGAGTTTGGAGCAAATGAATGGAGGAACAGTGGATATCAGAGGGTCGTCTATTTTTGAGTGAATAGGAGGAAACAGTTTTTAAGGTGCAAATGAATGGAGCAGGAACAAGGATATAAGAAGGTCGTCTACTTGGTGAGTTTGAGCAAATGAATGGAGGAAACAAGGGATATCAGAGGGTCGTCTATTTGGTGAGTTTGAGCAAATGAATGGAGGAACAGTGGATATCAGAGGGTCGTCCACTTGGTGAGTTTGAGCAAATGAATGGAGGAACAAGGGATATCAGGTGAGGGTCAAGGATCTAGGGTCGTCTACTTGTGAGTTTGAGCAAATGAATGGAGGAACAGTGGATATCAGAGGTCGTCTATTTGGTGAGTTTGAGCAAATGAATGGAGGAACAGTGGATATCAGAGGGTCGTCTACTTGGTGAGTTTGAGCAAATGAATGGAGGAAAACAAGGGATATCAGAGGGTCGTCCATTTGGTGAAAGTTTGAGAGCAAATGAATTGGAGGAACAGTGGATATCAGAGGTCGTCTATTTGGTGAGTTTGAGCAAATGAATAGAGGAACAGTGGATATCAGAAGGTCGTCTACTTGGTGAGTTTGAGCAATGAATGGAGGAACAAGGGATATCAGAGGGTCGTCTATTTGGTGAGTTTGAGCAAATGAATGGAGGAACAGTGGATATCAGAGGGTCGTCTATTTGGTGAGTTTGAGCAAATGAATGGAGGAACAGTGGATATCAGAGGGTCGTCTATTTGGTGAGTTTGAGCAAATGAATGGAGGAACAAGGGATATCAGAGGGTCGTCTACTTGGTGATTTGGCAAATGAATGGAGGAACAAATAGGTGAGTTTGAGGAGGAACAGTGGATATCAATGAGGGGGATCGTCTGCTTGGTGAGTTTGAGCAAATGAATGGAGGAACAGTGGATATCAGAGGGTCGTCTATTTGGTGAGTTTGAGCAAATGAATGGAGGAACAGTGGATATCAGAGGTCGTCTATTTGAGCAAAATGAATGTGAGTTTGAGCAAAATGAATGGAGGAACAAGGGATATCAGAGGGTCGTCTATTTGGTGAGTTTGAGCAAATGAATGGAGGAACAAGGGATATCAGAGGGTCGTCTATTTGGTGAGTTTGAGCAAAATGAATGGAGGAACAAGGGATATCAGAGGGTCGGCTACTTGGTGAGTTTGAGCAAATGAATGGAGGAACAAGGATATCAGAGGGTCGTCTACTTGGTGAGAGTTTGAGCAAATGAATGGAGGAACAAGGGATATCAGAGGTCGTCTACTTGGTTTTGAGTTTGGAGGAACAAGTGATAAATGAATGGAGGAACAAGAATGGATATCAGAGGTTGTCGTCCATTTGGTGAGTTTGAGCAAATGAATGGAGGAACAGTGGATATCAGAAGGTCGTCTATTTGGTGAGCACGTAAATGAGCAAATGAATGGTGAGTTTTCTGAGAAATGAATAGAGGAACAGTGGATATCCAAGGGTCCACTTGTTTTGAGCACTTGGTGAGTTTGAGCAAAATGAATGGAGGAACAAGGGATATCAGAGGGTCGTCTATTTGGTGAGTTTGAGCAAATGAATGGAGGAACAAGGGATATCAGAAGGTCGTCATTTATTGGTGAGTTTGAGCAAAATGAATGGAGGAACAGTGGATATCAGGAGGGTCGTCCATTTGGTGAGTTTGAGCAAATGAATGGAGGAACAAGGATATCAGAGGGTCGTCTATTTGGTGAGTTTGAGCAAATGAATGGAGGAACAGGGATATCAGAGGTTTTCTACTTGGTGAGTTTGAGCAAATGAATGGAGGAACAGTGGATATCAGAGGGTCGTCTACTTGGTGAGTTTGAGCAAATGAATGGAGGAACAGTGGATATCAGAGGGTCGTCTATTTGGTGAGTTTTGAATGGAGGAACATGAATTTGAGCAAAATGGAGGAACAAGGGATAACAGTGGTGAGTTTGAGCAAATGAATGGAGGAACAAGGGATATCAGAGGGTCGTCCACTTGGTGAGTTTGAGCAAATGAATGAGGAACAAGGGATAATGGAGGGTCGTCTACTGGAGTTTGAAATGAATCAGAAGGTCAGTCTACTTGGTGAGTTTGAAAATGAATGGAGGAAACAAGGGATATCAGAGGTCGTCAAATGAATGGAGGAACAGTGGATATCAGAGGGTCGTCTACTTGGTTTGAGTTTGAAGTCCGAAATGAATGGAGGAACAAGGGATATCAGAGGGTCGTCTACTTGAGTTTGAGCAAATGAATGGAAATTGGAGCAAAATGAACAGAGGAACAGTGATCAGAGAAGGTCGTCCACTTGGTGAGTTTGAATGAATGAGGAGGAACAAGGGATAGTTTGAGCATGAATGGAGGAACGTCCACTTGGTGAGTTTGAGCAAATGAATGGAGGAAACAAGTGATATCAGAGGGTCGTCTATTTGGAAAGTCCAATGAATGGAGGAAATCGTCTACTTGGTGAGTTTGAGCAAATGAATGAGGAACAGGATATCAGAGGGTCGTCTATTTGGTGAGTTTGAGCAAATGAATGGAGGAACAAGGGATATCAGAGGGTCGTCCATTTGGTGAGTTTGAGCAAATGAATGGAGGAACAGGGATATCAGAGGGTCGTCTACTTGGTGAGTTTGAGCAAATGAATGGAGGAACAAGGATATCAGAGGGTTGGGTGATATCAATGAGGTGGATACGTCTATTTGGTGAGTTTGAGCAAATGAATGGAGGAAACAGTGGATATCAGAGGGTCGTCTATTTGGTGAGTTTGAGCAAATGAATGGAGGAGAACAGTGGATATCAGGGTCTGATATCAGTTTGGTGAGTTTGAGCAAATGAATGGAGGAAACAGGGATATCAGAGGTCGTCTATTTGGTGAGTTTGAGCAAATGAATGGAGGAACAGGGATATCAGAGGGTTGTCTATTTGGTGAGTTTGAGCAATGAATGGAGGAACAGTGGATATCAGAGGGTCGTCTATTTGGTGAGTTTGAGCAAATGAATGGAGGAACAAGTGGATATCAGAAGGTCGTCTACTTGGTGAGTTTGAGCAAATGAATGGAGGAACAGGATATCAGAGGTCGTCCACTTGGTGAGTTTGAGCAAATGAATGGAGGAACAGTGGATATCAGAGGGTCGTCTATTTGGAGGAACAAGGATGAGTTTGAGGAGCAAATGAATGGAGGAACAGTGGATATCAGAGGGTCGTCTACTTGGTGAGTTTGAGCAAAACAGTGAATGGAGTGGAACAAAATGAATGGAGCATCAGAAGGTCAGTCTACTTGGTGAGTTTGAAGAATGGAGGAACAAATGAATGGTGAGTTTGAACAGTGGATATCAGAGGTCGTCTACTTGGTGAGTTTGAGCAAATGAATGGAGTGAACAATTGGATATCAGAGGTCGTCCATTTGGTGAGTTTTGGAGCAAATGAATGGAGGAACAGTGGATATCAAGAGGGTCGTCTATTTGGTGAGTTTGAGCAAATGAATGGAGGAACAAGGGATATCAGAGGGTCGTCTATTTGGTGAGTTTGAGCAAATGAATGGAGGAACAGTGATACTAGAGATATCAAATGGAGGAAACAAGGATACTAGAGGGACGTCTATTTGCTTTGGTGAGGAGGACAGTTTGAGCAAATGAATGGAGGAACAGTGGATATCAGAGGGTCGTCTACTTGGTGTGAACATGTTTGAGCAAATGAATGGAGGAACAGTGGATATCAGAGGGTCGTCTATTTGGTGAGTTTGGAGCAAATGAATGGAGGAAATAAGGGATATCAGAAGGGTCTGCTTGGTGAGTTTGAGCAAATGAATGGAGAACGATTTGTGGATATCAGAGGGTCGTCTATTTGGTGAGTTTGAGCAAATGAATGGAGGAAACAGTGGATATCAGAGGGTCGTCTATTTGGTGAGTTTGAGCAAATGAATGGAGAAACAGTGGATATCAGAGGGTCGTCTACTTGGTGAGTTTGAGCAAATGAATGGAGGAACAATGAATGGATATCAGAAATGAATCGTCTATTTGGTGAGTTTGAGCAAATGAATGGAGGAAACAGTGGATATCAGAGGTCGTCTACTTGGTGAGTTTGAGCAAATGAATGGAGGAACAAGGGATATCAGAGGGTCGTTCTTGGTGAGTTTGAGCAAATGAATGGAGGAACATGAGAGGGTTTGGAGTTTGAAATGAATGGAGGAACAGTCGGATATCAGAGAGGTCGTCTACTTGGTGAGTTTGAGCAAATGAATGGAGGAACAGTGGATATCAGAGGGTCAAATTTATTTGGTGAGTTTGAGCAAATGAATGGAGAAACAAGGGATATGGAAGGGTCGTCTATTTGGAGGAAATGAGTTTTGAGCAAATGAATGGAGGAACCAGTGGATATCAGAGGGATTTGGTGAGTTTGAGCAAATGAATGGAGGAACAGTGATATCAGAAGGTCGTCCACTTGGTGAGTTTGAGCAAATTGAGCAAAGGATGAATGGAAATGGAACAGTGGATATCAGAGGTCGTCTATTTGGTGAGTTTGAGCAAATGAATGGAGGAACAGTGGATATCAGAGGGTCGTCTATTTGGTGAGTTTGAGCAAATGAATGGAGGAACAGTGGATATCAGAGGGTCGTCTATTTGGTGAGTTTGAGCAAATGAATGGAGGAACAGTGGATATCAGAGGGTCGTCTACTTGGTGAGTTTGAGCAAATGAATGGAGAACAGTGGATATCAGAGGGTCGTCTACTTGGTGAGTTTGAGCAAAATGAATGGAGGAACAGTGGATATCAGAGGGGTCGTCTATTTGGTGAGTTTGAGCAATGAATGGAGGAACAAGGGATATCAGAGGGTCGTCTACTTGGTGAGTTTGAGCAAAATGAATGGAGGAACAGTGGATATCAGAGGGTCGTCTACTTGGTGAGTTTGAGCAAATGAATGGAGGAACAGTGGATATCAGAGGGAATGTCTATTTGGTGAGTTTGAGCAAATGAATGGAGGAACAAGGGGATATCAGAGGGTCGTCTATTTGTGAGTTTGAGCAAATGAATGGAGGAACAGGGATATCAGAGGGTCGTCTACTTGGTGAGTTTTGCAAAATGAATGGAGGAACAGTGGATATCAGAGGGTCGTCTACTTGGTGAGTTTGAAACAGGATATCAGAAGGTAATTTGGTGAGTTTTGAGCAAATGGAATGGAGGAACATGGATATCCAGATTTGGTGAGTCGTCTATTTGGTGAGTTTGAGCAAATGAATGGAGGAACAGTGGATATCAGAGGGTCGTCTACTTGGTGAGTTTGAAGAAATGAATGGAGGAACAGGATATCAGAAGTGGATATCAAATGAATGGTCAGTGGATATCTTGGGGCTGAGTTTGAGTTTACAAATGAATGGAGGAACAGTGGATATCAGAGGGCCGTCTTCTTGGTGTGTTTGAGCAAATGATTGGAGGAACAGTGGATATCAGAGGTCGTCCATTTGGTGAGTTTGGCAAATGAATGGAGGAAACAGGGATATCAGAGGGTCGTCTATTTGGTGAGTTTGAGCAAATGAATGGAGGAAACAGGAACAGAGGTCGGAGTATCAGAATGGAGTGAAACGTCTATTTGGTGTGTTTGAGCAAATGAATGAGGAACAGGATATCAGAGGGTCGCTCTATTTGGTGAGAGTTTGAGCAAATGAATGGAGGAACTGTGGATATCAGAGGGTCGTCTATTTTGGTGAGTTTGAGCAAATGATTGAGAACAGTGGATATCAGAGGGACGTCCTAGAAGCTTTTGGTGTGTTTTAGCAAATGAATGGAGGAAACAGTGGATATCAGAGGGTCGTCTATTTGGTGAGTTTGAGCAAATGAAATGAATGGATATCAGAGGGTCGTCTATTGCGAGTGCAAATGATGGAGGAACAGTGGATCGATGGTCAGTTCATTTGGTGAGTTTGAGCAAATGAATGGAGGAACAAGGGATATCAGAGGGTCGTCTATTTGGTGAGTTTGAGTTTCGGCTAGCAAATGAATGGAGGAACAGAGGTTTATTACTAAGGAGTTTGATATCAATGAGGAACAAGGAGTTATCAGAAGTCGTCCATTTGGGAGTTTGAGTTTGGAGCAAATCAGAATGTGAGTTTGAGCAACAATAGAGGAACAGTGGATATCAGAAGGTCGTCTACTTGGTGAAGGTTTGAGCAAATGAATGGAGGAACAGTGGATATCAGGAGGGTCGTCCACTTGGTGAGTTTGAGCAAATGAATGGAGGAACAAGGGATATCAGAGGATCGTCTATTTGGTGAGTTTGAGCAAATGAAATGGAGGAACAGTGATATCAGAAGGTCGTGGATATCAGAATGGAGGAACAGTCTATTTGGTGAGTTTGAAACAAATGAATGGAGGAAACAAGGGATATCAGAGGGTCGTCTATTTGGTGAGTTTGAGCAAATGAATGGAGGAACAGTGGATATCAGAGGATCGTCCTATGGTGAGTTTGATAAATGAATGGAGGAACAGTGGATATCAGAGGGTCGTCTATTTGGTGTGTTTGAGCAAATGGAATGGAGGAACAGGATATCAGAAGATCGCTCATTTGGTGAGGAAATGACAGAACAGTGGATATCAGAGGGTCGTCTATTTGGTGAGTTTGAGCAAAATGAATGGAGAAACAGCAGATATCAGAGGTCGTCTGCTTGGTGAGTTTGAGCAAATGAATGGGAGGAACAGTGGATATCAGAGATCGTCCACTGGTGAGTTTGAGCAAATGAATGGAGGAACAAGGATATCAGAGGTGAGGTTGATGAATCAGTGGATATCAGGAGGGTCGTCTATTTGGTGAGTTTGATAAAATGAATGGAGGAACAAGGATGGATCAGAGGGTCGTCTATTTGGTAGTTGAGCAAATTGGAGGAACAAATGAATGGAGGAGCAAACAAGGAACAAGGGATATCAGAGGTCGTCTACTTGGTGAGTTTGAGCAAATGAATGGAGGGAACAGTGGATATCAGAAGGTCGTCTACTTGGTGAGTTTGAGCAAATGAATGGAGTGGAACAGGATTGTGAAGGTCGTCTACTTGGGAGTTTGATCAATGAATGGGAGGTCTATTTGGTGAGGAGTTTGAGCAAATGAATGGGAGGAACAAGGGATATCAGAGGTCTCGTCTACTTGGTGAGTTTGAGCAAATGAATGGAGGAACAGTGGATATCAGAGGGTCGTCTACTTGGTGAGTTTGAGCAAATGAATGGAGGAACAGTGGATATCAGAGGGTCGTCTTCTTGGTGAGTTTGAGCAAACGATTGAGGAAATGAATGAGGTCGTCATTTGGAACAAATGAATGGATAAACAGTGAGGTCGTCCACGGTGAGTTTGAGCAAAGAATGGAGGAACAGTGGATATCAGAGGTCGTCTATTTGGTGAGTTTGAGCAAATGAATGGAGGAACAGTGGATATCAGAGGGTCGTCTATTTATGGGGTGAGTTTGAGCAAATGAATGGAGGAACAGTGGATATCAGAGGGTCGTCTATTTGGTGAGTTTGAGCAAATGAATGGAGGAACAGTGATATCAGAGGGACGTCTATTTGGTGAGTTTGAGCAAATGAATGGAGGAACAGTGGGATAGTTTGAGCAAACAAATGGGGAACAGGGTCGTCGTCTATTTGGTGAGTTTGAGCAAATGAATGGAGGAACAAGGGATATCAGAGGGTCGCCTATTTGGTGAGTTTAAAAATGAATGGAGGAACAAGGGATATCAGAGGTCGTCATTGGTGAGTTTGAGCAAATGAATGGAGGAACAAGGATATCAGAGGGTCGTCTGCTTGGTGAGTTTGAGCAAATGAATGGAGGAACAAGGGATATCAGTTGGTCATCCATTTGGTGAGTTTGAGCAAATGAATGGAGGAACAAGGGATATCAGAGGGTTGTCTATTTGGTGAGAGTTTGAGCAATGAATAGAGGAATTGTGGATATCAGAAGGTCGTCTGCTTGGTGAGTTTTGAGCAAATGAATGGAGGAACAGTGGATATCAGAGGGGTCGTCTACTTGGTGAGTTTGAGCAAAATGAATGGAGGAACAAATATCAGATATCGTCCATGGAGTTTGAACAAAATGAATGAGATATCAGAAGGTCGTCTACTTGGTGAGTTTGGAGCAAATGAATGGAGGAAACAGTGGATATCAGAGGTCGTCCACTTGGTGAGTTTGAGCAAATGAATGGAGGAACAAGGGATATCAGAGGTCGTCTATTTGGTGAGTTTGAGCAAATTTGAGGAAATGAATGGATCGTCTACTGGTGAGTTTGACAGTGGATATCAGAGGGTCGTCTATTTAGTGAGTTTGAGCAAATGAATGAGGAAATGGAATGGAGGGTGAGTTTTTATGCAAATGTGAGGAACATCAAGAGGGTCGTCCTACTTGGGTGAGTTTGGAGCAAATGAATGGAGGAAACAGTGGATATCAGAGGTCGTTTGGTGAGTTTGAGCAATGATGGAATGGAGGAGGATCGTCCAGTGGATATCAAGGACAGGTCGTCCACTTGGTGAGTTTGAGTTTGAGGAAAGTTTTGAAAATGGAGGAAACAGTGATATTGGGAAGGTCGTCATTGGTGAGCTGAAAGGTCGGATCTACTTGGTGAGTTTGAGCAAATGAATGGGAGAACAAGGGATATCAGAAGGTCGAAGGTCGTCTACTTGGTGAGTTTGAGCAAAATGAATGGAGGAACAGAGGGTGGATATCAGAAGGTTTGAGTACTTGGTGGAGTTTGGTGAGCAATGAATGGAGGAACAGTGGATATCAGAAGGGTCGTCCATTTGGTGAGTTTGAGCAAATGAATGGAGGAACAGTGGATATCAATGGAGGGTCGTCTATTTGGTGAGTTTGAGCAAATGAATGGAGGAAAAAGGGATATCAGAGGGTCGTCTACTTGGTGAGTTTGAGCAAATGAATGGAGGAGGAACAAGGTGGATATCAGAGGGTTTGTGAATACTTGGTGTGTTTGAGCAAATAAATGGAGGAACAGTGGATATCAGAGGGTCGTCTACTTGGTGAGTTTGAGCAAATGAATGGAGGAACAAGGGATATCAGAGGGTCGTCTACTTGGTGAGTTTGAGCAAATGAATGGAGGAACAGGGATATCAGAGGGTCGTCCCACTTGGTGTGTTTTGCGAAATGCAAATGGATGGGGTCAGTCTATTTGGTAGGTTGACAAATGGGATATCAGAGGGTCGTCTATTTGGTGAGAGTTTGAGCAAATGAATGGAGGAACAAAAAGGGATATCAGAAGGGTCGTCTGCCCTAGAGGAGTTTGAGCAAATGAATGGAGGAACAGTGGATATCAGAGGGTCGTCTACTTGGTGAGTTTGAGCAAATGAATGGAGGAACAATGGATATCAGAGGGTCGTCTACTTGGTGAGTTTGAGCAAATGAATGGAGAACAAGTGATATCAGAGGGTCGTCTATTTGGTGAGGTTTGAGCAAATGAATGGAGGAACAGTGGATATCGGAGGGTCGTCTATTTGTGTTTGTGAGGTTTGAGCAAATGGTGTGGAGCAAATGAATGGACAAGTGGATATCAGAGGTCGTCTGCTTGGTGGAGGTTTACTTGAGCAAATGATTGGAGGAACAGTGGATATCAGAGGGTCGTCTATTTGTGAGTTTGAGCAAATGAATGGAGGAAACAGTGGATATCAGAAGGTCGGTCTAGGAACAGTGGATTAGGTGATTTGGTGAGTTTGAGCAAATGAATGGAGGAACGGTGGATATCAGAGGGTCGTCTATTTGGTGAGTTTTGAGCAAATGAATGGAGGAACAGTGGATATCAGAGGGTCGTCTACTTGGTGTGTTTTGAGCAAAATGAATACAAGTGGATATCAGAGGCTGCCCAGAGTTTGATCAAATGAATGGAGGAACAGTGGATATCAGAGGGTCGTCTACTTGGTGAGAGTTTGAGCAAATGAATGGAGGAACAGTGGGATATCGAGGGTCGTCTACTTGGTGAGTTTATGTGTTTGGAGGAACAAATCAGAGGGTCGTCTATTTGGAGTTTTATAAAATGAACAGGAACAGTGGATATCAGAGGTCGTCTATTTGGTGAGTTTGAGCAAAATGAATGGAGGAACAAAAGGATATCAGAGGGTCGTCTATTTGGTGAGTTTGAGCAAATGAATGGAGGAACAGTGGATATCAGAGGGTCGTCTACTTGGTGAGTTTGAGCAAATGAATGGAGAAAACAGTGGATATCAGAGGGTCGTCTATTTTGGTGAGTTTGAGCAAATGAATGGAGGAACAGTGGATATCAGAAAGGTCGTCCCATTTGGTGAGTTTTGAGCAAATGAATGGAGGAACAGTGGATATCAAATGGAGGAACAGTGGACATTGTAGCGTCTACTTGGTGAAGAGTTTGAGCAAAATGAATGGAGGAAACAGGGATATCAGAAGGTCGTCTATTTGGTGAGTTTTCTGTGAAACAGTTTGAGGGTCAGTTTGAGCAAATGAATGGAGGAACAGTGGATATCAGAGGGTCGTCTACTTGGTGAGTTTGGAGCAAATGAATGGAGGAGAACAGTGGATATCAGAGGTCGTCTCTTTGGTGAGTTTGAGGAACAAATGAATGGAGGAACAGTGGATATCAGAGGGTCAGCCAAGTTTGATCCAATGGAGTGCAGTGGTGAGGAGTTTGGAGCAAATGAATGGAGGAACCAGTGGATATCAGAGGGTCGTCTATTTGGTGAGTTTGAGCAAATGAATGGAGGAACAGTGGATATCAGAGGGTCGTCTATTTGGTGAGTTTGAGCAAATGAATGGAGGAACAGTGGATATCAGAAGGTCGTCTATTTGGTGAGTTTGAGCAAATGAATGGAGGAACAGGAACAGGATATCAGAGGGTCGTCTATTTGGTGAGTTTGAGCAAATGAATGGAGGAACAGGGATATCAGAGGGTCGTCTATTTGGTGAGTTTGAGCAAATGAATGGGAACAGGGAACCAGTGGATATCAGAGGGTCGTCTATTTGGTGAGTTTGAGCAAATGAATGGAGGAGGGTCAGTGGTGAGTTTGATATCAGAAGGTCGTCTACTATTTGGTGAGTTTGAGCAAATGAACGGAGGGAACAGTGGATATCAGAGGGTCGTCTATTTGGTGAGTTTGAGCAAATGAATGGAGGAACAGTGGATATCAGAGGGTCGTTTTGGTGAGTTTGGAGCTGAATGGAACAGGGATGGAGGTTTGAGCAAATGAATGGAGGAACAGTGGATATCAGAGGGTCGTCTATTTGGTGAGTTTGAGCAAATGAATGGAGATATCAGAGACCAGGTGAGTTTGAGATATCAGGAAACAGGATATCGGGTCTGTTTGGTGAGTTTGAGCAAATGAATGGAGGAACAGTGGATATCAGAGGGTCGTCTATTTGGTGAGTTTGAGCAAATGAATGGAGGAACAGTGGATATCAGAGGGTCGTCTATTTGGTGAGTTTGAGCAAATGAATGGAGGAACAAGGATATCAGAGGGTCGTCCAAATTGTGGAACAGTGGATACTGGGAGGTTTGGTGTGTTTGAAATGAATGGAGGAACAGTGGATATCAGAGGTCGTTTAAGGTCAATGGATCTACTTGGTGAGTTTGAGCAAATGAATGGAGGAAACAGTGGATATCAGTGGATATTGGTGAGTTTGAGCAAATGAATGGTATCAGAGGGTCTATTTGGTGAGTTTGAGCAAATGAATGGAGGAAACAGGGATATCAGAGGGTCGTCTATTTGGTGAGTTTGAGCAAATGAATGGAGGGAACAAGGGATATCAAGAGGTCTCGTCTATTTGGTGAAGTTTGAGCAAATGAATGGAGGAAACAGTGGATATCAGAGGTCGTCTACTTGGTGTGTTTGAGCAAATGAATGGAGGAACAGTGGATATCAGAGGGGTCGTCTGTTTGGTGAGTTTGGAGCAAATGAATGGAGGAACAAGGGATATCAGAGGGTCTCGTCTACTTGGTGAGTTTGAGCAAATGAATGGAGGAACAAGGGATATCAGAGGGTCGCCCACGTGAGTTTGGAGGAAACTATTTGGGAAGGTCAGTTTGAGCAAATGAATGGAGGAACAGTGGATATCAGAGGTCGTCTATTTGAGGGTGAGTTTGAGCAAATGAATGGAGGAACAATACTGGATATTTGGTAGAGTCAGAGGGTCGTCTATTTGGTGAGTTTGAGCAAATGAATGGAGGAACAAGAGGATATCAGAGGTCGTCCATTTGGTGAGTTTGAGCAAATGAATGGAGGAACAGTGGATATCAGAGGGTCGTCTATTTGGTGAGTTTTGAGCAAATGAATGGAGGAACGAATCAGAGGATATCAGAGGGTCGTCTATTTGGTGAGTTTGAGCAAATGAATGGAGGAACAGAAAGATATCAAGAGGGTCGTCTATTTTGGTGAGTTTGAGCAAATGAATGGAGGAACAGTGGATATCAGAGATCGTCTATTTGGTTTGAGTTTGAGCAAATGAATGAGGAACAGTGGATATCAGAGGGTCGTCTACTTAAGAGGTTGAGTTTGAGGAGGAAATGAATGGAGGAAACTATTTGGATATCAGAGGGAAACAGTCAGAGGTCGTCTATTTTGGTGAGTTTGAGCAAATGAATGGAGGAACAGTGGATATCAGAGGTCGTCTATTTGGTGAGTTTGAGCAAATGAATGAATGGATATCAGAGGGTCAACAAAATGGGATATCAGAGGTCATCTGCTTGGTGAGTTTGAGCAAAATGAATGGGAGGAACAGTGTGGATATCAGAGGGTCGTCTACTTGGTGAGTTTGAGCAAATGAATGGAGGAAACAGTGTGGATTGGTCAGAAGGTCGTCTACTTGAAGGTGGTGGAGTTTGAGCAAATGAATGGATGGATATCAGAAGGTCACCATTTGTGGATATCAGGATATCAGAGGGTCGTCTATTTGGTGAGTTTGAGCAAATGAATGGAGGAACAGTGGATATCAGAGGGTCGTCTATTTGGTGAGTTTGAGCAAATGAATGGAGGAACAAGGGTTATCAGAGGGTCACTTGGAGTATCAGATAGGTCGTCCACTTGGTGAGTTTGAGCAAATGAGGAACAGAGGAACAGAGGGATATCAGAAAATGAATGGAGGAAACGTCCATTTGGTGAGTTTGAGCAAATGAATGGTGGAACAGTGGATATCAGAGGGTCGTCTATTTGGTGAGTTTGAATGCAAATGAATGGAGCAGTTTGAGAAATGAATGGAGGAACAGTGGATATCAGAGGGCTCGTCTATTTGGTGAGTTTGAGCAAATGATTGGAGGAACAGTGGATATCAGAGGGTCGTCTATTTGGTGAGTTTGAGCAAATGAATGGAGGAACAGTGGATATCAGAAGGTCGTCTATTTGGTGAGTTTGAGCAAATGAATGGAGGAACAGTGGATATCAGAGGGTCGTCTATTTGGTGAGTTTGAGCAAATGAATGGGTGAGGAACAGTGGATATCAGAGGGTCGTCTATTTGGTGAGTTTGAGCAAATGAATGGAGGAAACAGTGGATATCAGAGGGTCGTCTATTTGGTGAGTTTGAGCAAATGAATGGAGGAACAAGTGGATATCAGAGGTCGTCTACTTGGTGAGTTTGAGCAAATGATATGGAGGAACAGTGGATATCAGAGGGTCGTCTATTTGGTGAGTTTGAGCAAATGAATGGAGTGATATCAGTGGATATCAGTTTGAGCAAATGGTCGTCTATATGAGGTGAGTTTTGAAACAAATGAATGGAGGAACAGTGGATATCAGAAGGTCGTTCATTGGATATCAGAGGAACGTCTCCACTTGGTGAGTTTGAGCAAATGAATGGAGGAACAGTGGATATCAGAGGGTCGTCTACTTGGTGTGTTTGAGCAAATGAATGGAGGAACAGTTGATATCAGAGGGTCGTCTATTTGGTGAGTTTGAGCAAATGAAATGGAGGAACAGTGGATATCAGAGGTCGTCTATTTGGTGAGTTTGAGCAAATGAATGGAGGGTCAGTGGATATCAGAGGGTCTGTCTATTTGGTGAGTTTGAGCAAATGAATGGAGGAACAGTGGATATCAGAGGTCGGTGAGTTTTAGCAAATGAATGGAGGAACAAAAGGGGATATCAGAGGTTTGGCTATTTGGTGAGTTTGAGCAAATGAATGGAGGAACAAGGATATCAGAGGGTCGTCTATTTGGTGAGTTTGAGCAAATGAATGGAGGAACAGTGGATATCAGAGGGTCGTCCACTTGGTGAGTTTGAGCAAATGAATGGAGGAACAGTGGATATCAGAGGGTCTGTCCTATTTGGTGAGTTTGAGCAAATGAATGGAGGAACAGTGGATATCAGAGGGTCGTCTATTTGGTGAGTTTGAGCAAATGAATGGAGGAACAATTGGATATCAGAGGGTCGTCTACTTGGTGAGTTTGAGCAAATGAATGGAGGAGACAGTGGATATCAGAGGGTCGTCTACTTGGTGAGTTTGAGCAAATTTAATGGAGGAACAGTGGATATCAGAGGGTCGTCTATTTGGTGAGTTTGAGCAAATGAATGGAGGAACAGTGGATATCAGAGGGTCGTCTATTTGGTGAGTTTGAGCAAATGAATGGAGGAACAGTGGATATCAGAGGGTCGTCTATTTGGTGAGTTTGAGCAAATGAATGGAGGAACAGTGGATATCAGAGGGTCGTCTATTTGGTGAGTTTGAGCAAATAATGGAGGAACAGTGGATATCGTCGTCTATTTGGTGAGTTTGAAAATGAATGGAGGAACAGTGGATATCAGAGGTCGTCTGTTTGGTGAGTTTTTAGCAAATGAATGGAGGAACAGTGGATATCAGAGGGTCGTCTACTTGGTGAGTTTTGAGCAAATGAATGGAGGAACAGTGGATATCAGAGGTCGTCTACTTGGTGAGTTTGAGCAAATGAATGGAGGAAACAGTGGATATCAGAGGTGGATCAGTCCATTTGGTGAGTTTGAGCAAATGAATGGAGGAACAAGTGGATATCTAGAGGGTCGTCTACTTGGTGAGTTTGAGCAAATGAATGGAGGAACAGTGGATATCAGAGGGTCGTCTATTTGGTGAGTTTGAGCAAATGAATGGAGGAACAGTGGATATCAGAAGGTCGTCCACTTGGTGAGTTTGAGCAAATGAATGGAGGAACAGTGGATATCAGAAGGTCGTCTACTTGGTGAGTTTGAGCAAATGAATGGAGGAACAGTGGATATCAGAAGGTCGTCTACTTGGTGAGTTTGAGCAAATGAATGGAGGAACAGTGGATATCAGAGGGTCGTCTACTTGGTGAGTTTGAGCAAATGAATGGAGGAACAGTGGATATCAGAGGGTCGTCTATTTGGTGAGTTTGAGCAAATGAATGGAGGAACAGTGGATATCAGAAGGTCGTCTATTTGGTGAGTTTGAGCAAATGAATGGAGGAACAGTGGATATCAGAGGTCGTCTATTTGGTGAGTTTGAGCAAATGAATGGAGGAACAGTGGATATCAGAGGGTCGTCTACTTGGTGAGTTTGAGCAAATGAATGGAGGAACAGTGGATATCAGAGGTCGTCTACTTGGTGTTTGGGCAAATAGATGGAGGACAGTGGATATCAGAGGGTCGTCTACTTGGTGAGTTTGACAAATGAATGGAGGGAACAGTGAGTGGATATCAGAAGGTCGTCTGTTTGGTGAGTTTGAGCAAATGATTGGAGGAACAGTGGATATCAGAGGGTCGTCCTATTTGGTGAGTTTGAGCAAATGAATGGAGGAACAGTGGATATCAGAGGGTCGTCTAGCAGGTGAGTTTGAGCAAATGAATGGAGGAGCAATATCAGAGGGTCGGATTTGATCAGTGGATATCAGGTCGTCACTTGGTGAGTTTGAGAGCAAATGAATGGAGGAGACAGTGGATATCAGAGGGTCGTCTATTTATTGAGTTTGAGCAAATGAATGGAGGAACAGTGGATGTCAGAAGGTCGTCACCCCAGTGTGTTTGAGCAAATGAATGGAGGACAGTGGATGTCAGGGTCGTCCACTTTGGTGAGTTTGAGGCAAATGAATGGAGGAACGGTGGATATCAGAGGGTCTCGTTTACTTGGTGAGTTTGAACAAATGAATGGAGGAGACAGTGGATATCAAGAGGTCGTCTGTTGGTTTAGTTTGAGCAAATGAATGGGAGGAACAGTGGTTATCAGAGGGTCGTCTATTTGGTGTTTGGGCAAATGAATGGAGGGCAGTGGATATCAGAGGGTCGTCTATTTGGTGAGTTTGAGCAAATGAATGGAGAACAGTGGATATCAGAGGGTCGTCTACTTTTGGTGAGTTTGAACAAATGAATGGAGGACAGTGGATATCAGAGGGTCGTCTATTTGGTGAGTTTGAGCAAATGAATGGAAGACAGTGGATATCAGAGGGTCGTCCTATTTGGTGAGTTTGAGCAAATTAATGGAGGAACAGTGGATATCAGAGGGTCGTCTACTTGGTGAGTTTGAGGCAAATGAATGGAGAACAGTGGATATCAGAGGTCGTCTGCTGGTGTTTGAGCAAATGAATGGAGGAACAGTGGATATCAGAGGGTCGTCTACTTGGGTGAGTTTGAGCAAATGAATGGAGGAACAGTGGATATCAGAGGGTCGTCCATTTGGTGAGTTTGAGCAAATGAATGGAGGAACAAGGGATATCAGAGGGTCGTCTATTTGGTGAGTTTGAGCAAATGAATGGAGGAACAAGGGATATCAGAGGTCGTCTATTTGGTGAGTTTGAGCAAATGAATGGAGGAACAAGGGATATCAGAGGGTCGTCTATTTGGTGAAAGTTTGAGCAAATGAATGGAGGAACAGTGGATATCAGAGGTCGTCTATTTGGTGAGTTTGAGCAAATGAATGGAGGAAACAAGGGATATCAGAGGGTCGTCTATTTGGAAAGTTTGAGCAAAATGAATGGAGGAAACAAGGGATATCAGAGGGTCGTCTATTTGGTGAGTTTGAGCAAATGAATGGAGGAACAAAGGATATCAGAGGTAGTCCATTTGGTGAGTTTTAGCAAATGATTGGAGGAACAAGGGATATCAGAAGGTCGTCTATTTGGTGAGTTTGAGCAAATGAATGGAGGAACAAGGGATATCAGAGGTCGTCTGTAGTGGTTGACAAAATGAATGGAGGAACAGTGGATATCAGAAGGTCGTCCACTTGAGGTGAGTTTAGTACAGAATGAATGGAGGAACAGTGGATATCAGAAGGTCGTCTACTTGGTGAGTTTGAGCAAATGAATGGAGGAACGAAGGGATATCAGAGGGTCGTCTATTTGAGGTGGTTTGAAACAAATGAATGGAGGAGACAAAGGGATATCAGAGGGTCGTCTATTTGGTGAGTTTTGAGCAAATGAATGGATGACAGTGGATATCAGAGGTCGTCTATTTGGTGAGTTTGAAAAATGCAAAATGAATGGAGTTTGAACAAATGAAAAAAAAAAGGGATATCAGGGGGTCCTCTACTTGGTGAGCAAATGAATGGAAGACAAGATGGAAAGGATTATTCCCAGTTTGGAAAATGAATGGAGGGAACAGTGGATATCAGAGGGTCGTCTACTTGGTGAGTTTGAGCAAATGAATGGAGGAACAAGGGATATCAGAGGTCGTCTACTTGGTGAGAGTTTGAGCAAATGAATGGAGGAACAGGGATATCAGAGGGTCGTCTATTTGGTGAGTTTGAGCAAATGAATGGAGGAACAAAGGGATATCAGAGGGTCGTCTACTTGGTGAAGGTTTGGAGCAAATGAATGGAGGAACAGTGGATATCAGAGGTCGTCTATTTGGTGAGTTTGAACAAATGAATGGGATGGAGGGATATCAGAGGGTCGTCCTACTTGGTGAGTTTGAGCATCAGTGGATATCAGAGGGTCGTCTATTTGGTGAGTTTGAGCAAATGAATGGAGGAGAGTGGATATCAGAGGGTCGTCTACTTGGTGTTTTACTGAGCAAATGAATGGAGGAACAGTGGATATCAGAGGGTCGTCTATTTGGTGAGTTTGAAGCAGAATATGATGGAGGAACAAAAGGGATATCAGAGGGTCGTCCACTTGGTGAATGAATGGAGGAACAAGGATATCAGAGGGTCGTCTGCTTGGTGAGTTTGAGCAAATGAATGGAGGACAAGGGATATCAGAGGGGTCGTCTATTTGGTGAGTTTGAGCAAATGAATGGGAAAAAGTGGATATCAGAGGGTCGTCTATTTGGTGAGTTTGAGCAAATGAATGGAGGAACAGTGGATATCAGAGGGTCGTCTACTTGGTGAGTTTGAGCAAATGAATGGAGGAAAAAGTGGATATCAGAGGTCGTCTATTTAAGTTTGAACAAATGAATGGAGGAACAAGTGGATATCGAGGGTTTGTCTACCCAGTGAGTTTGAACAAATGAATGAGGAACAGTGGATATCAGGGGTCGTCCATTTGGTGGTTTGAACAAATGAATGGAGAACAAGGGATATCAGAGGGTCGTCTATTTGGTGAGTTTGAGCAAATGAATGGAGGAACAAGGGATATCAAGAGGGTCGTCTATTTGGAAAGTTTAAGCAAATGAATGGAGGAACAAGGATATATCAGAAGGTCGTCCTACTTGGTGAGTTTGAGCAAATGAATGGAGGAGCAAGGGATATCAGAGGGTCGTCTACTTGTTGAGTTTGAGCAAATGAATGGAGACAAAGGATATCAGAGGTCATCTATTTGGTGAGGATTTGAGCAAATGAATGGAGGAACAAAGGGATATCAGAAGGTCGTCTATTTGGTGGTTTGAGCAAATGAATGGAGGAACAAAGGGATATCAGAGGTCGTCTACTTGGTGAGTTTGAGCCGTGAATGGAGGAACAAGGGATATCAGAGGGTCGTCTACTTGGTGAGTTTGAGCAAATGAATGGAGAAGACAGTGGATATCAGGGTCGTCTACTTGGTCAGTTTGAGCAAATGAATGGAGGAACAGTGGATATCAGAGGTCGTCTAGGTCGTGGAGGACAAGGATATCAGAGGGTTAACTGGTGAGTTTGAGCAAATAAATGGAGGAAAAGGGATATCAGAGGGTCGTCTACTTGGAAGATTTGAGCAAATGAATGGAAGACAAGGGATATCAGAGGGTCGTCTATTTGGTGAGTTGAGCAAATGAATGGAGGAACAAGGATATCAGAGGGTCGTCCTATTTGGTGAGTTTGGGCAAATGAATGGAGGAACAAGGGATATCAGGGTCGTCTACTTGGTGAGTTTTGAATGCAAATGATTGGAGAACAAATGTGGATATCAGAGGTCGTCTATTTGGAAAAGTTTGAGCAAATGAATGGAGGGAACAAGGGATATCAGAGGTCTCGTCTATTTGGTGTAAAGGTTTGGTAAAATGAATGGAGGAGCAAAGGATATCAGAGGGTCCGTCTATTTGGTGAGTTTGACAAATGAATGGAGGTAAAAGTGGATATCAGAGGGTCGTCTATTTGGTGAGTTTGAGCAAATGAATGGAGGAACAGTGGATATCAGAGGGTCGTCTACTTGGTGTGTTTGAGCAAATGATTGGAGGAACAAGGGATATCAAGGGGTCGTCTATTTGGTGGGATTTGGCAAATGAATGGAGGGACAGTGGATATCAGAAGGTCGTCTATTTGGTGAGTTTGAGCAAGTGGGAGGAACAAGGGATATCAGAGGTCGTCTATTTGGTGAGTTTGAGCAAATGAATGGAGAACAAGGGATATCGAGAGGGTCGTCTATTTGGTGTTTTGTTGGAGCAAATGAAGGTGGAAGGATTTGACAAATGAATAAGATATCAGAAGGTCGTCTATTTGGTGGGTTGAGCGAAATGAATGGAGGAACAAGGGATATCAGAGGGTCGTCCTATTTGGTGAGTTTGAGCAAATGAATGGAAGAACAGTGGATATCAGAGGGTCGTCTATTTGGTGAGTTTGAGCAAATGAATGGAGGAACAAAAGGATATCAGAGGGTCGTCTATTTGGTGAGTTTGAGCAAATGAATGGAGGAACAGGGATATCAGAGGGTCGTCTATTTGGTGATTTGTGAATGGAGGAACAAGGGATATCAGCAAATTTGATTGGAGGAACGAAGTGGATATCAGAGGTCGTCTATTTGGTGAGTTTGAGCAAATGAATGGAGGAACAAAAAGGGATATCAGAGGTCGTCTATTTGGTGAGTTTGAGCAAATGAATGGAGGAACAGTGGATATCAGAGGTCGTCTATTTGGTGAAGTTTGAGCAAATGAATGGAGGAACAGTGGATATCAGAGGGTCGTCTATTTGGAAAGTTTGAGCAAATGAATGGAGGAACAAAGGGATATCAGAAGGTCGTCTATTTGGTGAGTTTGAGCAAATGAATGGAGGAGCAAAGGATATATCAGAGAGGTCGTCTCGCTTGTGATTTGGGCAAATGAATGGAGGAACGGTGGATATCAGAGGGGTCGTCTATTTGGTGAGTTTGAGCAAATGAATGGAGGAACAAAAGGGATATCAGAGGGTCGTCTACTTGGTGAGTTTGAGCCAGAGAATGGAGGAACGGTGGATATCAGAGGGTCGTCTACTTGGTGAGTTTGAGCCAAATGAATGGAGGAACAAAGGATATCAAGAGGGGTCGTCTATTTGGTGAGTTTGAGCAAATGAATGGAGGATCAGTGGATATCGAAGGTCGTCTCATTGGTGAGGATTTGAACAAATGAATGGAGATTAAGGGATATCAGAGGTCGTCTACTAGAAAGGTTTGAAGCAAATGAATGGAGGAACAAGGGATATCGGAAGGTCGTCTATTTGGTGTGTTGTTTGAACAAATGAATAGAAGGAACAAGGGATATCAGTCTCGTCTACTTGGTGAGTTTGGAGCAAATGAATAGAGGTACAAGGATATCAGAGGTCGTCTATTTGGAAAGGTTTGAGCAAATGAATGGGAGGAACGGTGGATATCAGGAGGGTCGTCTGCTTGGTGAGTTTGAGCAAATGAATGGAGGGAACAAAGTGGATATCAGAGGTCATCTTCTTGGTGAGTTTGGGCAAATGAATGGAGGAACAAAGGATACCAGAGGGTCGTCCATTTGGTGAGGTTTTGGGCAAATGAATGGAGGAACAAAAGGATATCAGAGGGTCGTCTACTTGGTGAGTTTGAGCAAATGAATGGAGGAACAGTCGTCTGGATATCAAATGAATGGAGGAACAAGGGGATATCAGGGTCGTCTATTTGGTGAGTTTGAGCAAATCAATGGAGGAACAAGGGATATCAGGGTCTCGTCTATTTGGTGGAGTTTGAGACAAATGAATGGAGGAACAAGGGATATCAGAGGGTCAAGCTATTTGGTGAGTTTGAGCAAATGAATGGGAGGAACAAGGGATATCAGGGTCATCTATTTGGTGAGTTTACAATGAATGGAAGGAACAGTGGATATCAGAAGGTCGTCTATTTGAGGTTTAGGTTTGAGCAAATGAATGGAGGAACAAGGGATATCAGAGGGTCGTATTTTGGTGAACGGAGCAAATGAATGGAGGAACAGTGGATATCAGAAGGTCGTCTGTTTGGTGAGTTTGAGCAAATGAATGGAGAAATGAGGATATCAGAGGGTCGTCTATTTGGTGAGTTTGAGCAAATGAATAGAGGAACAGGGATATCAGAGATTCGTCTATTTGGAAAGTTTGAGCAAATGAATAGAGAAGCAATTGGATACAGAGGTCGTCTACTTGGTGAGTTTGGAGCAAATGAATGGAAGACAAAAGGGATATCAGAGGTCGTCTATTTGGTGAGTTTGAGCAAATGAATGGAGGAACAAGGGATATCAGAAGGTCGTCTATTTGGTAGAGTTTGAGCAAATGAATGGAGGAACCAAAGGATATCAGAGGTCGTCTATTTGAAGAGTTTGAGCAAATGAATGGAGGGACAGTGGATATCAGAGGTCGTCTATTTGGTGATTTGAGCAAATGAATGGAGAGGCAGGGATATCAGAAGGTCGTCTATTTGGTGATTTGAGCAAATGAATGGAGGAACAAAGGGATCAGGGTCATCTACTTGGTGAAGTTTGAGCTTAGTGGTGGAGAACAGGGATATCAGAGGTCGTCTACTTGGTGAGTTCGAGCAAATGAATGGAGGAACAGGGATATCAGAGGGTCCGTCTACTTGGTGAGTTTGAGCAAATAGATGGGAGGAACAAGGATATCAGAGGTCGTCCATTTGGTGAGTTTGGAGTGTGAATGGAGGAACAGTGGATATCAGAGAAGGTCGTCTACGGTGAGTTTGAGCAAATGAATGGAGGAAACAAGGATATCAGAGGGTGCGTCTACTTGGTGAGTTTGAGCAAATGAATGGAGGAACAAGGGATATCAAGGGTCGTCTATTTGGTGAGTTTGAGGCAATGAATGGGAGGAACAGTGGATATCAGAGGGTCGCCTTTCTTGGTGAGTTTGAGCAAAATGAATGAGGGAACAAGGGATATCCAAGGGTCGTCTACTCAGTTGAGTTTGAGCAAATGAATGGAGGAACAGTGGATATCAGAGGGTCGTCTACTTGGTGAGTTTGAGCAAATGAATGGAGGAACAGGGATATCAGAGGATCCCATTTGGTGAGTTTGAGCAAATGAATGGAGAAACAGTGGATATCAGAGGGTCGTCTACTTGGTGAGTTTGAGCAAATGAATGGAGGGGAACAAGGATATCAGGAGGGTCATCTATTTGGTGAGTTTGGAGCAAATGAATGGAGGAACAATGGATATCAGAGGGTCGTCTATTTGGTGAGTTTGAGCAAATGAATGGAGGAACAAGGGATATCAGAGGGTCGTCTACTTGGTGAGTTTGAGCAAATGAATGGAGAACAGTGGATATCAGAGGGTCGTCTACTTGGTGAGTTTGAGCAAATGAATGGAGGAACAGTGGATATCAGAGGGTCGCCTGCTTGGTGAGTTTTTAGCAAATGAATGGAGGAACAGTGATATCAGAAGGTCGTCTATTTGGTGAGTTTGAGCAAAATGAATGGAGGAACAAGGGATATCAGAGGGTAAAATCTATTTGGTGAGTTTGGAGCAAATGAATGGAGGAACAAGGGATATCAGAGGGTCATCTACTTGGTGAGTTTGAGCAAATGAATGGAGGACAGTGGATATCAGACGGTCGTCTACTTGGTGAGTTTGAGCAAATGAATGGAGGAACAGTGGATATCAGAGGGTCGTCTATTTGGTGAGTTTGAACAAATGAATGGAGGAACAAGGGATATCAGAGGGTCGTCTACTTGGTGAGTTTGAGCAAATGAATGGAGGAAACAGGATATCAGAGGGTCGTCTACTGGTTGAGTTTTGGAGCAAATGAATGGAGGAACAAGGATATCAGAGGGTCGTCTACTTGGTGAGTTTGAGCAAATGAATGGAGGAACAGTGGATATCAGAGGGTCGTCTACTTGGTGAGTTTGGAGCAATGAATGGAGGAACAGTGGATATCAGGAAGGTCGTCTACTTGGTGAGTTTGAGCAAATGAATGGAGGAACATGGATATCAGAGGGTCGTCTATTTGGTGAGTTTGAGCAAATGAATGGAGGAACAAGGGATATCAGAGGGTCTGTCTGCAGGTGAGTTTGAGCAAATGAATGGTGGAACAGCAGATATCAGACGGTTGTCCACTTGGTGAGTTTGAGCAAATGAATGGAGGAACACAGTGGATATCAGAAGGTCGTCCTACTTGGTGAGTTTGAGCAAATGAATGGAGGAACAAGGATACTCAGGAGGGTCGCCTATTTGGTGAGTTTGAGCAAATGAATGATGGAAACAGCAGATATCAGAGGTTGTCTATTTGGTGAGTTTGAGCAAATGATGGAAGAACAGTGGATATCAGAGGGTCGTCTATTTGGTGAGTTGAGCAAATGAATGGAGGAACAAGGGATATCAAGAAAGAGGGCTGTCCACTTGGTGAGTTTGAGCAAATGAATGGAGGAACAGTGGATATCGAGGGTCGTCCACTTGGTGAGTTTGAGCAAAAATGAATGGAGGAACAAGGGATATCAGAGGGTCGTCTACTTGGTGAGTTTGAGCAAATGAATGGAGAACAGCAGATATCAGAGGTTGTCCACTTGGTGAGTTTGAGCAAATGAATACGGGAGGAAACAGTGGATAACAGAGGGTCGTCTAATTGGTGAGTTTGAGCAAATGAATGGAGGAACAAGGGATATCAGAGGGTCGTCTACTTGGTGAGTTTGAGCAAATGAATGGAAGAACAGTGGATATCAGAGGGTCGCCTAATTGGTGAGTTTGAGCAAATGAATGGAGGAACAAGGGATATCAGAAGGTCATTTCTTGGTGAGTTTGAACAAATGAATGGAGGAACAGATATCAGAGGGTCGTCTACTTGGTGAGTTTGAGCAAATGAATGGAGGAACAGTGGATGTCAGAGGGTCGTCTACTTGGTGAGTTTGAGCAAATGAATGGAAACGGTGGATATCGAGGGTCGTCTACTTGGTGAGTTTGAGCAAATGAATGGAGGGTCAAGGATATCGAAGGTCGTCCCACTTGGTGAGTTTGAGCAAATGAATGGAGGAACAGTGGATATCAGAGGGTTGTCTGCTTGGTGAGTTCAGGCAAAATGCATGGAGGAACAGTGGATATCAGAGGGTCGTCTACTTGGTGAGTTTGAGCAAATGAATGGAGGAACAAGGATATCAGAGGGTCGTCTATTTGGTGAGTTTGAGCAAATGAATGGAGGAACAGTGGATATCAGAGGTCGTCTACTTGGTTGAGTTTGAGCAAATGAATGGAGAACAGCAGATATCAGACGGTTGTCCATTTGGTGAGTTTGTGCAAATGAATGGAGGAACACTGGATATCAGAGAGGGCGTCTACTTGGTGAGTTTGAGCAAAATGAATGGAGGAACAGTGATATCAGAAGGTCATCTATTTGGTGAGTTTGAGCAAATGAATGGAGGAACAGTCGATATCAGAGGGTCGTCTACTTGGTGAGTTTGAGCAAATGAATGGAGGAACAAGGATATCAGAGGTTCGTCTACTTGGTGAGTTTGAGCAAAATGAATGGTGGAACAGCAGATATCAGACGGTTGTCCACTTGTGAGTTTGAATGAATGGAGGAACAGTGGATATCAGAAAGTCGTCTACTTGGTGAGTTTGACAAAATGAATGGAGGAACAAGGGATATCAGAGGGTCGTCCCACTTGGTGAGTTTGAGCAATGAATGGTGGAACAGCAGATATCAGACGGTTGTCTATTTGGTGAGTTTGGAGCAAATGAATGGAGGAAACAGTGGATATCAGAAGGTCGTCTATTTGGTGAGTTTGAGCAAATGAAATGGAGGAACAAGGGATATCAGAGGGTCGTCCATTTAATGAGTTTGGAGCAAAATGAATGGTGGAACAGCAGATATCAGAGAGGTTGTCCACTTGGTGAGTTTTGAGCAAATGCATGGAGGAAACAGTGGATATCAGGAGGGTCGTCTACTTGGTGAGTTTGAGCAATGAATGAGGAACAAGGGGATATCAGAGGGTCGTCCTACTTGGTGAGTTTGAGCAAAATGAATGGAGGAACAAGGGATATCAGACGGTTGTCCACTTGGTGAGTTTGAGCAAATGAATGGAGGAACAGTGGATATCAGAGGGTCGTCCACTTGGTGAGTTTGAGCAAATGAATGGGAGGAACAAGGGATATCAGAGGGTCGTCTATTTGGTGAGTTTGAGCAAATGAATGAGGAACAGCAGATATCAGACGGTTGTCCACTTGTGAGTTTGTGCAAATGAATGGAGGAACAAAGAAAGATATCAGAGGGTCGTCTACTAAGTGAGTTGAGCAAATGAATGGAAGCAGTGGATATCAGACGGGTCGTCCATTTGATGAGTTTGAGCAAATAATGGAGGAACAATGGATATCAGGAGTTACGTCTATTTGGTGAGTTTGAGCAAATGAATGGAGGAGCAAGGGATATCAAGGGTCGTCTGCGGTGAGTTTGAGCAAATGAATGATGGAGAACAGTGGATGTCAGAAGGTCGTCTACTTGGTGAGTTTGAACAAATGAATGGAGGAACGAAGGATATCAGATGTCGAAGGTCGTCTTGGTGAGTTTGAGCAAAATGAATGGGAAACAGTGGATATCAGAGTCGTCTACTTAAGAGTTTGAGCAAATGAATGGAGGAACAGTGGATATCAGAGGGTCGTCTACTGGTGAGTTTGAGCAAATAGATGGAGGGAACAGTGGATATCAAGAGGGTCGTCTATTTGGTGTGTTGAGCAAATGAATGGAGGAACAGTGGATATCAGAGGGTCGTCTATTTGGTGAGTTTGAGGCAATGAATGGAAGACAGTGGATATCAGAGGTCCGTCTATTTGGTGAAGTTGAGCAAATGAATGGAGGGAACGAGGGATATCAGAGGTCGTCTCAGTTGGATTTTAGCAAATGAATGGAGGAACAGTGGATATCAGGAGGTCGTCTACTTGGTGAGTTTGAGCAAATGAATGGAGGAACAGTGGATATCAGAGGATCGTCTATTTGGTAGGTTTGAGCAAATGAATGGAGGAACAGTGGATATCAGAAGGTCGTCTACTTGGTGAGTTTGAGCAAATGAATGGAGGAACAAAATGAATGGATATCAGAGGGTCGTCTATTTGGTGAGTTTGAGCAAATGAATGGAGGAACAAAATGAATGGATATCAGAGGGTCGTCTACTTGGTGAGTTTGAGCAAATGAATGGAGGAACAAGGGATATCAGAGGGTCGTCTATTTGGTGAGTTTGAATGGAAATGAATGGAGGAAAGTTTGAGCAAATGAATGGATATCAGGATATCAGAGGTCGTCCATTTGGTGAGTTTGAGCAAATGAATGGAGGAACAGGGATATCAGAGGGTCGTCCATTTGGTGAGTTTGAGCAAATGAATGGAGGAACAGTGGATATCAGAGGTCGTCTACTTGGTGAGTTTGAGCAAATGAATGGAGGAACAAGGGATATCAGAGGGTCGTCTATTTGGTGAGTTTGAGCAAATGAATGGAGGAACAGTGGATATCAGAGGGTCGTCTATTTGGTGAGTTTGAGCAAATGAATGGAGGAACAGTGGATATCAGAGGGTCGTCTACTTGGTGAGTTTGAGCAAATGAATGGAGGAACAGTGGATATCAGAGGGTCGTCCATTTGGTGAGTTTGAGCAAATGAATGGAGGAACAAGGATATCAGAGGGTCGTCTATTTGGTGAGTTTAATTAATGAATGGAGAACCCAGTGGATATGAGAGGATCGTCCACTTGGTGAGTTGAGCAAATGAATGGAGGAACAAGGGATATCAAGGGTCGTCTATTTGTTGAGTTTGAACTGAAATGAATGGAGAGACAAGGGATATCAGAGGTCGGCTACTTGGTGAGTTTGAGCAAATGAATGGAGGGCAAAAAGGGATATCAGAGGGTCAGCTACTGGTGAGTTTGAGCAAATGAATGGAGGAACAAAGGGATATCAGAAGGTCGTCTACTTGGTGAGTTTGGAGCAAATGAATGGAGGAGATAAGGGATATCGTCCACGAGGTTGTCTAATGGAGGAAACAGTTATCAGAGCAAATGAATAGGAACAGTGGATATCAGAGGATCGTCCACTTGGTGAGTTTGACAAAATGAATGAGGGACAAGGGATATCAGAGGGTCGTCTATTTGGTGAGTTTGAGCAAATGAATGAAGGAAACAGTGGATATCAAAGGTCGTCTACTTGTGAGTTTGGAAATGAATGGAGGAACAGTGGATATCAGAGGGTCGTCTATTTGGTGAGTTTGAGCAAAGAAGGCAAACAATATCATAATGGTTTTAGCAAATGACAGGAACAGTGGATATCAGATGGTCGTCACTTGGTGAGTTTGGAGCAAAATGAATGGAGGAAACAGTGGATATCAGGGTCAGTTCACGGTGAGTCTGAGCAATGAATGGAGGAAATTGGATATCAGAATAGAATGGGAGGAAACGAGGGATATCAGAGGGTCGTCCCACTTGGTGAGTTTGAGCAAATGAATGGAGGAACAAAGGGATATCAGAGGATCGTCTGTTTGGTGAGTTTGAGCAAATGAATGAGGAACAGTGGATATCAGAAGGTCGTCTACTTGGAGTTTGAGCAAATGAATGGAGGAAACAGTGGATATCAGGACGTCCATTTGGTGAGTTGAGCAAAATGAATGGAGGAACAAGGATATCACAGGGTCAAATCTATTTGGTGAGTTTGAGCAAATGAATGGAGGAACAGTGGATATCAGAAGGTCGTCTGCTTGGTGAGGTTTGAACAAATGAATGGAGGAACAGTGGATATCAGAGGGTCAGTTCATCGAGGTGAGTTTGAGCAAATGAATGGAGGAACAGTGGATATCAGAAGGATATCAAATGAATGGAGGAACAGTGGATAATGAGGTCGTCTATTTGGTGAGTTTGATAAAATGAATGGAGGAACAGTGGATATCAGAGGGTCGTCTATTTGGTGAGTTTGAGCAAATGAATGGAGGAACAGTGGATATCAGAAGGTCAGTCCACTTGGTGAGTTTGGAGCAAATGAATGGAACAGGGATATCAGAAGGTGGATATCAAATGAATGGAGGAAACTGGATATCAAGGGTCGCTACATTTGTGAGTTTGGAGCAAATGAATGGAGGAACAGTGGGATATCAGAGGGTCGTCTACTTGGTGTGTTTGAGCAAATGAATGGAGGAACAGTGGATATCAGAGGGTCGTCTATTTGGTGAGTTTGAGCAAATGAATGGATAGAAGTGGATATCAGAAGGTCGTCTATATTTGGTGAGTTTGAGCAAATGAATGGAGGAACAGTGGATATCAGAGGGTCGTCTACTTGGTGAGTTTGAGCAAATGAATGGAGGAACAGGGATATCAGAGGGTCGTCTACTTGGTGAGTTTGAGCAAATGAATGGAGGAAACAGTGGATATCAGAGGGTCGTCTATTTGGTGAGTTTGAGCAAATGAATGGATATTGTGAGGGTCGTCTATTTGCAGTGGATATCAGAAGGACGTCTACTTAGTTTGAGCAAATGAATGGAGGAACAGTGGATATCAGAGGGTCGTCTACTTGGTGAGTTTGAGCAAATGAATGGATATATCAGAGGTCGTCTACGGTGAGTTTGAGCAAATGAATGGAGGAACAAGGGAGCATTGGAGGGTATTTAACGGTGAGTTTGAGCAAATGAATGGAGGGTCGATATCAGAGGGTCTTAGTGAGTTTGAGCAAATGAATGGAGGAACAGTGGATATCAGAGGTCGTCTACTTGGTGGGTTGAGCAAATAGATGGAGGAACAAGGGATATCAGAAGGTCGTCCATGGAGAGTTTGAGCAAATGAATGGAGTGAACAAGGGATATCAGAGTGGTCTATTTGGTGAGTTTGAGCAAATGAATAGAGAGGAACAGTGGATATCAGAAGGTCGTCTATTTGGTGAGTTTGAGCAAATGAATGGAGGAACAAGGATATCAGAGGACGTCTACTTAGTGAGTTTGAGCAAATGAATGGAGGAACAAGGGATATCAGAGACTCGTCCTATTTGGTGAGTTTGGAAGCAAAAATGAATGGAGGAACAGTGGATATCAGAAGGTCGTCATTTGGTGAGTTTGAGCAAATGAATGGAGGAACAGTGGATATCAGGGAGGATCGTCCATGGTGAGTTTGAGCAAATGAATGGAGGAACAAAAGGGATATCAGAGGGTCGTCTACTTGGTTTGAGCAAATGAATGGAAGAACAGTGATATCAGAAGATCGTCTATGGAAAAGAGTTTGAAAATGAATGGAGGAACAGTGGATATCAGAATGGGTCGTCTACTTAGTGAGTTTGAGCAAATGAATGGAGGAACAGTGGATATCAGAAGGTCGTCCATTTGGTGAGTTTGAGCAAATGAATGGAAGAAACAGTGGATATCAGAGGTCGTCTACTTGTGAGTTTGAGCAATGAATGGAGGAACAGTGGATATCAGAAGGTCGTCCACTTGGTGAGTTTGAGCAAATGAATGGAGAGACAATGAATGGATATCAGAGGTCGTCTATTTGGTGAGTTTGAGCAAATGAATGGAGGAACAAGGATATCAGAGGGTCGTCCACTTGGTGAGTTTGAGCAAATGAATGGAGGAACAGTGGATATCAGAGGGTCGTTCATTTAGTGAGTTTGAGCAAATGAATGGAGGAACAAAGTGGATATCAGAGGGTCGTCACTTGGTGAGTTTGAGCAAAATGAATGGAGGAACAAAGGATATCAGAGGTTCTATTTGGTGATTTGAGCAAATGAATGGAGGAAACAGTGGATATCAGAAGGTCGTCTATTTGGTGAGTTTGAGCAAATGAATGGAGAAACAGTGGATATCAGAGGGTCGTCTATTTGGTGAGTTTGAGCAAATGAATGGAGGAACAGTGGATATCAGAAGGTCGTCTACTTGGTGAGATGAATGAGGAACAGGATATCAGAGGGTCGTCTACTTGGTGAGTTTGAGCAAATGAATGGAGGAACAGTGGGATATCAGAGGGTCGTCTACTTGGTGTGTTTGAGCAAATGAATGGAGGAACAGTGGATATCAGAGGTCGTCTATTTGGTGAGTTTGAGCAAATGAATGGAGGAACAGTGGATATCAGAGGGTCGTCTATTTGGTGAGAGTTTGAGCAAATGAATGGAGGAACAGTGGATATCAGAGGGTCGTCCCTTGGTGAGTTTGGAGCAAATGAATGGAGGAACAGTGGATATCAGAGGGTCGTCTACTTGGTGAGTTTGAGCAAATGAATGGAGGAAACAGTGGATATCAGAGGTCGTCTATTTGGTGGGTTGAAAGGCAAATGAATGGAGGAACAAGTGGATATCAGAGGGTCGTCTATTTGGTGAGTTTGAGCAAATGAATGGAGGAACAGTGGATATCAGAGGGACGTCTACTTGGTTTTGAGCAAATGAATGGAGGTGGATATCAAGAAGGTCGTCTATTTGGGTGAGTTTGAGCAAATGGGAGGAACAGTGGATATCAGAGGGTCGTCTATTTGGTGAGTTTGAGCAAATGAATGGAGAAAAGTGGATATCAGAAGGTCGTCTATTTGGTGATTTGAGCAAATGAATGGAGGAGCAGTGGATATCAGAAGATGCGTCTACTTGGTGAGTTTGAGCAAATGAATATGGAGGAACCGAGGTGTGGATATCAAGAAAGTTCGTCTACTTGGTGTGTTTGAGCAAATGATTGGAGAACAGTGGATATCAGAGGAACCAATCTATTTGGTGAGATTTGAGCAAATGAATGGAGGAACAGTGAGATATCAGAGGTCGTCTATTTGGTGAGTTTGAGCAAATGAATGGAAGACAGTGGATATCAGAGGGTCATCTGCGGTGAGTTTGGTAAAATGAATGGAGGAACAGTGGATATCAGAGGTCGTCTACTTGGAGTGTTTGAGCAATGAATGGAGGGAACGAGTGGATATCAGAGGGGTCATCTGTTGAGGTGAGTTGAAGACGAAATAAGATGGAGGACTGTGAAAGGATATCAGAGGTCTATTTAATTGAAGAGTTTGAACAAATGAATGGAAGAACAGTGGATAGTCAAATGAAGGTCGTCTATTTGGTGAGTTTGGAGCAAATGAATGGAGGAAAACAGGATATCAGGATATCAGAAGAGTCGTCCACTTGGTGAGGTGAGTTTGAGAGCAAATGAATGGAGGAAACAGTGGATATCAGAAGGTCAAATCTACTTGTGAGTTTGGACAAATGAATGGAGGAACAGTGGATATCAGAAGGTCGTCTACACGGTGAGTTTGGAGCAAAATGAATGGAGGAACAGGGATATCAAAAGGTCGTCCACTTGGTGAGTTTGAGCAAAATGAATGGAGGAACAGTGGATATCAGAGGGTCGTCTATTTGGTGAGTTTGAAAATGAATGGAGGAACAAGGATATCAGAGGGTCGTCTATTTGGTGAGTTTGAAATGAATGGAGTTGGATATCAGAGAGGTCGTCAAATTTGAATGGGAGGAAACAGTGGATATCAGAAGGGTCGTCTGGAGCAAATGGTGGAGGAAATATTTGAGGTCAGTTCATTTGAGCATGAGTTTGAGCAAAAAGAGGAACAAGGATATCAGAGGGTGTCTACTTGGTGAGTTTGAGCAAATGAATAGAGGAACAGTGGATATCATTTGGTGAGTTTGACAAATGGAATGATTGGTGAATTTGGTGAGTTTGGAGCAAATGAATGGAGGAAAACAGGATATCAGGGGGTCGTCTACTTTGTGAGTTTGAGCAAATGAATGATGGAGGAACAAGGGAGTTTCGAAGGATGGTTCATGGTGAGTTTGAGCAAAATGAATGGAGGAACAGTGGATATCAGAAGGTCGTCTGCGAGTTTGGAGCAAATGAGTGGAGGAACAGTGGATATCAGAGGGTCGCTCCACGGTGAGTTTGGAGCAAATGAATGGAGGAACAGGGATATCAAAAGGTCGTCCTTTGGTGAGTTTGAGCAAAATTGGAGGAACAGTGCATATCAGAGGGTCGTCTATTTGGTGAGTTTGATGGGAGGAACAAGGATATCAGAGGGTCGTCTGCTTGGTGAGTTTGAAATGAATGGAGGAACAGTGGATATCAGAGGGTCGTCTACTTGGTGAGTTTGAGCAAATGAATGGAGGAAACAGTGGATATCAGAAGGTCGTCTACTTGGTGAGCTTATGCAAATAGATGGAGGAAATGGATATCAGAGGTCAGTTCACTTGGTTGATTTGAGCAAAATGAATGGAGGAACAGTGGATACTGGAGGGACCCTACTTGGTGGTTGAGCAAATGAATGGAGGAACAGTGGATATCAGAGGGTCGGATGTCAAATGAGGTCGTCTCTATTTGGTGAGTTTGAGCAAAATGAATGGAGGAACAGTGGATATCAGAGGGTCGTCTACTTGGTGAGTTTGAGCAAATGAATGGAGGAACGAAGGATATCAGAGGGTCGTCTGTCAAGAGCAAATTTGAATCAGGGTCAAAAATGAATGGATGGAGGAACAATGTGGATATCAGAGGGTCTTGTCAAATGAATGGAGAGAACAGTTGATATCAGGGTCTCATTTTTGAGCAAATGAATGGAGGAACAGTGGATATCAGAGGGTCGTCTATTTGGTGAGTTTTGAGCAAATGAATGGAGGAACAGTGAGATCATCAGTCTATTTGGTGAGTTTGACAAATGAATGGAACAAAGGTGAGTTTTTAGCAAATGAATGGAGGAACAGGGATATCAGTCGTCTATTTGGTGAGTTTGAGCAAATGAATGGAGGAACAGTGGATATCAGAGGGTCGTCCACTTGGTGAGTTTGAGCAAATGAATGGAGGAACAGTGGATATCAGAGGGTCCACTTATTTGGAGGAACAAGGGATATCAGAGGGTCGTCTAGTTTTGAGCAAATGAATGGAGAACAGTGGATATCAGAGGATCGTCCCATTTGGTGAGTTTGAGCAAATGAATGGAGGAACAGTGGATATCAGAGGGTCTACTTGGTGAGTTGAGCAAATGAATGGAGGAACAGTGGATATCAGAGGGTCGTCTACTTGGTGAGTTTGAGCAAATGAATGGAGGAACAAAAAGATATCAGAGGTCGTCTACTTGGTGAGTTTAAGCAAATGAATGGAGGAACAGTGGATATCAGAAGGTCATCTTGAAATGAAATGGAGGAACAGGGATATCAGAAGGTCGTCTATTTGGTGAGTTTGAGCAAATGAATGGAGGAACAGGATATCAGAAGATCGTCTACTTGAGTTTGGAGCAATGAATGGAGGAACAGGATCAAATGAATGGAGGAACAGTGGATATCAGAGGGTGAGTTGGTGAGTTTGAAATGAATGGAGAACAGGAATCAGAGGGTGAATGGAGGAACAGTGGATATCAGAGGGTCGTCTACTTGGTGAGTTGAGCAAAATGAATGGGAACATGAATGGAGTCCACTTGGTGAGTTTGAGCAATGAATGGAGGAACAGTGATATCAGAGGGTCGTCTATTTGGTGAGTTTGAACAAATGAATGAGGAAACAAGGGATATCAGAGGATCGTCTGCTTGGTGTGTTTGAGCAATGAATGGAGGAACAGTGGATATCAGAGGGTCGTCTATTTGGTGAGTTTGAGCAAATGAATGGAGGAACAGTGGATATCAGGAGGGTCGTCAGCAAAATGAATGGAGGAACAGTGGATATCAGAAGGTCGTCTATTTGGTGAGTTTGAGCAAATGAATGGAGGAACAGTGGATATCAGAGGTCGTCTATTTGGTGAGTTTGAGCAAATGAATGGAGGAACAGTGGATATCAGAGGTCGTCTATTTGGTGAGTTTGAGCAAATGAATGGAGGAACAGTGGATATCAGAAGGTCGTCTATTTGGTGAGTTTGAGCAAATGAATGGAGGAACAGTGGATATCAGAGGGTCGTCTTTGGTGAGTTTGAGCAAATGAATGGAGGAACAGTGGATATCAGAGGGTCGTCTACTTGGGTGAGTTTGAGCAAATGAATGGAGGAACAAGGATATCAGAGGTCGTCTACTTGGTGAGTTTGAGCAAATGAATGGAGGAACAGTGGATATCAGAGGGTCGTCTACTTGGTGAGTTTGAGCAAATGAATGGAGGAACAGTGGATATCAGAAGGTCGTCCACTTGGTGAGTTTGAGCAAATGAATGGAGGAACAGTGGATATCAGAGGGTCGTCTATTTGGTGAGTTTGAGCAAATGAATGGAACAAGGAATCAAGGGATATCAGAGGGTCGTCTATTTGGTGAGTTTGAGTTTGAGGAACAAATGTCCATGGAGGAACAAATGAATGGAGGAACAAGGATATCAGAGGGGTCGTCTATTTGGTGAGTTTGAGCAAATGAATGGAGGAACAGTGGATATCAGAAGGTCGTCTACTTGGTGAGTTTGAGCAAATGAATGGAGGAAACAGTGGATGAGGTCGTCTATTTGGTGAGTTGAGCAAATGAATGGAGGAACAGTGGATATCAGAGGGTCGTCTGCTGGTGTGTTTGAGCAAATGAATGGAGGAACAGTGGATATCAGAGGAGGTCGTCTATTTGGTGAGTTTGAGCAAATGAATGGAGGAACAGTGGATATCAGAGGGTCGTCTATTTGGTGAGTTTGAGCAAATGAATGGGAGGAACAGGGATATCAAGGGTCGTCTATTTGGTGAGTTTGAGCAAATGAATGGAGGAACAAGGAACAGTGGATATCAGAGAAGAACAAGGATATCAGAGGATCTACTTGGTGAGTTTGAGCAAATGAATGGAGGAACAGTGGATATCAGAGGGGTCGTCTATTTGGTGAGTTTGAGCAAATGAATGGAGGAACAGTGGATATCAGAGGGTCGTCTATTTGGTGAGTTTGAGCAAATGAATGGAGGAACAAGGGATATCAGAGGTCGTCTATTTGGTGAGTTTGAGGAAATGAATGAGGAACAGTGGATATCAGAGGGTCGTCTACTTGGTGAGTTTGAGCAAATGAATGGAGGAACAGTGGATATCAGAGGTCGTCTATTTGGTGAGTTTGAGCAAATGAATGGAGGAAACAGTGGATATCAGAGGGTCGTCTATTTGGTGATTTGAGCAAATGAATGGAGGAACAGTGGATATCAGAGGGTCGTTCTACTTGGAGAGTTTGAGCAAATGAATGGAGGAACAGTGGATATCAGAGGGTCGTCTATTTGGTGAGTTTGAGAAAAAAATGAATGGAACAGTGGATATCAGAGGGTCGTCTATTTGGTGAGTTTTGAGCAAATGAATGGAGGAACAGTGGATATCAGAGGGTCGTCTATTTGGTGAGTTTGAGCAAATGAATGGAGGAACAGTGGATATCAGAGGGTCGTCTACGGTGAGTTTGAAAATGAATGGAGGAAACAAGGGATATCAGAGGGGCGTCTATTGGTGAGTTTGAGCAAATGAATGGAGGAACAAGGATATCAGAGGGTCGTCTACTTGGTGAGTTTGAGCAAATGAATGGAGGAACAGTGGATATCAGAGGGTTTGTCTACTTGGTGTGTTTGAGCAAATGAATGGAGGAACATTGATATCAGAGGAAGGTCGTCTATTTGGTGAGTTTGAGCAAAATGAATGGAGGAACAGTGGATATCAGAGGGTCGTCTACTTGGTGGAGTTTTGATAAAATGAATGGAGGAACAGTGGATATCAGAGGGTCGTCTACTTGGTGTTTGACAAATGAATGGAGGAAACAGTGGATATCAGAGGGTCGTCCGAGTTTGACCCCAGGATATCAGAGGGTCGTCTATTTGGTTTTGAGCAAATGAATGGAGGAACAGTGGATATCAAGACCGGGTTTGAGCGTCTGGATATCAGGTGTCTAGTTTTGAGCAAATGAATGGAGGAACAGTGGATATCAGGGGAGGGTCGTCTATTTGGTGAGTTTGAAAAATGAATGGAGGAAACAGTGGATATCAGAGGGTCGTCTATTTGGTGAGTTTGAGCAAATGAATGGAGGAACAGTGGATGATCAGGGTCGTCTATTTGGTGAGGTTTGAGCAAATGAATGGGAGGAAGTGGATATCAGAGGGTCGTCTATTTGGTGAGTTTGAGCAAATGAATGGAGGAACAGTGGATATCAGAGGGTCGTCTACTTGGTGAGTTTGAGCAAATGAATGGAGGAACAGTGGATATCAGAAGGTCGTCCACTTGGTGAGTTTGAGCAAATGAATGGAGGAACAGTGGATATCAGAGGGTCGTCTACTTGGTGAGTTTGAGCAAATGAATGGAAGACAGTGGATATCAGACGGTCGTCTACTTGGTGAGTTTGAGCAAATGAATGGAGGAACAGTGGATATCAGAGGGTCGTCTACTTGGTGAGTTTGAGCAAATGAATGGAGGAACAGTGGATATCAGAGGGTCGTCTATTTGGTGAGTTTGAGCAAATGAATGGAGGAACAGTGGATCAGAGGTCGTCTACTTATCAGTTTTGAGCAAATGAATGGAGGAACAGGATATCAGAGGAATGTCTATTTGGTGAGTTTGAGCTGAATGGAAACAGTCAAGGTCTTACTGGAGGAAACAAATGAATGGATCAGAGAGGGGCGCTATTTGGTGAGTTTGAGCAAATGAATGGAGGAACAGGGATATCAGAGGGTCGTCTATTTGGTGAGTTTGAGCAAATGAATGGAGGGAACAGTGGATATCAGGGTCATTTGATTTGGGAGGAACAGGACATCAGAGGTTCCACTTGGTAGAGCAAATGAATGGAGGAACAGTGGATATCAGAGGGTCGTCTACTTGGTGAGTTTGAGCAAATGAATGGAGGAACAGTGATATCAGAGGGTCGTCTATTTGGTGAGTTTGAGCAAATGAATGGAGGAACAGTGGATATCAGAGGGTCGTCTATTTGGTGAGTTTGAGCAAATGAATGGAGGAACAGTGGATATCAGAGGTCGTCTATTTGGTGAGTTTGAGCAAATGAATGGAGGAACAGTGGATATCAGAGGTCGTCTATTTGGTGAGTTTGGATAAATGAATGGAGGAAACAGTGGATATCAGAGGGTCGTCTATGGTGAGTTTGAGCAAATGAATGGGAAAACAGTGGATATCAGAGGGTCGTCCCACTTGGTGAGTTTGAGCAAATGAATGGAGGAACCAGTCTAAAGGTGAATTTGAGAAATGAATGGAGACGAGTGGATATCAGAGGGTCGTCTATTTGGTGAGTTTGAGCAAATGAATGGAGAACAGTGGATATCAGAGGTCGTCTATTTGGTGAGTTTTGAGCAAATGAATGGAGGAACAGTGGGGTCGTCTACTTGGTGAGTTTGAGCAAATGAATGGAGGAACAGTGGATATCAGAGGGTCGTCCACTTGGTGAGTTTGAGCAAAAATGGAATATCAGAGGGTCGTCTATTTGGTGAGAGTGAGCAAATGAATGGAGGAACAGTGGATATCAGAGGGTCGTCTATTTGGTGAGTTTGAGCAAATGAATGGAGGAACAGTGGATATCAGAGGGTCGTCTACTTGGTGAGTTTGAGCAATGAATGGAGGAACAGGATATCAGAGGTCGTGTCTACTTGGTGAGTTTGAGCAAATGAATGGAGGGCAGTGGATATCAGAAGGTCGTCCACTTGGTGAGTTTTGAGCAAATGAATGGAGGAACAGGATATCAGAGGTCGTCTATTTGGTGAGTTTGAGCAAATGAATGGAGGAACAACGGATATCAGAGGGTCGTCTACTTGGTGAGTTTGAGCAAATGAATGGAGGAACAGTGGATATCAGAGGTTGCCTCGTCTATTTGGTGAGATATCAGAGTTTGGTGAGTTTGAGCAAATGAATGGAGGAAACAGTGGATATCAGAGGGTCGTCTATTTGGTGAGTTTGAGCAAATGAATGGAGGAACAGGGATGATATCAGAGGGTCGCCTACTTGGATATCAATGAATGGGAACATCAGAGGGTCTATTTGGTGAGTTTTGAGCAAATAATGGAGGAACAGTGGATATCAGAGGGTCGTCCTATTTGGTGAGTTTGAGCAAATGAATGGAGGAACAGGGATATCAGAGGGTCGTCTATTTGGTGAGTTTGAGCAAATGAATGGAGGAACAGGGATATCAGGATATCAAATAGAGAGGGTCGTCTATTTGGTGAGTTTGAGCAAATGAATGGAGGAACAATGGATATCAGAAGGTCATCCATTTGGTGAGTTTGAGCAAATGAATGGAGGAACAGTGGATATCAGAGGTCGTCTATATTTGTGAGTTTGAGCAAATGAATGGAGGAACAGTGGATATCAGAGGGTCGTCTATTTGGTGAGTTTGAGCAAATGAATGGAGGAACAGTGGATATCAGAGGGTCGTCTATTTGGTGAGTTTGAGCAAATGAATGGAGGAACAGTGGATATCAGAGGGTCGTCTATTTGGTGAGTTTGAGCAAATGAATGGAGGAACAGGGATATCGGCTAGGTGTGTTTGAGCTAATTTGGAGGAAACAGAGTTTATTTGGTGAGTTTGAGCAAATGAATGGAGGAAACAAGGATATCAGAGGTCGTCCATTTGGTGAGTTTGAGCAAATGAATGGAGGAACAGTGGATATCAGAGGTCGTCTATTTGGTGAGTTTGAGCAAATGAATGGAGGAACAGTGGATATCAGAGGGTCGTCTACTTGGTGAGTTTGAGCAAATGAATGGAGGAACAGTGGATATCAGAGGGTCGTCTATTTTGGTGAGTTTGAGCAAATGAATGGAGGAACAAGGGATATCAGAGGTCGTCTACACGGTGAGTTGGAGCAAATGAATGGAGGAACAGTGGATATCAGAAGGTGTCTATTTGGTGAGTTTGAGCAAATGAATGGAGGAACAGTGGATATCAGAGGTCGTCTATTTGGTGAGTTTTGAGCAAATGAATGGAGGAACAGGGATATCATAGGTCGTCTATTTGGTGAGTTTGAGCAAATGAATGGAGGAACAGTGGATATCAGAGGTCGTCTATTTGGTGAGTTTGAGCAAATGAATGGAGGAACAGTGGATATCAGAGGGTCGTCTACTTTAGAGTTTGAGCAAATGAATGGAGGAACAGTGGATATCAGAGGGTCGTCTACTTGGTGAAAGTTTGAGCAAATGAATGGAGGAACAGTGGATATCAGAGGTCGTCTATTGGTGAGTTTGAGCAAATGAATGGAGGAACAACGGATATCAGAGGGTCGTCTACTTGGTGAGTTTGAGCAAATGAATGGAGGAACAGTGGATATCAGAGGGTCGTCTATTTGGTGAGTTTGAGCAAATGAATGGAGGAACAGTGGATATCAGAGGGTCGTCTATTTGGTGAGTTTGAGCAAATGAATGGAGGAACAGTGGATATCAGAGGTCGTCTATTTGGTGAGTTTGAGCAAATGAATGGAGGAACAGTGGATATCAGAGGTCGTCTACTTGGTGAGTTTGAGCAAATGAATGGAGGAACAGTGGATATCAGAGGGTCGTCTATTTGGTGAGTTTGAGCAAATGAATGGAGGAACAGTGGATATCAGGGGTCGTCTATTTGGTGAGTTTGAGCAAATGAATGGAGGAACAGTGGATATCAGAAGGTCGTCTACTTGGTGAGTTTGAGCAAATGAATGGAGGAACAGTGGATATCAGAGGGTCGTCTATTTGGTGAGTTTGAGCAAATGAATGGAGGAACAGTGGATATCAGAAGGTCGTCTACTTGGTGAGTTTGAGCAAATGAATGGAGGAACAGTGGATATCAGAGGGTCGTCTGTTAATGGTTTGAGCAAATGAATGGAGGAAATGAATGGAGTTTGAACAAATGGATATGGAGGTGAGTGGATATCAGAGGGTCGTCTATTTGGTGAGTTTGAGAAAATGAAATGAATGGAGGGTCGTCAGTGGATATCAGGAGGGTCGTCTATTTTGGTGAGTTTGAGCAAAATGAATGGAGGAACAGTGGATATCAGAGGGTCAGCTATTTGGTGAGTTTGAGCAAAATGAATGGAGGAACAGGATATCAGAGGGTCGTCTACTTGGTGAGTTTGAGCAAATGAATGGAGGAACAGTGGATATCAGAGGGTCGTCTATTTGGTGAGTTTGAGCAAATGAATGGAGGAACATATCAGAAGGTCGTCTATATCAGCAAATGAATGGAGGAACAGTGGATATCAGAGGGTCGTCTACTTGGTGAGTTTGAGCAAATGAATGGAGGAACAGTGGATATCAGAAGGTCGTCTATTTGGTGGATAACAGAGGTCGCCCAGTTTGAGCAAATGAATGGAGGAAACAGTGGATATCAGAGGGTCGTCTATTTGGTGAGTTTGAGCAAATGAATGGAGGAACAGTGGATATCAGAGGGTCGTCTACTTGGTGAGTTTGAGCAAATGAATGGAGGAACAGTGGATATATCAGAGGGTCGTCTATTTGGTGAGTTTGAGCAAATGAATGGAGGAAACAGTGGATATCAGAGGGTCGTCTATTTGGTGAGTTTGAGCAAATGAATGGAGGAACAGTGGATATCAGAGGGTCGTCTATTTGGTGAGTTTGAGCAAATGAATGGAGGAACAGGATGGATATCAGAGGGTCGTCTATTTGGTGAGTTTGAGCAAATGAATGGAGGAACAGGGATATCAGAGGGGTCGTCTATTTGGTGAGTTTGAGCAAATGAATGGAGGAACAGGATATCAGAGGGTCGTCCATTTGGTGAGTTTGAGCAAATGAATGGAGGAACAGTGGATATCAGAGGGTCGCCTATTTGGTGAGTTTGAGCAAATGAAATGGAGGGGAACAGTGGATATCAGATATCAGGGTCGTCTACTTGGTGAGTTTGAGCAAATGAATGGAGGAACAGTGGATATCAGAAGGTCGTCTATTTGGTGAGTTTGAGCAAAAATGAATTTGAGAATGGAACAGTGGATATCAGAGGGTCGTCTATTTGGTGAGTTTGAGCAAATGAATGGAGGAACAGGATATCGAGGGTCGTCTACTTTGGTGAGTTTGAGCAAATGAATGGAGGAACAGTGGATATCAGAGGGTCGTCTATTTGGTGAGTTTGAGCAAATGAATGGAGGAACAAGGATATCAGAATGGTCGTCTATTTGGTGAGTTTGAGCAAATGAATGGAGGAACAGTGGATATCAGAAGGTCGTCCTATTTGGTGAGTTTGAGCAAATGAATGGAGGAAACAGTGGATATCAGAAGGTCGTCTATTTGGTGAGTTTGAGCAAATGAATGGAGGAACAGTGGATATCAGGAAGGTCGTCTTATTTGGTGAGTTTGAGCAAATGAATGGAGGAAACAAAGTGGATATCAGAGGGTCGTCTATTGTGGTGAGTTTGAGGAACAAATGAATGGAGGAACAGTTTGAGCAAATGGGAGAAACAGGATATCAGAGGGTCGTCTATTTGGTGAGTTTGAGCAAATGAATGGAGGAACAATGGATATCAGAGGGAGGTCTATTTGGTGAGTTTGAGCAAATGAATGGAGGAACAGTGGATATCAGAGGGTCGTCTATTTGGTGAGTTTGAGCAAATGAATGGAGGAACAATGGATATCAGAGGGTCGTCTATTTGGTGAGTTTTGAGCAAATGAATGGAGGAACAGTGGATATCAGAAGGTCGTCTATTTGGTGAGTTTGAGCAAATGAATGGAGGAACAGTGGATATCAAGGGTCGTCTATTTGGTGAGTTTGAGCAAATGAATGGAGGAACAGTGGATATCAGAGGGTCCATTTGGTGAGTTTGAGGAAATGAATGGAGGAACAGTGGATATCAGAGGGTCGTCTACTTGGTGAGTTTGAGCAAATGAATGGAGGAACAGTGGATATCAGAGGGTCGTCTACTTGGTGAGTTTGAGCAAATGATTGGAGGAACAGTGGATATCAGAGGGTCGTCTACTTGGTGAGTTTGAGCAAATGAATGGAGGAACAGTGGATATCAGAAGGTCGTCTACTTGGTGAGTTTGAGCAAATGAATGGAGGAACAGTGGATATCAGAGGGTCGTCTACTTGGTGAGTTTGAGCAAATGAATGGAGGAACAGTGGATATCAGAAGGTCGTCTATTTGGTGAGTTTGAGCAAATGAATGGAGGAAACAGGATATCAGAGGGTCGTCTATTTGGTGAGTTTGAGAATAATGGATATCAGAATGGAGTTTGAAACAAATGAATGGAGGAACAGTATCAGAGGTCGTCTATTTGGTGAGTTTTGAGCAAATGAATGGAGGAACAAGGGATATCAGAGGGTCATCTACTTGGTGAGTTTGAGCAAATGAATGGAGGAACAGTGGATATCAGAGATTGGAGTCTATTTGGTGAGTTTGAGCAAATGAATGGAGGAACAGATATCAGAGGGTCGTCTATTTGGTGAGTTTGAGAACAAATGAATGGAGGAACAGTGGATATCAGAGGGTCGTCTATTTGGTGAGTTTGAGCAAAATGAATGGAGGAACAGTGGATATCAGAGGGTCGTCCACTTGGTGAGTTTGAGCAAATGAATGGAGGAACAGTGGATATCAGAGGGTCGTCTATTTGCGAGTTTGAACAAATGAATGGAGGAACAGTGGATATCAGAGGTCGTCTATTTGGTGAGTTTGAGCAAAATGAATGGAGGAACAGTGGATATCAGAGGGTCGTCTACTTGGTGAGTTTGAGCAAATGAATGGAGGGATATCAGGGTCGGTTATTTGGAGTTTTAGCAAATGAATGGAGGAACAGTGGTATCAGTCGTCTATTTGGTGAGTTTGAGCAAATGAATGGAGAACAGTGGATATCAGAGGCTAAATATTTGGTGAGTTTAGGGCAAATGAATGGAGGAACAGTGGATATCAAGAGGTCGTCTATTTGGTGAGTTTGAATGAATGGAGAAACAGTGGATATCAGAAGGTCGTCCATTTGGTGAGTTTGAGCAAATGAATGGAGGAACAGTGGATATCAGAGGGTCGTCTATTTGGTGAGTTTGAGCAAATGAATGGAGGAACAGTGGATATCGAAGGTCCGTCCATTTGGTGAGTTTGAGCAAATGAATGGAGGAACAGTGGATATCAGAGGGTCGTCTACTTGGTGAGTTTGAGCAAATGAATGGAGGAACAGTGGATATCAGAGGGTCGTCTATTTGGTGAGTTTGAGCAAATGAATGGAGGAACAATGGATATCAGAAGGTCGTCTACTTGGTGAGTTTGAGCAAATGAATGGAGGAACAGTGGATATCAGAAGGTCGTCCACTTGGTGAGTTTGAGCAAATGAATGGAGGAACAGTGATATCAGAGGGTCGTCTATTTGGTGAGTTTGATAAATGAAATGGAGGAACAGTGGATACTAGAGGGTCGTCTATTTGGTGAGTTTGAGCAAATGAATGGAGGAACAGTGGATATCAGAAGGTCGTCCATTTGGTGAGTTTGAGCAAATGAATGGAGGAACAGTGGATATCAGAGGGTCGTCTATTTGGTGAGTTTGAGCAAATGAATGGAGGAACAGGGATATCAGAGGGTCGTCTATTTGGTGAGTTTGAGCAAATGAATGGAGGAACAGTGGATATCAGAGGGTCGTCTATTTGGTGAGTTTGAGCAAATGAATGGAGGAACAGTGGATATCAGAGGTCGTCTATTTGGTGAGTTTGAGCAAATGAATGGAGGAACAGTGGATATCAGAGGGTCGTCTATTTGGTGAGTTTGAGCAAAATGAATGGAGGAACAGTGGATATCAGAGGGTCGTCTATTTGGTGAGTTTGATCAAATGAATGGAGGAACAGTGGATATCAGAGGGTCGTCTATTTGGTGAGTTTGAGCAAATGAATGGAGAACAGTGGACATCAGAGGGTCGCCCAGAGTTTTGGAGCAAATATGGAGGAACAGGATATCAGAGGTCGTCTATTTGGTGAGTTTGGAGCAAATGAATGGAGGAACAGTGGATATCAGAGGGTCGTCTATTTGGTGTGAGTTTGAGCAAATGAATGGAGGAACAGTGGATATCAGAGGGTCGTCTATTTGGTGAGTTTGAGCAAATGAATGGAGGAACAGTGGATATCAGAGGGTCGTCTATTTGGTGAGTTTGAGCAAATGAATGGAGGAACAGTGGATATCAGAAGGTCGTCTATTTGGTGAGTTTGAGCAAATGAATGGAGGAACAGTGGATATCAGAGGGTCGTCTATTGGTGAGGTCGTCTACTTGGTGAGTTTGAGCAAATGAATGGAGGAACAGTGGATATCAGAGGGTCAAATCTACTTGGTGAGTTTGAGCAAATGAATGGAGGAACAGTGGATATCAGAGGGTCGTCTATTTGGTGAGTTTGAGCAAATGAATGGAGGAACAGTGGATATCAGAGGGTCGTCTACTTGGTGAGTTTGAGCAAATGAATGGAGGAACAGTGGATATCAGAGGGTCGTCCACTTGGTGAGTTTGAGCAAATGAATGGAGGAACAGTGGATATCAGAGGGTCGTCTACTTGGTGAGTTTGAGCAAATGAATGGAGGAACAGTGGATATCAGGGGGTCGTCTATTTGGTGAGTTTGAGCAAATGAATGGAGGAACAGTGGATATCAGAGGGTCTACTTGGTGAGTTTGAGCAAATGAATGGAGGAACAGTGGATATCAGAGGGTCACGTCTATTTGGTGAGTTTGAGCAAATGAATGGAGGAACAGTGGATATCAGAGGGTCGTCTACTTGGTGAGTTTGAGCAAATGAATGGAGGAACAGTGGATATCAGAAGGTCGTCTACTTGGTGAGTTTGAGCAAATGAATGGAAACAGGAATGGGGTCAGGTGAGTTTGAAGCAAATGAGTGGATATCAGAGGTCGTCTATTTGGTGAGTTGAGCAAATGAATGGAGGAACAGTGGATATCAGAGGTTGCCTATTTGGTGAGTTTGAGCAAATGAATGGAGGAACAGTGGATATCAGAGGGTCGTCTATTTGGTGAGTTTGAGCAAATGAATGGAGGAACAGTGGATATCAGAGGGTCGTCTATTTGGTGAGTTTGAGCAAATGAATGGAGGAACAGTGGATATCAGAGGGTCGTCTACTTGGTGTGAGTTTGAGCAAATGAATGGAGGAACAGTGGATATCAGAAGGTCGTCTACTTGGTGAGTTTGAGCAAATGAATGGAGGAAACAGTGGATATCAGAGGGTCGTCTATTTGGTGAGTTTGAGCAAATGAATGGAGGAACAGTGGATATCAGAAGGTCGTCTACTTGGTGAGTTTGAAAATGAATGGAGGAACAGTGGATATCAGAGGGTCGTCTATTTGGTGAGTTTGAGCAAATGAATGGAGGAACAGTGGATATCAGAGGGTCGTCTACTTGGTGAGTTTGAGCAAATGAGGATGGAGGAACAGTGGATATCAAATGAGGAGTCGTGCTACTTGGTGAGTTTGAGCAAATGAATGGAGGAACAGTGGATATCAGAAGGTCGTCTATTTGGTGAGTTTGAGCAAATGAATGGAGGAACAGTGGATATCAGAGGGGTCGTCTACTTGGTGAGTTTGAGCAAATGAATGGAGGAACAGTGGATATCAGAGGGTCGTCTATTTGGTGAGTTTGAGCAAATGAATGGAGGAACAGTGGATATCAGAGGGTCGTCTACTTGGTGAGTTTGAGCAAATGAATGGAGGAACAGTGGATATCAGAGGGTCGTCTATTTGGTGAGTTTGAGCAAATGAATGGAGGAACAGTGGATATCAGAGGGTCGTCTATTTGGTGAGTTTGAGCAAAATGAATGGAGGAACAGTGGATATCAGAGGGTCGTCTATTTGGTGAGTTTGAGCAAATGAATGGAGGAACAGTGGATATCAGAGGGTCGTCTATTTGGTGAGTTTGAGCAAATGAATGGAGGAACAGTGGATATCAGAGGGTCGTCTATTTGGTGAGTTTGAGCAAATGAATGGAGGAACAGTGGATATCAGAGGGTCGTCTACTTGGTGTGTTTGAGCAAATGAATGGAGGAACAGTGGATATCAGAGGGTCGTCTATTTGGTGAGTTTGAGCAAATGAATGGAGGAACAGTGGATATCAGAGGGTCGTCTATTTGGTGAGTTTGAGCAAATGAATGGAGGAACAGTGGATATCAGAGGTCGTCTATTTGGTGAGTTTGGAGGAACAATATCAGAGGGTCGTCTATTTGAGGAAAATGATTGAGGAACAGTGGATATCAGAGGGTCGTCTATTTGGTGTGTTTGAGCAAATGAATGGAGGAACAGTGGATATCAGAGGGTCGTCTATTTGGTGAGTTTGAGCAAATGAATGGAGGAACAGTGGATATCAGAGGGTCGTCTATTTGGTGAGTTTGAGCAAATGAATGGAGGAACAGTGGATATCAGAGGGTCGTCTATTTGGTGAGTTTGAGCAAATGAATGGAGGAACAGTGGATATCAGAGGGTCGTCTATTTGGTGAGTTTGAGCAAATGAATGGAGGAACAGTGGATATCAGAGGGTCGTCTATTTGGTGAGTTTGAGCAAATGAATGGAGGAACAGTGGATATCAGAGGTCGTCTATTTGGTGAGTTTGAGCAAATGAATGGAGGAACAGTGGATATCAGAGGGTCGTCTATTTGGTGAGTTTGAGCAAATGAATGGAGGAACAGTGGATATCAGAGGGTCGTCTATTTGGTGAGTTTGAGCAAATGAATGGAGGAACAGTGGATATCAGAGGGTCTATTTGGTGAGTTTGATAAATGAATGGAGGAACAGTGGATATCAGAGGGTCGTCTATTTGGTGAGTTTGAGCAAATGAATGGAGGAACAGTGGATATCAGAGGGTCGTCTATTTGGTGAGTTTGAGCAAATGAATGGAGGAACAGTGGATATCAGAGGGTCGTCTATTTGGTGAGTTTGAGCAAATGAATGGAGGAACAGGATATCAGAGGGTCGTCTATTTGGTGAGTTTGAGCAAATGAATGGAGGAACGATCTATTCGTCTATTTGGTGAGTTTGAGCAAATGAATGGAGGAACAGTGGATATCAGAGGGTCGTCTATTTGGTGAGTTTGAGCAAATGAATGGAGGAACAGTGGATATCAGAGGGTCGTCTATTTGGTGAGTTTGAGCAAATGAATGGAGGAACAGTGGATATCAGAGGGTCGTCTATTTGGTGAGTTTGAGCAAATGAATGGAGGAACAGTGGATATCAGAGGGTCGTCTATTTGGTGAGTTTGAGCAAATGAATGGAGGAACAGTGGATATCAGAGGGTCGTCTATTTGGTGAGTTTGAGCAAATGAATGGAGGAACAGTGGATATCAGAGGGTCGTCTATTTGGTGAGTTTGATGAATGGAGGAAACAGTGGATATCAGAGGGTCGTCTATTTGGTGAGTTTGAGCAAATGAAACAGTGATATCAGGAAACAGTGGAACAGGATATCAGAGGGTCGTCTATTTGGTGAGTTTGAGCAAATGAATGGAGGAACAGTGGATATCAGAGGGTCGTCTATTTGGTGAGTTTGAGCAAATGAATGGAGGAACAATATCAGGGTCATCTATTTGGTGAGTTTGAGGAATGGAGGAACAGGGATATCAGAAGGTCGTCTATTTGGTGAGTTTGAGCAAATGAATGGAGGAACAGTGGATATCAGAGGGTCGTCTATTTGGTGAGTTTGAGCAAATGAATGGAGGAACAATGGATATCAGAGGGTCGTCTATTTGGTGAGTTTGAGCAAATGAATGGAGGAACAGTGGATATCAGAGGGTCGTCTATTTGGTGAGTTTTGAGCAAATGGAGGAACAGTGGATATCAGAGGCTGTCGTCTATTTGGTGAGTTTGAGCAAATGAATGGAGGAACAGGGATATCAGAGGGTCGTCTATTTGGTGAGTTTGAGCAAATGAATGGAGGAACAGTGGATATCAGAGGGTCGTCTATTTGGTGAGTTTGAGCAAATGAATGGAGGAACAGTGGATTCAGAGGTCGTCTACTTGGTGAGTTTGAGCAAATGAATGGAGGAACAGTGGATATCAGAGGGTCGTCTACTTGGTGAGTTTGAGCAAATGAATGGAGGAACAGTGGATATCAGAGGGTCGTCTATTTGGTGAGTTTGAGCAAATGAATGGAGGAACAGTGGATATCAGAGGGTCGTCTACTTGGTGAGTTTGAGCAAATGAATGGAGGAACAGTGGATATCAGAGGTCGTCTATTTGGTGAGTTTGAGCAAATGAATGGAGGAACAGTGGATATCAGAGGGTCGTCTATTTGGTGAGTTTGAGCAAATGAATGGAGGAACAGTGGATATCAGAGGGTCGTCTACTTGGTGAGTTTGAGCAAATGAATGGAGGAACAGGGATATCAGAGGGTCGTCTTGGTGACTTGGAGTGGATTTTGAGCAAATGAATGGAGGAACAGTGGATATCAGAGGGTCGTCGTTGGTGAGTTTGAGCAAATGAATGGAGGAACAGTGGATATCAGAGGGTCGTCTATTTTGAGTTTGAGCAAATGAATGGAGGAACAAGGGATATCAGAGGTCGTCTACTTGGTGAGTTTGAGCAAATGAATGGAGGAACAGTGGATATCAGAAGGTCGTCTATTTGGTGAGTTTGAGCAAATGAATGGAGGAACAGTGGATATCAGAGGGTCGTCTATTTGGTGAGTTTGAGCAAATGAATGGAGGAACAGTGGATATCAGAGGGTCGTCTACTTTGGTGAGTTTGGAGCAAATGAATGGAGGAACAAGGGATATCAGAGGGTCGTCTACTTTGGTGAGTTTGAGCAAATGAATGGAGGAACAGTGGATATCAGAGGTCGTCTATTTGGTGAGTTTGAGCAAATGAATGGAGGAACAGGGATATCAGAGGGTCGTCTACTTGGTGAGTTTGGAGCAAAATGAATGGAGGAACAAGGGATATCAGAGGGTCGTCTACTTGGTGAGTTTGAGCAAATGAATGGAGGAACAGTGGATATCAGAGGGTCGTCTACTTGGTGAGTTTGAGCAAATGAATGGAGGAAACAAGGGATATCAGAAGGTCGTCTGTCAAATGAATGGAGGAACAGGATATCAGAGGGTTCCACTTGGTGAGTTTGAGCAAATGAATGGAGGAACAGTGGATATCAGAGGGTCGTCTACTTGGTGAGTTTGAGCAAATGAATGGAGGAACAGTGGATATCAGAGGTCGTCTAACAAATGAATGGAGGAACAGGGATATCAGAGGGTCGTCTACTTGGTGAGTTTGAGCAAATGAATGGAGGAACAGTGGATATCAGAGGGTCGTCTACTTGGTGAGTTTGAGCAAATGAATGGAGGAACAAGGGATATCAGAGGGTCGTCCACTTGGTGAGTTTGAGCAAATGAATGGAGGAACAGTGGATATCAGAGGGTCGTCTACTTGGTGAGTTTGAGCAAATGAATGGTGGAACAAGGGTCGTCCACTTGGTGAGTTTGAGCAAATGAATGGAGAACAAGGGATATCGTCTATTTGGTGAGTTTGAGCAAATGAATGGAGGAACAATGGATATCAGAGGGTCGTCTACTTGGTGAGTTTGAGCAAAATGAATGGAATGGAACAGTGGATATCAGAGGGTCGTCCACTTGGTGAGTTTGAGCAAATGAATGGAGGAACAGTGGATATCAGAGGGTCGTCTACTTGGTGAGTTTGAGCAAATGAATGGAGGAACAAGGGATATCAGAGGGTCGTCTACTTGGTGAGTTTGAGCAAATGAATGGAGGAACAGTGGATATCAGAGGGTCGTCTACTTGGTGAGTTTGAGCAAATGAATGGAGGAACAGTGGATATCAGAAGGTCGTCTACTTGGTGAGTTTGAGCAAATGAATGGAGGAACAAGGGATATCAGAGGGTCGTCTACTTGGTGAGTTTGAGCAAATGAATGGAGGAACAGTGGATATCAGAGGGTCGTCTACTTGGTGAGTTTGAGCAAATGAATGGACAGGATATCAGACGGTTGTCCACTTGGTGAGTTTGAGCAAATGAATGGATATCAGAGGTTCGTCTACAGAGTTTGATGAATGGAGGAACAGCAGAAGGTCGAATCAGAGGGGTGAGTCGGTCTTTGGTGAGTTTGAGCAAATGAATGGAGGAACAAGGGATATCAGAGGGTCGTCTACTTGGTGAGTTTGAGCAAATGAATGGTGGAACAGCAGATATCAGACGGTTGTCCACTTGGTGAGTTTGAGCAAATGAATGGAGGAACAGTGGATATCAGAAGGTCGTCTACTTGGTGAGTTTGAGCAAATGAATGGAGGAACAAGGGATATCAGAGGGTCGTCTACTTGGTGAGTTTGAGCAAATGAATGGTGGAACAGCAGATATCAGACGGTTGTCCACTTGGTGAGTTTGAGCAAATGAATGGAGGAACAAGGGATATCAGAGGGTCGTCTACTTGGTGAGTTTGAGCAAATGAATGGAGGAACAAGGGATATCAGAGGGTCGTCTACTTGGTGAGTTTGAGCAAATGAATGGTGGAACAGCAGATATCAGACGGTTGTCCACTTGGTGAGTTTGAGCAAATGAATGGAGGAACAAGGGATATCAGAAGGTCGTCTACTTGGTGAGTTTGAGCAAATGAATGGAGGAACAAGGGATATCAGAGGGTCGTCCACTTGGTGAGTTTGAGCAAATGAATGGAGGAACAGTGGATATCAGAAGGTCGTCCACTTGGTGAGTTTGAGCAAATGAATGGAGGAACAAGGGATATCAGAGGGTCGTCTACTTGGTGAGTTTGAGCAAATGAATGGAGGAACAAGGGATATCAGAGGGTCGTCCACTTGGTGAGTTTGAGCAAATGAATGGAGGAACAGGGATATCAGAAGGTCGTCTACTTGGTGAGTTTGAGCAAATGAATGGAGGAACAAGGGATATCAGAGGGTCGTCTACTTGGTGAGTTTGAGCAAATGAATGGAGGAACAGCAGATATCAGGGATATCCAGGTGAGGGAGCGTGAATGGAGGAACAGGGATATCAGAAGGTGAGTTTGAGTTTGAGCAAATGAATGGAGGAACAAGGGATATCAGAGGGTCGTCCACTTGGTGAGTTTGAGCAAAATGAGCAAATGAATGGAGGAACAGTGGATATCAGAGGGTCGTCTACTTGGTGAGTTTGAGCAAATGAATGGAGGAACAGTGGATATCAGAAGGTCGTCTACTTGGTGAGTTTGAGCAAATGAATGGAGGAACAGTGGATATCAGAGGGTCGTCTACTTGGTGAGTTTGAGCAAATGAATGGAGGAACAAGGGATATCAGAGGGTCGTCTACTTGGTGAGTTTGAGCAAATGAATGGAGGAACAAGGGATATCAGACGGTTGTCCACTTGGTGAGTTTGAGCAAATGAATGGAGGAACAGTGGATATCAGAGGGTCGTCTACTTGGTGAGTTTGAGCAAATGAATGGAGGAACAGTGGATATCAGAGGATCGTCCACTTGGTGAGTTTGAGCAAATGAATGGAGGAACAAGGGATATCAGAGGGTCGTCTATTTGGTGAGTTTGAGCAAATGAATGGAGGAACAGTGGATATCAGAGGGTCGTCTATTGGTGAGTTTGAGAATGGAGGAACAGCAGATATCAGACGGTCGTCTACTTGGTGAGTTTGGAGCAAATGAATGGAGGAACAGTGATATCAGAGACGGTTGTCCACTTGGTGAGTTTGAGCAAATGAATGGAGGAACAGTGGATATCAGAGGGTCGTCTACTTGGTGAGTTTGGAGGAACAAGGGAAATGAAAGGTGGAAATGAATGGAGGAACAGTATATCAGAGGGTCGTCTACTTGGTGAGTTTGAGCAAATGAATGGAGGAACAAGGGATATCAGAGGGTCGTCTACTTGGTGAGTTTGAGCAAATGAATGGAGGAACAGCAGAGGGTATCAAATGAATGGAGGAACAAAGGGATATCAGAAGGTCCACTTGGTGAGTTTGAGCAAATGAATGGAGGAACAGTGGATATCAGAAAGTCGTCTACTTGGTGAGTTTGAGCAAATGAATGGAGGAACAAGGATATCAGAGGATATCAAATGAATGGTGGAACAGTATCAGACTTGTCCACTTGGTGAGTTTGAGCAAATGAATGGAGGAACAGCAGATATCAGACGGTTGTCCACTTGGTGAGTTTGAGCAAATGAATGGAGGAACAAGGGATATCAGAGGTCGTCTACTTGGTGAGTTTGAGCAAATGAATAGAGGAACAGTGGATATCAGAAGGTCGTCTACTTGGTGAGTTTGAGCAAATGAATGGAGGAACAAGGGATATCAGACGGTTGTCCACTTGGTGAGTTTGAGCAAATGAATGGAGGAACAAGGGATATCAGAGGGTCGTCTACTTGGTGAGTTTGAGCAAATGAATGGAGGAACAAGGGATATCAGACGGTTGTCCACTTGGTGAGTTTGAGCAAATGAATGGAGGAACAGTGGATATCAGAGGGTCGTCCACTTGGTGAGTTTGAGCAAATGAATGGAGGAACAAGGGATATCAGAGGGTCGTCTACTTGGTGAGTTTGAGCAAATGAATGGTGGAACAGCAGATATCAGACGGTTGTCCACTTGGTGAGTTTGTGCAAATGAATGGAGGAACACTGGATATCAGAGGGTCGTCTACTTGGTGAGTTTGAGCAAATGAATGGTGGAACAGCAGATATCAGACGGTTGTCCACTTGGTGAGTTTGTGCAAATGAATGGAGGAACACTGGATATCAGAGCGTCGTCTACTTGGTGAGTTTGAGCAAATGAAGTGAACGTTTGGCTAGGGGTCAAACCGTGTTAAGTGTCAAAAGGATTAGGATGCTGTGGAGTGCCATGACAACTAATTTCCTGAAGTGACACGCTAATTAGAAGAAGAATACATTTAATTAGTTTGCAAACCCATCTAAGTTTATTTTAAATCTATATTGATCTGTCTTTTATATTCCATTTTTTATTTTTTAGACATGTATGTCTTTCTCACCGCATTTATGTTCATCAACTTCTAACACTCACTTCCGCAGCTACGAAGGCCTCTATACATAATTTGTAAGTGTTAAACATGCAGAAGGAATTATAGTTCCGCAACTGGAAGTGAGGAACCGGTGCGGGGCTGTAGCTTTCTCGCCGTTCGCGCTTTTAAGTGTCGTAGCGATTCGCCAGCGTTGCAGCGTTGCAGTTGTGCGCGTTCAAGTCGGGTCGGGTGAGGATAGGTGGTTTCGGCGGTAGGTGAGAGGCGGCAATTTTCGGGTCGGGAGTGACAGATGCGCGTGGTTGTGCAACTGGCGGCGGCTCACGGGTCGTCGTCTTTGTGCGATGCGCTGTTCACGATCTGCGAGTCAACAAAGTCTCCGCCGCTGACGCTGACGCTGGTCGTCTTCCGGTTTCACCCCTCGCGCGTCGTTCGCTACGGGTCTCCCCTCGCGGCGCCACTCCATCGCTACCGGTGCATCGGTCAGCGAGCATAATGACTCCTCTGTCTTCGTGATGCGCCACGGCTTCAGAGCTCCTTTTCGGGTAATCGGCGCGTGTAGATCTCAACCTGCGTTCGCGCAGGCGGCTCGCACGCGCAGGCGGCTCGCACGCGCAGGCGGCTCGCACGCGCAGGCGGCTCGCACGCGCGCCCGTCCTGCCCATTGCTCAATATCTTTCTGGGGGCGTTCGTCTGGCAGCGAACAGTCGACTCGTAACTGGTACGGACCGGGAGAATAAGACTCTCTAACTAAAACAAAGCATCGTGTGGCCGGTCGACCCGTACAGACACGATGCAATTTCGGCCCAACTATCGTTGCACAAGCATCCAACGATAAGTTTCCGTAGCAAGTGATTAGTTTTACGAAGTTGATTTCATGGCACCCTGCGCTCCCGGCTTTCTTTCAGTTATCCATCTCTAACCAAAGGTGAGAGATGAAACGTATACCTTTCCAAAAGTAATTGATCTGATGCGAAAGCAACGGCATCAACCAATCCTAGCTCGCCGAAGCGTAAACCGCTATGCAACGTACACTCGCTATATGTACAAGCCAAGCATATTCGTTTGATCTCAATTCAGTGTGATGTGGCATTTAAAATGTAGCTTATTAGCTTAAAACGACCACCTGTCTATCTTATTCAATGCACATGACATAAGAGGTGTTAAAATTGTGGATTTTCTTTTAGAGGTGGCGCATAAAATGAAAAAGTAAGTCAAAAATGTATTTTTTCAATCGAAAATTAATTTCTACACCAGATGCATTTTTCGTCTTGAATAACTTTCACGGCTGACATGAGGTGAGTTCATACTGTTTTGCGATACGTCCAATAAAATCTTTTTTTTTTTTTAATTAGAAATATCATTAACACAGAATGTGATAAGCGTTAAAAATGTGCAAGTGTTAAAAATTTATCTTGATAAGTCAATAACATCCTAAATGTTAATGGGTTCAGGCAGAATTCGATTGTTTTTTTTTAAATTTTCCATTTATAATTTGTATAGCTTCAAAATGCATAGAACATGAAAGTTTTTGTCGGAAAAAAAAAACTGATGTAAATACTCTATAAGCGACCGGTTTTTCGATTGTTCCTCATCAAGGATAATCGTTGATGAATTTAAATGATTAAGCAATTTTGGTGACATATTTGCATTTCTTAATTTTAATATCAGAAGGAGAATAGAAAAAGAGTAATAAACAATGTCACATTAGGAGATATCAAACTGGTAGCGTATTGTTTGTTTAACGGCATATCAACTTAATGGCGAAATTTAATTTTCTTGGGAGCTTTGAAGTAATAAAATATATATGTTATTCTGTTTTCACAATTGAATACATGGTAGATGATGCTCAGCTTTTGTGCATATACACCACTGTGCAAATTATTTGAAACAAAACGAATAATTCCTTTATTATTTACCTTTTTCGTATTTTACCAATGAAACATGACCCAGTATACAAGCTAGTACTTCGTATATTCATTCCACGAAGTCGTTTCTTGCTGACTGACCGCAGATTGTCGATTGGATTTAAATCAGGGAGTTTCTGGGCCAGCCTATAGTACTTTGATTTGCTTAGTGGTAAAGATTGCCAGTGTGTTCGTGCAGTGTTACAATGTTAGTACACTTACTTGGAGTAATGTCCACCATAGACAATGGACGTAGGACAACTAATCGACAGTAGTGACAATAGTATCTGGGTGAGATAAAATTTTGGTGCATTCATGGATGACGCAATATTTTTCAAGACCAAATAAATGTGATCACACATCTCGAAAATAGATTTATATTACTGCACAGCACTGCAAATCTGAGAAAAAGAAAATAGAAATCGATTTCACGCTCTCACTCCAATGGGTCTAAATCTATTCGTATGGTGAAAGAAAGGAAACTAAAGCTGTTGTTTCAATTAATTTGCACAATGGAGTACATGTTAGTGTCCGAATGGTTACTCTAGGTGGTGATACGTTTGTTTTATGTTGTATTTTTGTTATTCTGTGGAAAACATTTTGATTTAAGAAACAGTAGGATATTATGTAGAGTAAAGTTTTTTCGAGTTGACTGTTTGGTTGATAGTTACATATCAACACCTCTATGGGTTATTTAATGCCGAAATATAAAGATTTTGAACACAATTTTATGGCCTCAACTAAATATATAAGTATGAATTGTTGGTTGTTTGATTTTGTTTAGTGGCATATCAACCTCTATGGGTTATTTAATGCCGAAAGTAAAGATTTTGAACACAATTTTATGGCTTCAACTACAGATAAAATGTATTGCTTGTCATTTTGCTATAAAATGTATTGTTTGCATTTTTTTCTATGAAAAATGTGTTGCTGATATTTTTATAATAAAAATGTATTTTTCAAACTTTCATAGCGTTTTGTCTGGTGGTTCACTATTTACACATAGCTGAGATCCTAACATGACCTTCCACCCCCGGGGTCAGTTTGCACCTAGAAACAACAGCAGTTAAGAGGTGGTCCCTCGCTCATTCAAATCCACGAATCACCCAAAAAATAGGCCTTGCTGACGGATTATGTTTATCGTCATACCCAAGACTAGTATAATGTTTACATTGACCATTTACTTATATGGAAACATTCGTCATACAGTGACCGAGCAACCAGTGCTACTGTCCGTTGAAATTTATAAAAAAATTCTGTTAAAACGATTTTCCAGGAAAATAGGCTTCTCAAGTCTGCTGCTATCGCTCTTTCCAGTATTGATAGAGACTTCCTTTCTACATGCTTCTTTGACAGTGTAGAAAATTGATGATGTAATTATATCCTCTCCTGGGCTCGTCGAGTTCCTTGATAAAGTCTAAAGAACTAGCACTAATATTATTGGCTTTGTTCTGGCGTCTCGGCTTCCCTCAATTTCATTTCGCCGTAATGTTGCCTGCCTGTGCTTTTTCTATAAAGACATTCATGGTAAGATATTTAGCTACCCACCCACCACGAGGGTATCATGTGGCACAAGGCCTTTTTAACGTGGGCATTCCCGAGCCATTAGGCTCGGCCAAAAAATAGCCTATTTGAACCCGTATAAACGGGTTCAGGGCCGGTTTTACCTCCCCGAAAGAGACTCCGCCCTTCGGCGTAGCCTCCTTCGGGTTCCTCCCGACCGTAGGAAGAGAGTTGAACCGATCAGTCGCTCAGAAAGTATCTGGACATTCATGGTAATCGTCCGAATCAGGGGAGTTTCTGAGCTAGTCTATAGTACTTTTATTTGTTTACTGGTAAATCTTGCCAGTGTTTTCGTGCAGTGTTACAATGTTAGTACACTTACTTGGAGTAATGTCCATCACAGACAATGTCGTATGACAACTAATCGACAGTCGTGACAATAGTGTCTGTGCGAGATAAAAAATTTGGTGCAATCATGTATGACGCAATATTTTTCAAGACCAAATAAATTTCATCACACATCTCAAAAATCAATTCATATTACTGCACAGCACTGCACATAGAAATCGATTTCACCATCTCACTTCAATGGGTTTAAAACTAGACATATGGTGAAAGAAAGGAAATTAAAGCGGTTGTTTCAATAAATTTGCACAATGGTGCACATGTTAGTGTGCTAATGGTTACTCTAGTTGGTGATACCTGTGTTTATATGCTGTAGTTTTGTTATTCTGTGGAAAACATTTTGATTTAAGAAACAGTAGGATATTATGTAGAGTAAAGTTCTTTCGAGTTGGCTGTTGATATCATCGCTATGGTGGCTAGACTCTTTGAATGTAAACGCAGTACAAGACTGGAGACGAGTTCTTATCAATTTACGGATAGGATGGTTAGATATAACCGTAAGTTCTATGCTAACAGTTTCTTTTCTCGCACTTCTCGCTTGTGGAACTCTCTTCGCACTTGATGCTTTCCAGCCAACTTTAATCTTAAATAAATTTAAATACAATGCCAATCGCCATCTACTGTCCATCTGATTACTTTTATTTTGTTCATGCACCTTTGCGATGTTTCTGTTTCTAACTCGTTCACATGTAGTAACCCTTTCTGTATCAATGGATTTGCTACCATGCTTAGGGCGAAATCGATTAAAAAATGATGATATGCTGTTTTTGAAAGTCTGCCATTTCATAAAAATAAATAAATAAATAAATAAAAAACAAAGGAATTAGTAGGCCATCTTATGTAATACCAAAACGCTTTAAAGAAGAAAGAATGTTTATTTTGTATACAAAGGAACGTTCGACGTCTCGAAATAAAAAGAATTTCAACAATTTTCAAGGGCGAAAATCGTTAGCTCAAACAGAATGATCAGTCTTGGTCTATCATAAATCCAACTTCTTAATTCTTTCACCCCAAGAAAGGCAATACAGCCACTAAAACACAAGAGATTACTGAGTGTTAAACTTTTTTGACGTTGTATGGAAAATTGATTATGTCATTATCCTCTCTTCTAGTTACATGTGATATTCTTTTTATGTTGTTGCCGTTGTCGTAAGTCCTTACAGGATTTGGTGTCTATTAATTGATAAAAATTCTTTGAGATTCTGTGGCGTGAGTTCGTGATGTTTGAAGAAAGGTGGAGCTCGGAAAGACCTACAGACTTTATCCGTTCGAATCCATTTACAATCATTAACCTGACAAATATCAGCAGTTGAAAGCTTAAACTTGCATACAAAACATTTAGATTTCATCATTAAGTGACCCATCGAGATTGATATGCCGTTAAACAAAATCATCCAAGTAAACAAGAAACGAACCAACATATATATCAGATATTTGGATGGGCTGGTACCACGAATTCAATATCTTTCCTAAGGAATGGTGTAGTCTAATCTTTACTTTTTTCAGAACAGCCTGCAATCTCTGTAAGTGTTGTGGTAGGATCCACCTAATTTGCATAGTGGAGTACCGACCATATAAATATGGTTGGTACCGGGAAGAGAGGAAGGAATCAAGAGATTCAACCAGAGACTCTGTCCGACTGCGACTCAGTCAACACATTCTTCAGGAACGGTCTTACCAGGAATATACAAAAGACTATATGTAAATATTGTGTACACTTTCTTGTTTCAATACATTTTGGTCTAAGTACATTTTGTGTTGCATTAGTCAAGTTTCAACAGTAAGAGAGTTCGATCCTGTTCTCAATCATTAACTTGAGAAAACGGTTATATATAACTGGTAATTTTGAC